ATCCTCTTTATCAGCCTCAACGTACTGACGCCATGTCACCTGTTTTAGTCATTATAAGGAGATGTAGTTGTCTAGTGTGGGAGTTTTACATATAGCGTTACCAAGTAGAATTTACGGAGACTGTTAAGAGCTCATACTGGCACCATATACTGTGACAGCAACTTTGCAAGGTTACAACTTAAGATTTGCTCAACATAGTGTCCAATGAGACCCATTTCCTTCTACAAGAGCCTAATTGCCACACAGTTAGTAGATGACGGTAGTGTATCATATAGAAGTGTATTCAGGACGTTAATCTTTAAACCTCGCTTCTCAATGTATTAAGATGTATGTATGTATGTATGAACTTGTGAATAAACAGCGTAAATAAGTAAGATAAGATCGATAAGATCATATTTATTGCAAACACACATTCCTTTGCGGAACAGATGTACCATTTAAATGACAAAACATGTTCATACATACATACATACATACATACATACATACATACATACATACATACATACATACATACATACATACATACATACATACATACATACATACATACATACATACATGGAGCTGCTTACAGGAATTCAAATGAAGCTTTACAGTTTTGTACTTTGGTATTCTATGATTGCCAACTGCTCGGCATCATTCACTACATGCTCATTAGCCTGCAGACTTCTGAGACGAGGCTGTTTCTTCTCCGCGTGTGTATTCCTCTGCGTCTTCAAAACCAAACCAGCAACAGGATTAGATAGCAGAGCGCAATGCTCGATAGGTTATGGAGGTCAGTGGGTAGGGTCAAGGCAACCTAGTTACGTAAGGTCAAGGCCACGTTGCTGACATGTTTACCTGATTGTGGTCTGATGTTATCATTTTGTAAACGGGATCGCTGGTCAGGCTCGCTGACTTGGCTGATGCATGTCATGATATCCCAATTGCGTAGATAGATGCTCATGATGTCAATCACTGGATTGTCTGGTCCAGTACTCGATTATTTACGAACCGCTGTGATATAGCTGGAATATTGCTGAGTGCGGCTTTAGACAACAGCAACAAATTCTCCCAACTACCAATTTACCTCTGTTCCATAAAGAACGGTTATCACATATTGATTTTTAACCTCGAAGCACTTTAAGGTTCATAACGTTAAAACGTCAATGGAAGGAGGACGAACAAGCAACTGATATGGGAGATACACCTGAGTTTCTATGTCAAGGCTAACGTTTCCCTCTGTTTTGCAACAGATGTTCTGCCTGGAGGGGGGTTCTATGTCATGTTCCTCGAATTTATGTGTTTTGCAGATAAATAAAAAGACACCATGCCTTTCTCACAGTATTTGTTTTTCACGCTGTGTAGTGCTTGAGTATATTTGCAACGTGAAACAGATCTCACTCTTCCACCGTGAATGTGGCGTAATGCTCAGCGTAGAAGACAACGCGAGATATGCATTAGCTGAGGCATGTTTATGAGAAGCTATTACAGTCCACAAGTCATGGGAACTCTCCGAGATGAAGTTTTGCTTCTCTATCTCAGTACTGCCGCGACAAAACATGATCATTCACTACTTTGCCTGTCAAAAGAAGACACATTTTTTTGAAAAAATATTTTTCCTTTACTTCAAAAGTGTGCAGAAATTATATTAAGCAATTTTCCAGGGGTTGGGCCGGGGATGGGGGTGCACCAAATATGGGTTTCACACATTGCACCTTTTCATTTAGCTGACGTAATCTCACATGCAGCATGGCACATGAATTGTAAGGGCATCATGGGTACATGCATATCAACAACAAAAAGCAATGGCGACCACGAATTTCATGTGATGTGCGGTCATCATGGAAATATCATCGAAAAAACATTACAGGACACGTGACTATTGTTACTGAATAATCTATCTTATTTCTAAGGAGTTTTTGGGCAGGACAAACGAAATCGACATGCACAGCTTAACACATATGTTTCGAGGTGAGGTGATATTGGGTTAAACGTCGCGTTCAACATTATTGCACTTATACAGCGAGGTGCATGCACGTATGAAATGTGTAGCTGCTTGTAATTGTACAGACTTATTCCGGTTTTATAGTGCTAGCCCACTGATATACCATACCGCAGTTTAACATGTATAAGTTCATCCAACTCAGACACAGCATACAGACTCTGAGGCGACCAGTTCTTGTTTTATCCCCTTAATGCCGAGCGCAAGGCAGGATAACAATAAGAACCACCTTTTAACGTATTTTGGTATAACGCGGCCACCGACGTTCCGCTCTCCGGTCAGACGCTAGATCACGGAGGTGGAGACAACAACAACAATAACAACATATACACACCTAGTCAACTCTCATCTGATTTGGTCTCCTAATCCCACCATCACAGTACAAACCATGTGGGGAATAGAGTTCATCTCTTTGGTCATTCGTGACCCAACTCGTGTTATTCCGGGACAAGCCGAATAGCGACTCGTGCCCCTCTCATGGCCATTTTTGCGACCGGGTTCCGTCTTAGCGCAGACGGGCATACCTAAAACAATTGTCAACTCGTTGCGTAATGGTTCACATTTATTTCCCCATATATTATATATATTTCAGATGCAATTTAAAGCACATCGAGACATGTGGAGTTATACAGTATGATTGAACACATTTAACTGTGTCTCGGGTATATTTTTAGATGCAAGACATATGTAAAATAAAAAAAACATTTCTGAGGGATTCTTTGACGAAGAACTTGAAATCATACGCGCATTCTGATTGGTTGTCGTATTTTCGCACATAACATTCATCGATAGAGGGACGAGTCTTCTTGCAGGCTACGGAAAGGGGCGAGTGGTGACGAATGGTCTTTGGTGTGAAGAGCGAACGCTTTTACCACTAGGGTACATTTACCCAACTACCCTAATTTCAAAACTATGCATGAGACCTACATTTAAATGAACACTCACTGTTTGTGGTATTTCTTGTTCAATGTTCATCTTTGTATCAGTATTTCATATTTATTAGTTTCACTTGAGGTGATCAAGTATAGGAATAAATGATTCTCTATTAACGTACATTTTCTCAATGTTTATCAACATAAATGCTTCCAGTACTAAGACAATGTTCATATGGGTTACTTTATATTTTGTCCCGTGAAAATTCAGCAAACCATGTCTACCAGGAGGCGACTAACGGGATCGGGTGGTCAGGCTCGCTGACTTGGTTTGAGGAATGTCATCGTATCCCAATTGCGTGGATCGATGCCCATGATATCAATCACTGGATTGTCTGGTCCAGACTCGATTATGTACATACCGCCGTCATATAGCTGGGATATCGCTGAGTGCTACGTTAAACAACAAACAAACAAATAAAATAAAAATTTATACTTTTATTTTCACGTGAGAGGAGGAAATATGGGCGTAACGCATGGATTTTATATCTCAGTTTAAATTCTTTAAACAACCGATTCTATCTATGTTTTAAGAACATGGACCTCTTTCCTTAAACGGTTGCCGTGATTGAAGCAGGGCGGGTCACGAAAACGCTACCAATACCCCATCTTGTCGTTTTTTATCATCTGGAAGCAGGATCTTATGTAACGCACTCGTGCCTTTCCGATATGGAGTTAAGATAGAGTGACCCTCGTATAGCAAATCCTGTGTGTGAGAGGTTGGCTGGAAGGTGCACTTTGAGCCAGTGACAGATCTTAAGAGCTCTCTCGTAACCCAGCGGATGTAGAAATAGGTTAGTCGTGTCGGAAACAGTGTATCAATGTGCCCATTCTATCGAGTGCTGACTTGTAGCTATGTCCGTGTAACATGTTGGAGTTTAAGACGGTTAACATCCGACGCACGTCATACCTCTTGATGTGCGTCAGAGGAACGTCGACCGCCTCCGTGGTCTAATGGTAGAGCGTCCGCCCGGAGAACGGAAGGTCCGGGGTTCGATCCCCAGCAACGTCATACCAAAAGACGTCAAAAGATGGTACTTGTTGTTACCCTGTCTGGCGCTCGGCATTAAGGGGCTAAAACAAGGACTGGCTTGGAGTCCGTATACTGTGTCTGAGTGGGGTATTCATGTTAAACTGCGGCATGGCATCTCAGTGTGCTAGCACTATAAATCGGCATCAGTCCGGACTAGTACAAGCAGCCACACACACACACACACACACACACACACATACACGTGCATGCACGTCGCTATATAATCTTGGACGAGACGTTTAACCACATTTCACCTCACCTCATGACGGTCAGAACGTCATAAGCAGATCGAAATTGCCTTTAAGGGAGCTTCCAATTGAGTTCGAGGTGGGGGATGTAAATGAAAAAGTTAGTGAATAAGTATGCCCCTAATGAATAGTTTGTTTGCAGTGGTGGAGAAATAAATCTTGTGGAAAATACCCAAACAACTCAATGTTTCTGTTAAAAGTGAAAATGAATATATTGTTTGGTTGTTAACAAATTGATACACCTGGGGAAAATAGATTGTTCTGACCCACCCAAACCCCTACAAACCAAATGGTTGATCCTTTACAATGCCTTTAATCGAAGAATCTTAAATCAATGCAACGTGTATAAAAGAAAATCGAAAGCAGTTGATTTATGATTTTATTTATGGATTAATATATTACTGTCCATCGTGATTAGTATTTTCTGTTGTGTATACGTCTTTTCGTGCAAATAACCTGCACTAAATATACTGTCCTCATGTTAATCCTCATCAAATATTGCCGTTGTAAACAGTAACTGCCGAGCAAAAGAAAGTTGAAAATTGGGATTACAAACGTGATCAAAACGTGACTGGGCTGGAAACCACCGAAATGATACAAAGTTAAGGTCGAAAAGACAACTATGACATCTGCATCAAATACATCACGATCGAATAACCATATCCTGTTTGAGTTTAGCTTTATCAAACATGAGTGTAATCTTTCTTTTGCCCGGAGGTTTGTGTGTAGTTACATATCTATATTTACGACTGATATTGATATGTCGTATTCACGTTATATGTAAGGCTTACATGTTTCAGCACACAGTCGTCGTCGACGAGAAGAGACTCAGGCATGTGGAAACAATTGGGTTGTCATGCACCGCGCCTGCTACAAGTTTGACACCAGGAAGATGTCATGGGAGGAAGCCAGAAACGCCTGCAGACAAGAAGGAGGAACTTTAATATCCATCAGCTCTAATGCGGAGAAGGTGAGCTTCCTGGCCTAAGTTGTATGTCCAAACAATCTCATTTCGAGCCAGACCTCTGTCCGATCTGTGGTTATCGTGTTTAAATCCCCCCTCCTATCTCAAAGATGTTTGGTTTTCTCGAAGTGGCATTATAAGAAGGTGAGCTTCATGGCCTAAGTTGTATGTCCAAACAATCTCATTTCGAGCCAGACCTCTGTCCGATCTGTAGTTATCGTGTTCAAATTCCCCCTCCTATCTCGAAGATGTTTGGTTTTCTCGAAGTGGCATTATAAGAAGGTGAGCTTCATGGCCTAAGTTGTATGTCCAAACAATCTCATTTCGAGCCAGACCTCTGTCCGATCTGTAGTTATCGTGTTCAAATTCCCCCTCCTATCTCGAAGATGTTTGGTTTTCTCGAAGTGTCATTATAAGAAGGTGAGCTTCATGGCCTAAGTTGTATGTCCAAACAATCTCATTTCGAGCCAGACCTCTGTCCGATTTGTAGTTACCGTGTTCAAATTCCCCCTCCTATCTCGAAGATGTTTGGTTTCCTCGAAGTGGCATTATAAATGCAGCAGTATTCCTGCCGTCACTAATCAAGAGGGAACGGGTGGTTGTCATCTGGGACGCCTCAAATCGGTCTGCAGAGCTGTGTCCCTTTGGCAAGCCAGAAACCTATGATCGTGGGTTCGAGTTCCGGTTCGCTCCGATTATGTTTCTAGGTTTATCAGCACCATACGCGTGCTCGTGGGTTTTCAACAAACTGGTAAAAGTCTGAGACCCGCATCACCTCGGGCTTCTTAAGCTGACTCGCCGTGGTATAACTGGGATATTGTCCAAAACAGCGTTAAACCCAACTCACTCATTCACTAATAAAGTCTTGGCCAGACAGGCCATTTATTAGCAATATAAGAAATGATCCAAGTGCACAATGACCCACAAGCCAGGTCACAAATTGCAACCAACCGATTCTCTGTGGTCAGCGCTTATTCTGCCCGGAATCACAACAGGGATGGAGAAATGGGAAGTCAGTTTTAACGAATAAATCAACATTTAGGTCCCATCAGATCTTCAGACGATCTTGACTCACAAGTGGAATTTGTGGCATGGAACCCTTGTGTCGTCTATCACATGAATGTCTGCGCCGATAAATATGCAAATTAGTTCACCTAACAGAAACTACTTTCCATAGACTGCTTGCTTGCTCAATACACTATTTACCTACGTTCCAACTCCCTTTCCATAGGGGTTTCCAGAGTATTGGATGTTTCTTAGGCAAACATGGCTGCTAATCACTTGGCACTACATGATCAATGGGAAGGTTTACTCAAACTCTGTATTCATACGCGGTTTCTAAAGTGATTCCATTAGTGAAATTACATCTCCAACATAGATTATTTTAAGAATGACAGTGTATGAAAAGGAAATTATTAGCTTCGTGTGTTAGGATATCATATGTTAGGCATACAAATATGTAATATATATATTCGCACAAGGCTTGTATAATGCAATGTTTTATTCCTAATATATGATATTACCATACTCAGTGAAACACACTCAGCGAATAATCTCTACGTAAGACAATCTGTGAAAGTTATGATACTGTTTTCTAAATAAATCCAATGTTAACATGTAAATATCATATAACCTTTAATGTCCTGCAAAAATACAAATAAATAAAAAACGTCAACGCCAGAGAATAATCAGTCTTCATTACCTGCCGAAACAGATTCCATTGGGCGTAAAAGGCAAAACAATTATGACAATTATATGAATGAAGAAAGACAAGTTCTATCGATGAACAACTTCTTTATTACATTTAGTGCGACGTTTCGGTGTAGATCCTAACACCTTTATCAAGCAAGTGGTGGATAGTGCTGAAAAACATAGGTATATATACTAACATCAATGTTTATACAGTAAATTGATTGATGGACACAGAGAACTGATTGGGATGATTGGAAGCCAGTGAATGGCTAATAGGAAGCTGATTGGGGTGATGGAAGCCAGTGATTGGCTAATAGGAAGCTGATTGGGATGATTGGAAGAGAGTGATTGGCTAATAGGAAGCTGATTGGGATGATTGGAAGCCAGTGAATGGCTAATAGGAAGCTGATTGGGGTGATGGAAGCCAGTGATTGGCTTATAGGAAGCTGATTGTGATGATTGGAAGAGAGTGAATGGCTAATAGGAAGCTGATTGGGATGATTGGAAGCCAGTGAACGGCTAATAGGAAGCTGATTGGGATGATTGGAAGCCAGTGAATGGCTAATGGGAAGCTGATTGGGGTGATGGAAGCCAGTGAATGGCTAATAGGAAGCTGATTGGGATGATGGAAGCCAGTGAATTAGAAGCCAGTGAATTGTCTAATGGACACAGAGTCAGCAAGCAGACTGATAGAGATGACAGGTCTTTCTTCATCACACCAACTTCTAAATGCCACTGAAAGAAATTATATGAATGGAACACCATTTTTTAAATTTCAGAAAAAGGTTGTTCGGGAACTGAAGAAGAAGATAACGAAAGACGACATGTTGACGTGGTGGGTCGGACTCAGATGGAACACCGACCTCAACAAGTTCATCTGGCAGGACGGGGGTGCTTTCAGCAGGAGGACCACGTGAGTAGAAGGAGGAACACGGTTCTGTTCTATTCCGGTTAAACTTAATTGACTTGAGTTGATCACAAAACACGCTTGCTGCTAAGTGAATTGTTCCACGGATGAATGGGTGGATTCGTTTAATGCCATTTTGAACAGTAGGCCTGTTATATCACGGCGTGTAAGGTCTATGTTTCGAGTTATGTTGAGAGACCAACTAAAAAGTTACAACAACAACAAAAACAAAAGACAAGAATGTTTATGCAGTGGAACCTCACTTATCTGGACAGTATTTTTCCTGGTGAAATAACCTGGATTAGACAACTTCAAGATAAAGGAATTTTGGAATTATGATGCTTTAAGTATACATGAACACACGATCGTCCGAATGTCCAGTGTTCCGAACTAACGAGGGTCCACATAAAGCTATACAGAAGTTTGGTTATGATACATCACTTTATTGATGTCTGAAAGTGATTCATTTCTTGTATTTTTAAGTACTGATTGTTCGATAAAAATACTGTTTTTATATTATTGTTGTTTTTATATCATTCTTAATGACATAGAGGCGATTTTATTTGTAATAAACAAATTGTTATATTGTTTGTGGGGTGTGTGTGTTAAACTTTTACATAACATCGGCATATTGTTTATGGACATGTGTTGAATTATCTGTTAAAGAACAAACAATGTATTGTTTGCATATACTGTTCCATTGTTTTATTGTCTAATTGGTTTATAACCAGTCGTTTTACTGCTTGATTATATCCTATGATAATTATTTTATTGTCCTATTGTGATATATGTATTTGTTGTTCAGACTGATAGGCCGCAGTGGCTACTGACTGCAACATCATAAAGTTAGGTAATGATGCTATCGACAATGACTAATTTACCACTTTAACAATTATATTATCCATATTTCAGCCAATGGGGACCTGGGGAGCCCAACAATGGCCGAGGCAGGTCTGTCGAGCACTGCGTTGAAATACGATTTAATGGCTTTCTCAACGATAGAGCTTGTGACATCCAAAGACCGTTCATCTGCGAACGACATGAGAGTAAGTCATCGTCTGCTTAGAGGACGCTCATTTGATATGGGACTCGGAGGAGGGGTAGAGGGGTCTTTGATTTTAACGAAACAAATAAATTGTCCCCGAACATTCTTGAATAAAATAATTAAATATCTGGTCTAAATACAAAATCCCAACACCCAGCCAGAAAAATCTTAATTAATGTGTGCAAATAAAATTGTGTGTTTCAGTAACCCAACGACCTACATTCCAAACGACCGTAGAAGCCGCCACGTCGACGAGTACGACCATAGCTACGACCTCTGCAACTACAGCCTCCTCAACAACTACAACAACTACTACTTCTACTACAACAACCACACAGCAAGCAATTACAACAAAAGTAACTGAAGATCCAAGCACTGTGACACAGACAGAAATTCAACCGACAACTCCACCCCAAACATCCCCAAAACCAGAATCAACGTCACGAGCAGAAACATCCTCAGTTGTTGAAACATCATCTAAAACATCATCAAAACCTGAAACATCATCTTTTGCTGCTGAAACAACCCCAGAACCAGAATCATCAACTAAACCCGAAACGTCTTCACACTCGATACCTTCATCGACGACGTCCAAACCCGTCACGTCTACATCTGTAACAACAACAACATCAACGTTACCAAAGACGTCAAGTGTTCGTCCTTCAACTCCGATGCCAAACTGGAGGACAACGTTAAGCGTTCTAACCAGCACCACCTGGGAAGAAAAGTTATCTCCCTTTCATGGATGTTTTCAGCTGACTGAGAATAACCAGCCCGTCAACAGTGACGGCATGGCCAGCTCAGCGTTGATGCAGCAATATAAGAAGGGTGCAGCCACATGTCCGGCGGCCTATGCCTCTAACATGAACTGGCCTGAAACGGTCGCCGGAACATTCGCTGAAATACGATGCAGAAGTGGCTCTGGTAAGTAGTAAACGCGGTTGTGTTAAACACTTTGTTTGTGTTTTCACTTGTAGTCTGATAGACTCGGAGACACTTCATTAGTACGCAGTCCTTTAAGGTTTTTTTAATCGTTTAAAACGATTTACATGTATCTTTATGACCGCTGCAGGATTCTTATCGGTACTATTGTATGGATCGGTGACGGATAACGTCGAGTTAACAAGGTATCAGTGTATCTTAAAGTGGTAATCGACATTTACACGCCCTATCATAATTACAATATAAAACGTCAACGCCAGAGCATAACCAGTCTCGATTATCCGCCGAAAATTCCATAAGACGTAATAGTCAAAATACCTGTGACAATGAATCACAGAAAATCAGTTATGTCACCAGGTGTTCGCGAAAAGATATAAGCATGTCCTACCCTACTTTAGCATCCTTGATAAAAAAGAAACAACCTCATCATGCAATGTGTGAATCCTATTTCTGATTTCTGAGTATTGTGAAATGCGGAGTAGGACCCAACTCACTCACTCACTCTCGCCTAACTCGTTTCTATCGTAATTTAGTGTTTTCTAACATCCCTTTATATTGTTGTTGTTCTTTTATTATTAAGGTGGATTTTCTTAGTTCAATAGTCTAGTATTTAGTTTGCCAATGTCAATAGTATTTGGTTTCATTTTTTTCATATTGTTGTAACGTTCCCAAACAAGGAACAATTGAAAACTAAGCATCTCATCAGCAAATCAAGCCTTCCAATGTGAACAACATGGTAACAGGACACACATATGTGTGCACTTAGTGAATATTTTCAATGACGTACGTTATTAACCTTTGACAATTTCCGATCTTCTATTTCCCCGTTTCGCACACGTGTGACAGGAATTGCAAGCATACAGAACAAAAATATTTAAAAACAAAGTACGTGAGATTCACAGTTCCACAGCTGTTTTAAGTGTCACATTTCCTCCCCCGGGGAATGACCTCACTGCAGTGTCTTATCACTTCATCCCTGTCGCCTGGTTCAAACCATGTCAGCTGTGAAACTAACATATCAGATAGTTTAAAGTCACTTGGGACAAATAAGTTTTCTTTCATACAGAAAGAAAGTGTTTTTACTTATGTCAAGTATTTTTCCCTGGGGACCTATCTTAAACATGTTTTAGTTGAATTGCAAAAATGCGTCTTATGTGTTGAGATAGGTGTGTCTCCCTGTCTCTATGTTTATGTATTTATCTCATAACACCAGCATCTATATTTATGCAAAGTCATAATCCTTAGTAATTCTAAAGAAACGGCAAGTTGAGAAATAAGGCGTTTTGACGGTTCCTTCTCCGGAAAATAGCCTTAAAAAGTCTTAGTATTTAAGTTTCACGTTTTATAGTATATTTTGACAGCTAGGAAATAGTTTTCAAGATCTTTAGATTGTGTCTTTGTGTCCGACGTTTGCCCATCTTTGTGTTAATGACCAGGCATCATCCACATCTTTTGGAAAGAACCGAGTTTGTTTTGTTTTTAAGAATAATAAACATTAGATAAATGAGAGTTTTAATCTCTCGCGAGATCCCGTTAGGAGATAGTCAAGCTGTCAAACATGGCGGCCGGTAATGTAGATACCAGCATGTGCTGTTCTCACTTTGTTACTGATTGGTATTTTCAACCAACTTAGAGAGATATTTAACCAGTTTTCAGTTATATTACGGCACGGCAGATTAATGTGATAGAAATAGTCGCAAGGGGCTAATCTTGTGTTCGAATCGCTATGGTTCCTTCGACTACCAGGCCACCAGTGCCACCTTTCAATCAGTGATTGGTAAAGGTAGCCAACAAGCCTTAATTCCAAGCTCTACTTAATCCCTAAACGGGTATGTAAATCAAAGTGTGAGAGCAAAGCATAAATTATCACAACTAATTAATAATATAACATGCAAACACATTGTTTACCGAAGGTCACCAGTTAAAATGATATCCCCCATCTAGCGGCCATTGTGTCCACAAATCCTCATATGAGTTAAGCTATACGTTTTGAAGGTCTTTCTGACAGGTAGTCCCCTACGAGATATATTACACAGGAGAGTCTTCGATACTGGGATAATAAGTAGTAAAACTACGTAAGTAAATCGAAATGTATTTATGGATATTTGGTTAAATAAGAAACGTATGAATTATTGCAGAAAACATGATGAGAAATGTCTGGGGTTATTTGATTAATACTAACATTGCTTGACAACAAGACAAGACATGACAAGAAGTATATTCTATACTAAAGGCATTGTTGCACAGAGTACACCTGTAAAGAAACATCTAAGTAACCTAGTACATATGAATATACTTATATTCATTTAACAAAATCTCATTGACAGTTTATTTTCTTTTTAAAAATACATATCTATGTATGTAGCCTTGAGGAATAATTATAAAAAATATTCTGGATTAAGCTGTTTTCTGCTCACATTAGTATATGGACAAAGCAACAGAAAATGGTATTCGTCCTTATTGTCATCACTCATTTTGCAGATTATAACATCTTCATGAACAGAAGGTTTATAACCGACCGTGTTTATAACGCTATGTTATATATCAGCTTCACACCAGTTACATCATAATACAAATATGTCATAGAACATTAGAGAAACTTAATACAAATGTGGCATAGAACATCAGAAAAACCTAATACAAATATGTGATAGAACATCAGAGAAACCTGATACAAATATGTCATAGAACATCAGAGAAACCTAATACAAATATGCCATAGAACATCAGAGAAACCTAATACAAATATGCCATAGAACATCAGAGAAACCTAATACAAATATGTCATAGAACATCAGAGAAACCTGATACAAATATGTCATAGAACATCAGAGAAAACAAACCTCATTATTATTACTTAGAACTCGTTGTAATCGACAATGAATGTTCATACTGTATTCTGTACGAAGATCCTTCTTGTACGTATCACAGAGGCTATTCCAGTAAAACATAGCGTTTTCTTAGACTCTGAAATTGAGATAAGAACATTGTGTGTCTGTTTACACCGAAGATCGGTGAAGTATCTGTTTTTGTCAGGCCTGTGAAGTTACGAAGCGTGGATGAGCGACAGTTGTTTTTATAAAAAGATACACACACAGCGTGTGTGTTCTCTAACGTGTATTTACGTAGTAGAGAAATATGAACACATGAACATGCAGACCGTTCTTGTAATCTAACGATAATACCAAACGCCAGCAAAGCGATCCTAGCACACAGACGGTCCTAACTCCCGTACTTGAACATTGACTCTCAACAGTCGAAGCACTGAGACCGTTTTATAGAACAGAGCCCTGTTTCACAAAGCAATCTCAGCACTAAGAGTGTCATAAATATAAAACGTCAACGTCAGAGAATAACCAGTCTCTATTTTCAACCCAAACAGATTCCATTGGGCGTAATAAAAACTCAAAATAGCGGTGAAAATCATGTAAATGGTTCACTGAAAATCAATGACACCCGATGTTGGCGTAAGACTTTCTTGAAGTATAGAAGTTATATGATAATCGTAACTATGACAACGTACGAATATTGACTATAAAAATATGTTTTATCGAAGATTTAATTTAGTCTCATAAGTTGAGCTTACCTGAATCTGCATATTTTAATGTTAAAGATTCGATAATTAACTAAATCCTATTTCACAGTCCCATGAAGGTAAAAGTGGTCAAACTAAATAAGAACGGCGTCTTCATTGAAGCAACAGGTAATAAGATACGTTTTGTTCTTCTGGTTGTTTGTATACAGAGTAATTCCACTACACGACAAAGCTTCATGGGTCAATGGGTAATGTTATCAAGAAGCAGGTTTATCTGTTGTGTAGAAGGTATGTTTTTGCTTTTGCAGGGCCTTTATGGTCTTGAAATAAAATCATTGTCAGTATTATTAGAAATATTCCAGACTGACTCGTGATCATAGTTCATAAACTGCCGGGCAAAAGTAAGTATACACCCATGTCTGATGGTGGCTAAACATAAAACAAACAAGAAATGGTTATTCGATGGTGATATGGGTATCCTAGTTGTGTTTGGACCTTACATTTGTAGTGTTTCGGCGACATTTTTTTAGCCTAGTAATGATTTGGTAACGTTTGTTTTGGTCAAATAGAGTTTTCAAGTGCATGTGTATGTCATATTTAATCTATCCTCAGGCATAGCAACATGGAGATGTGGCAGCAACCCAACCTGTTGGCGAGGCGAACCTAATCTGGCCGGATGTGCCTCTCCCAAGTTCAAAAAAATTCTCAAAAAGGTATCAGTACAATTTCTACTTGACAAAGACTAGGTCTGACTATCTAATACAGATGGGCTTCTGTTGCACCAAGTTCATCGTATTGTAGCAGACGTATGGTCGAACTCGAACTCATTTACTCGATGTATCTTTAAGACGAAGCAACATTCTATTCTATGCAGAATACTAATCGGCATTACCACTGACACCCCGCTTCTCGAACTACTGATATCCTTATATATACTACTCAAAAGAAATTAAAGAAAACTTGATATTTTTCATATGACAACATCTGTCATGACATTGGGTGTTCTTTAACTTCCTTTGAGTGGTAACACCTGAATATTTTGGGGGATATATCTATAAAATTGTGTCTTCACTGAACACATTTTCCCGAGGCAAGGGAGTAAACTGACTTTAAATGTCCAGTTTCCACTCTTGCCGAACTAGGCATTTTTATATTTTGATTGGATATGCATAGACTCGTTAGTCAAGTCAAAAACAACTCCATAACTCCAGCCTAGTTTGCAAGGATGGAAACTGGTCTTTTACAGTCAGTTGACTCCTTTGCCTCGGGAAGATGCTAAAAAACAGATATCACTAAAAGTATCCATGATCCCTAACTGTTTTAGTTCAGCGTATTCCGATGACCCAGAGGACATCGATTATAAACTGTTTCAACTGATAGGACACAGGAAGGTCATGCCGAGTGACTTTGCTTCTGACCATGTGTACTCATCGTAGTGCCCTTGTCCTTGTCCTCTATCCTTCCTTTCCCGCTCCCCCTCCCCTCCCTATTGTCTTGCCCTCGCTAGCCCACAGGAACAAGTCCTTCAGTATATGGTACAGATGATGGTGTGCCAGGAAACAACGAGGAAGGCAGCTCGGGTTCGCTGTAGTCTACATCCTGACTGGCGTGTGTCATGTAGGAGGATGGTTAACAAGAGGCACGCAACTTTCACAGAAATCAACTAGAACTAATAGCAGAGAACTCTTATCGGACTCCCTTTTTTTAAAACGGATATGTGGAAACAGGGTGTGCGATCTTTAATTCACCTAACCCTTTAACTTTTAAGACGATGTCCCTTACGTTGTTCGTTAACGGAATCGATAACCAATATATATTTATTTTTTTACCCGATTATCCCCTTTTTGTGGAGGGGGGGTATGAATTGGTTATCAGCATTCTGTTGCGTGTTGTAAGACTAAATTCAGTATTACTATAAGCGGCGTTAAAACATCCCTCACTCGCCGATTACCCTTTGTCAATGAGATCTGGTATATCCATTTTGCACATTTCTCCATGTGATGTTTGACGCTGTAGGTGCTGGAGGCGTCTGCAGAGGAGGCGAACGAGGAGGAACAGGTCAAGATGACCACAGCGCTGGTGGAGGTCACCAAGACGGAGGAGATGTCCGTTGAGGACGTCATGTTGACCTCCAAGGTCATTCAGAGCCTCGCTACGCCGAGCAAGGATAACAAACCTAAAGATGAAAAAGCTGTCAAAAGTATCGTCAAGGTACGGTGGCTTTTTCCTATTGTTTTGACGTTCGTTCTTTGGACTTCATGTTGTATTATTCATATATCTAATTCACTTACTAATTTTTCCTGTTGGAAGTCCAGGTTCGAATTAACCCCGACAACCTCAGCATTGTCCTCAGAGCCGATGAAATGGCAATCAAGTGATCAGTCGCTGTGCTGATTAGGTTTCAATGTGCCCCGGTGGCGTGGATTGTTCTTGTTTGCTACGCCTAAGCTGTCGTGGTATAGCTCGAGCATTGCTGCGTTGTAAAGCGCCAAACAAAAAACAACTTACTATTTCTTTGCTACCTATCTACGTGATGTCGACATGTCGTCCTGCCCCACACTCAAACACCTCAGACAAGTGACCTTATGTTCGAAATTTGCTGTTCACCCAGCAGTAAATAGGTACCCAGTTGGATGAGATATGACTCTTTACCTTCTAGCGTCACACAGGCAGTTTGTGTTGCATACTCCCTCTAGGAGTGAAACTTAGGTGCTCACTGATCCACCGTGGCAATCTTGGTGCTCGTGATATCTGGCATGGAAAAGGGGCAATACAGGTGGCATCAGTATTCAAATTGCTAACAGAAGCAATGGTGTTAAATCAACATGCAACACCATGTCAACTTGACAGTTCCTCCTCAACAAGAACAGTCAGACTTTTTCCTCAAAAAGGACCCATTTTAGATTTACTTGTGTCGAACATTTACTTTTATATATTTTACAGAACGTCGTTAAAGCCGGCAGCAACGTTGTCTCCGAGAACAAGTCGTCCACGTGGGAAGAAATGGCACCAGAGGACAAGGCAAGATCAGCCTCCAATCTCTTGGTTGCCATAGAATCGACAACCGTTGCCATGGCAGCTGTCATCGATCATCCGACTGTAATTGAGGCTAAGGATGAAAATATTGGTAAGTGAAAGTTGATCTTTTCTCTTTTCGTTTTGTGTGTTTGTTTATTTGTTGTTTAACGCCACACTCAGCAATATTCAAGCTATATGGCAGCGGTATGTACATAATGTAGTTTGGACCAGGCAATCCAGTGATTGACATCATGGGCATCGATCCACGCAATTGAGATACGATGACATGCATCAACCCAGTCAGCGAGTCTGACCACACGATCTCGTTAGTCGCCTCGTACGGCAAGCATGGGTTGCTGAAGACCTATTCTTACCCGGATCTTCACCGGCTTCTTTTCGTATATGCATAGTATGTGTCATTGTATTCCGAAATGTTACGCCATGTGGCTGTATTGCAGCCTGTCACAACCAAGATAAGGTAAAATATTTATTGCGTAACGTTCAATGGAGAATCAGAGGCAACGTTCCTCCAGATACAAAGGAGGAACATTAACACTGCCATTTGAACAGAAATGTTATGTAATATAATACTATTGAAACAATAGAAGAATGAGCAAAACGGTGGTAGTGTCAAAGTATTTAAAATGGTAGATATAACAGTTTTGGGAAAAGAATTCTTGATATCTGTTTGTAAAAAGTGTCAAGAAGATATAGCAAGCTTTCATAAACAGTGCAAAGAACAAGGATCGATGAAATGATAATAAAAATACAGTATCCGGTTATAGTTTATTTCAACAGCTGATTCAATTAGTGTAACTTATAAACAATATACTCGTACCAGTAGACTAACATTTAGTCTCTGAAATCTTATATTACACAATATCCTTCTTGACTCTTAAAATAACAAATATTTCCCTATGCTGATTTCAGAGACTAAACATTTTCAGAGCCTGCCTATCAGGGCAATCTTGAAATGTAAATTGGACACATGTAGAATGGAGCTAGCTTGAGCCGGCTAGACTTGCTTTTATATGCGTTTCTAGATTTATTTATTTATTTTTTCATAAAATAATTATATTCCACGGTCATGGTGCAGGACTATCGCACCAGTTGAGTTCAAACACATGACTCAAATAACTGAAAGCCACAAAATCCTTTTCAATATTCATAGGAAATATCTGCCAAAACAGAGTCGACTGGAGGGAGCGAGGGAGCGAATGTTGTTTAACGTCGTAGTTTGCAATATAACAGAGTCGATTGCACGATTCCGACTAAATCATGAGCATGTGTCTATGAATCGCCATCAAATAGTGATGATACCAGGTGTTCGCGAAAAGGTGAGCGCATCCTGCCCCACCGGTGGCACCCGTCACAAACACATGCAAGGTCAAATGTTCATCCCAAATACGGGAACATATGTCACAAGTCAAAAAAGGGAATTGCATCGGACACCAGTTTTGTCACTGATTTGGAAAGGTCATTCACATGCCCACCACGAACCGTTTGGAAAGCTTTATTGGGGCCCTCGATATTGTAACCTTGATGAAACAACTTTTGCGCAAGAGTATGACGTTCTTTGAAATCTTTGAAGAAAGAGCGTGACTCAAAGAAACGCTTTCGTTCCATTGTGAATGAAACGTTATAAACAACATGCTTCCGCCCTTGTTTATGACTTACACATAGCGACTTTAAAATATGCTTTCTTGCAATCTTATCATTTCAGTCCCGCTAATCGGGATTTAAGTATTGCATCAAAACATTCTTATCTGTGATCGACGTTTTCGTACAGTAATTTGTAACTGAGGCTGATTTGTATTTGGTCGACACAAGAAGCTTGTTCTGTGACGATAGATCTGTGATATCTCAACAAATAGCTCCATAGAGGGTGTACAACCATCCTTTCTCGCATTGTCTCGTGGAGAACGTGAACCTGCTCTCTAACTCTTTATCAGCAACAGAAAATTAGGAAAGATAAAACATAACGTGGAAACTAATTTCTGAAAGACCGACTTCACTTTTGCATGAGACAAACATCAAATTATTTCTGATCTATGAGCATCTGGCATGTTCATTTTTTTATAGGTAAAACAATGTCAAAACTGTTGTGTTGTGATAAGGTGCATATGGCTGACACTCGCGCAATGTTCGTTTTGGCAAAAGGGGGGCTCGTATTTCAGTATTTTCCTAGAGGCTCAATTTCGTTTTAATTTTGAAAGCTCTTTACTATGAACCATTGAGTAAATATTTTAAGAGCCTTTGCAGTTTAAAGATAACACATAGGATCCTTATTCATGAAATGTCCCTGGTTTTCTAAGAAACTCACACTTTTGCCTAGCTGTAGTTCAGACAACCATTGACCTTAAACCTTGAGGTATGTCGCGAATAAATATGTTTCTGAAATACGTCGTTTCCTGGAGGAAAGGGCATACACATGTATTTCATCTGAAGCCACATGCATGTAGAGTGTAAATCTACTGTTGAGACCTCTCGCGTCACTATGAATTTATTTTTACGTTAAAAACATATCTGGTGACCTTGTTTTGATGAGATGTCGAGCTTCTCTTTGCGACCGAATTTCTTTGTTGAAAGTTGCTGATCGGGCGTTTTCCCTTTTCAGAACTGTATAGTTGGACTCGTAGACAAAGTTCAAATTTGTTCACAAGTGTACATCTCCTCAAAAGTTTGCCACAGCAGCTCTCAATAATTACATATAATACCAATAGCAGAATATTCGTTGTTAAAAAAATGATTTCAAAGCTTAATCCTGATTTCTTTTCATTTCAATAACATACATTATTATAACTGATGTGTTCATAATTTTGTATTTACTTGTAACTGTAATATGAAAAAAATGCAACAACAATAAAATTAAAATATATAATAAAAAGGTATAATAAATACCTTCGTTCTTAAATTGTGTGTGTTATAGTGCACGAACAGTTTAAGTTATACTTACTTACATAACCAAGTATTTTAATGGATGAAATGAAACATTGTAAACATTTATTTCGTTCTAATCTTTCTTACGTCAATCCCTTACACGTGTAACACCTGAATCATGTCCAAAGCGGCGTAAAAACGTAGTCACCCATACTCGAAAAAACGTGGTCACCCATACATGAAACTCGGAATAAGGTATTATCTGTCCCTCGTAAATGAATGCTTAAAGTCACCCGGGACAGATAATCCGTTAATCCGATCTCGTAGATCGTTGGCTATTCAATAAATTCCAATGGTAAATTTGCGGTATTTCCACTCCACGGTATATGCGCAGTTATGCCAACGATGAGATATCGAACAGTTAACATGGGACCAAGTATAACGACAGACCTTTGTGCATCTAGATCTGGAGCTGCACGTGATAGACGTGGAGAACATGACGAGCGAGGTTCTTACATATGACGACGAGGGATCAGACAACGTCATCTCCATCCCTGCAGGAACCCTTAAGGAACTGAGCAAAGGTGAGCATTGTAGAAACTGATAACACTCCATGTCCTCATTGATGCTGCAAGGATTCTTGCACACTTGAAGACATTCATAGGGTAGCCTGGCGGTTAAAGCATTGGCTCGTTGCTCCGCAGAACCAGGTTCGTTTCTTTCCAGTTGTACATATGAAACGCATCATTTGCGTCCAATGTCGTGATATGGATAAACAATTGAAAATTCTTAAACCTTACGCACACACCGAAGGGCATTTAGACCAGTTTAAACCAGATTTTGTTTAAGAAATACATTTTACATAATACTTAAAAATTAAATACCACTGTGATATTTGAGAAATGGAATGGAAATGGAAGCTCAGTCTATAAACTATGAAACTGTGAACTATGTTCTGTTTTTATCTATGTCCACCTTTACGAACCATATGCATATCATTACCTCTTTCTAAAGGCGGCCTGGCCAGGGCAGTGTTTATGACTCATTACAAGATGGCGGACCTGCTCGAGGAGAGGCCGAGTGCTACCGATGAAAAACGAAAGAGCACGAAGATAGCAAGCAGTATTCTAAGCGCCTCAATCGGAAGCGACAGTCACCGCATCGTACAACTATCGGAGCCTATCACATTTACCATGAAACTAACGCAGGTAGGGTGTTACGGAGTTATCTTACCTGGCATATTCACAAAAAAATCAGTCGAAATGTTCAACCTCCTTGCCAATCCACTCTGGTTGCAATTCGGATGGCAAAGGATGAGGAACCATGAGGGCCATTTTTGTAACGTAATTGCAAAATTATGAAATTTGTTGTGAACCTTAAGAGACATGCTCCTATAACTGTCACTAAACCGTGTTACTTACTATCATTCGCACGTGGTAAAACCGTTCGCTCGTCACGCCGAAGACCCGGGTTCGATTCCCGACATGGGTGCAATGTGTGAAGCCTATTTCTTGTGTCCCCAGCCGTGTTCTTGCTGGAATATTGATAAAAGCAGCGTAAAACCATACTCACTTATACGCATGTTTTGGACTTGTATGACCAAGCACAGTAGTATTGATAAAGAGTGACAATAGCCGGATTGTGAACGTATTGGAATTTTGATGAATTGATCACAGATGTTTGTCCAGTATTTCCCAACATCTCCTCATGAAATCAAAGACAAAGACTAACTCATGTCCATATATTAGAAAAGGGGTATCTTAAACACCTCTCCAATCAACCTTCGTAACGCAGTTTAGTCTTACGTTTTTGTTTTTGTTTTGTTAAAAAAAAGTTTAAAACATGCAAACGGTAAAAGAACAAAGACAAAAAGTCTGAAGCAAACGAATATATCAGGTAACATTATAAGACAACATCTGAACCTTTTTTGCAGATTTTTTTAAATTTTGCACATCTTACCGCGTACCCATATCATACCTCGTAACTTGCATCCATTGCCAATGTAGAGATCTGGTTCTCGGGGGGTCAGCGGCGGTATCTGTCCACAATGTCGGCGTCAAGAGCCGACCAACGAAAGGGCAGATACTCGCAAGACTTCCTTATAAGAAAAGATAATCTCCGGAAGTTCTTCTTTGAGATTCATTTAGTTTAGGGGACACAGTTTCAAGGGAAATGTGTTCAGTTATTTATATTTTTCAAGGGTAGCCTAGAGGTTAAAACGTTCGCTCGTCACGCTGACGTCCGGGTTTTATTCTCCACCTGCGTGCATTTCTGGTCTCCCCTGCTGTGGTATTGCTGGAATATTGCGAAAAGCGGTGCAAAACTATTGTGTCACATATTATTTTTATTACGTTTTGCATTTTGTCGACTGTCCTTGACTTTTGAAATCTCTTCACGACAGGCTGTTCCCGAAGGTGTCACACCAAAATGTTCTTTCTGGGATATAAGACAAGAGTAAGTATACTTGATTCACCATACACATTATGAGTAATGTAGTAGTATAGGCTCACATGTGATATATCCTGAATATACCGTTGTTCATTTTCTCTTGGGGCCACGGGTGGACCTGTCGTCTGAGACGCTGGAATTCCTTGTCCAGAGTTCCCTCCCTTGCGAAACCTTTGATTGTGAGTTCGAATCCCGGGTGAACCTGATTATGTTTCTAGGTTTGTCACCACGAAACCCTTACTCGTGGGTTTCATCAAAGTGGTAAAACATGTAATACCTGCATCACCTCAGGCTTTCCTCCCACATCAAGCTGACCCGCCGTATAAGTGAAATACTGTTCAAAGCAGTGTTAAACCCAACTATTTTTTTCTAGGAGTAGCGCCTCAGTAAAGCAGGTATGTCGAGGGCGGATGGTGAGTCATCCGGAAACAAGTATATCTTGTTTTGAAATGAATAACATATCTTACATGTGTACAGCTTACCGATACCGAAGCATAATATTGTTTATCTATTGTTGTTTGCTTTTGATAAAAAGATTGTGTTTGTCTCTATAAAAGTCCAGTTTCCACCCTTGCCGTTCTAGGCTGCCATTATGGAGGCATGTGTTTGGCTTGACTAACGAGTCTATGCATAGTCCAATTAAAATCGCGTAACGAAATCGACATCCGGTTCGTAAACAACATGGATTTCAACGTGCAGATTTCGGTCGAAAGCGGGATTTGCAATCGAGGTGAACCGTCAACTGGGCGTCGAGAGATATTTTCCAAAAAATTTGCATGGTTTTAATCAAGGTGCTCACGTGATTTGATGCACTTCGCAGGATAAGACCCGTAATATTACAATTTATATCTTGATCATCGATCAGATCGTCTTGACTGGGCGCCGCCATTTTGTTTGCAGCAAATGAAAGTGATATGAGAGATGGAATCTGACTGGTCAATATGAGGGGCATAGAAGGGAAAAACTCATATTAGACACTGGTGGCGCTACTATCAGGCTCAGAAAATCCAGCCTTGTTCGGCAAGGGTGGCCCTTTCCTCAGGAAGAAGACTTCATTGTGTTTTAAAACTCTGTCATTGAAATGGGTTCAGGACGAAACAATAGCATTTCCTTTAAATTCAATTACTTGCATAAATCAAACAACGTACCCAACTGAAAAGTATGAAAACATGCGAAAATATTTTTCAACGTGGCAAAACGGAAAAGAGACAATGCAAACTGACATATTGTAAAGTGACAAAGAAGAAGAAAAGAATAAAGGATGTCATCAATATTTCATTTCATTTCAGTTAAAACTGTGTCATTGTGACAAAGAAGGTTAAAAGATTTATAAATGCAATCAAAATTTCATTTCAGTAAACATTGTGTCACTGTGACAAAGAAGAACTAAAGATGCAGTTAAAATATCATTTCATTTCATTAAAAAGAACTTTGCCATTGTGACAAAGAATTCACAAAAATATGTGACAGTCTCAATCAATTAAAACATTGCACCCACAGCTGTAATCTTCAAATTGCAAATTCTACATATCTGGAATTTAACTTATGTGATATCGCGACGGTTTATGGGAGCGCGGACGTACATATGCCCCAGCAGGCAAAGACCGATGTCGCCATATTTCCTGCCGTCCGTGTCGTAGGGCGGACTGAAGCTGGTGTCAATACCTCGTCTGAGTGTCTGAGCTTTGTTCCGGATTTTAATTTATCATCCGGGTGATAGAAGTGTTATTACTGATTGGTAAAGGCGGTTTCAAAAGAATGGACTCACAAGTCGGATCATATGTCCGGACCCGCCCTAAATGTCAAGAGTGGCCAACCTTTGATGTTTCTAGTTGTTAATTAATGACTTTGATTTCAGGGTAAATATGCCATAACGTACTCTTTGTCTCGTAGCTTAAGTGCATGATGTACGTAGTGTTAGACATGATCGAATAAATTAAAAGGACATCATCTTTATCACTGTCAAAGACAACGAAATACATTTAATCGGCAACTGCTGCGTAGCGTTTCTACTTGATGTTTGATGTTGGTGCTTGTAATATCATGTTTATCAAAACATCGCCCGCAGTCTGATAAGTCAACATAATACTTAAACAATTTTCTTTTTTTCACAGCAACTTAGGAAAAGTTCCCATGATAAATTGTAGATAAACCTGATCCGTTTTATCATCATCAGTTTGAAAAAGAGCACCTACTTCGAATTTGTTTATAATAAGGGGAACTGTAGTATCTGAGTAAAGTTCTTTAATACGACTCCCTTAATATGTATCTCGCAATGTTATCGTCGTTTTTATAAGACTTAACTGGACACTGGGTCCCCAAAACTGTTTGGATCCTTCATTCATACAGAGAAACAAAATGTATTTTTTAAGCGATGACTGAAAGAAATATTTTGTTTCAAACAAATATCCGAGCCCATAAAATGCAACCACACACACACACACACACACACACACACACACACACACACACACACACACATACCTCCGAATACCATCTTATTTTTCAGTCATCCCTGAATCCCGAATATTTGCAGTTGCATTACTGATAAGGTATCGAAAAAATGAAATATATAAAGTTATTTTTTACGTTCAGCATCATTTTTTAAATGTCGATTCTGCGTACCAAATGCGATTTTTTGTGTGTTCCGCGTACTACACTGCGGAGCCCCGAATACCCAATGGAGCCTCCCATCCCGCGTACCAGAGGCAACCTTAGTATCCGACAGTAGTCGACTTATCTAACCGCCTCATTCCTGCATGTCATCGCCAAATACCATCAAGTATGTTCCCAGTAAACCTGTGAAGAACTATCTCAAGCTGGTCTCCCTTGAAGTTTATCGTTAACATTTTTTATGTATACGCTGTCAATAAACTGACAAGACGATAATCAAGTGCCCAGCTATAGTATATTGCTTGTCTTGGCTATAGTGTCCCTGTTTATGTTTCAGCAATGGCTACGGTCGTTGGTCTCAAGATGGATGCCGTTTGGCCGGGACTAACAACACACACACCACGTGCAAATGTGACCATCTTACCAATTTTGCTATATTGATGGACGTCGAAGGGGTGGAGGTGGGTGAAAGACTTGATTCAAGTCTATTTCTTATTTATAAACAAAGCCGAATTAAATGAGTGGAATAAGTACATAAGGGCATTATCTCCCCTTTCCTAGTCTCATTCAACAGATCACTTCCGGATTGGACATGTCGTCTGCTTGTAAATAGTACATAAGGGTATTATCTCCCCTTTCTAAGCCTCATCCAATAGACCACTTCTTCATTTTTTCCCTGAAGAAATTGGAAAAAAAACTTCAGTCTTCACAGAATTGCCTTCGTGATGTAGCGGATGGTCAGTGATTCGCTCCCCAGCCCCGTAATACCAAAAGATGACTTGAAAAGACGGTGCTTGTTGTTACCCTGCCTGTTACCCTTAAGGGGATAAAACAAGGACTGGTCGGCTCGGAATCAGTTAATGTGTCTGAGTGGGGGTATTCATGTTAAGCTGCGGCATGGAATTTCAGTGTGCTAGCACTTTAAAAAATCGACTTACGTCCGGAATAGTACAATCAGCCACACCCACACACGTGCATTCACGTCGCTATATAAGTGAAATAAACTTGAACGCAACTTAAACTCCATTTCACCTCCTTTCAGTCTTCACAGGACATGGGGTATACGAGATTTCTATATCCAGTACTCTAGGTCCGTTTCATTAACGGATAATTGTTGGTAGTCTACCGTAAAATGGCGGTTTTGTGTGCTCACAACGACGAAACAAGAAAACAATGGAAGTGGTTCTGTTGTTAAAGATTAAATTAGTATTATATCAAAGAAACAGAGAGACGTTATGATACATTCATTGTGCAACAAAGACCGGGTAATCACCCCCATGACGTCATAGTAGCCAAATGTATACATTTGAATATACAGCACTCATACCAGACCATCCTTGTTGTGTCGTCAACAATGAGGGATGTTGTATCTAAAGCGCACAGTCATGTTCGGGTCCCAACGTTCATGGTCGTTCTCGAAATACTGCTCAACCTGTTGCGACCGATAGTGATTTTTTGATATATTGAATAGGTAATTTGAAAAAAAATGTTATTATTTAAGTGATTGATAACCTGTTTAGTTATTGTATTACCATCTATACACGGCAGACAAACAATAGCCGTCATATAACTGCCAGTCTTCCTAATGTATGAGAGCTGTAATCTTAACAAATATATCATTAGAAGCGTTTTGGCAGCTTACACTCTAAATAAAGAAGGACGCCCTATGTCTTGGTGGGTAAATCAGGAATGTAATCAGGAATTAGTGGTAAACTTCTAAATTTATCGCCGGAGATAATGTCTTGTCTTGATTAACTGAAAGATTCCATAGTCGCAATCTCTACTGTAATTAACCGTGTCCACGATGTTAAAACGCGAATGGCCAGCCCGCTGGGAGTCTGTGGCGTACACATTAATTGATATCAGTTGCCTTTGCAGCGGATGGCAGCCAAAACGTTCATGTATTCACTCGTCCCTGGTTTCGATTCCAAAATGCAAATAGTTAGTGAATTACTGTCTTGGTACTTCCAGAAGCTTTCGTGTTATTCTTTAACTTGCAGCTTCACCGTGACTGTCCGCTTCATCTCCAAATTCATAATGAAAGCGACAAAACCTTTTCCATTGCCCCAAGAAATTAACTGCACGATTCCGATTGTATCATGAGCATGTGTTGTGATACAAGATTTTTGCAAAACTGTGAGAGTTTCCTGCCCCGCCGGTAGCACCCGTCATAAACACATGCAAAGGCAAGTCAACTGTTCGCCTAAATGAAAGCACGGGAACATGTGGTACAAGTCAAAATAGGGAATTCCATCGGTAATCATTTTTGTCACTGATGAGTTAAATTTGGAAATGTTTTCCACATGTCGACTATAAAACGTATTGAAAGCTTAACTGAGGCCTTGAATGTTGTAACAGTGATCAAACTAATCGCCAACCCTGTGTGTGAATGAGGAATGTAAAACGCATATATTCAAACCACATCACGGTGGTCGTAAATATTTTAGCATGTTCAACAACCCATGCCTGTCGAAAGAGGCGACTAACAGGATCTGGTGGCGAGGCTCGCTGACTTGGTTGATGCATGCCATCGTATCCCAATTGCATGGATCGATGCTCATGATATCAACCACTGGTTTGTCTGGTCCAGACTCGATTATTTACAGACCGCCGTCATATAGCTGGAATATTGCTGAGTGCGGCGTTAAACAACAAACAAACCTGATCGTGGACTGGGCGAAGCAGTGAATGGAAGCACAAACAACGATCCGCGCCATCGGGGCACGATGACATACAATGCAACACACCTAGCCTGATGCTCTTCTCACGATCATATCATGAAGTTTAGTGGATTTATTAGTGGAGGCGCAATCAGTGCGTTACAGCTGCCACACATTTCGAGGTAATTAACGTCTTATTTATAGAACAATACACCAGTAACTCGACATGATATGAGCAACACTGCTCTTCTGATGACAACAGTAGGCTATTGTACAAACACCCTTTTAATCAGCTCTCAAGTACTGGGAGTCATCACTCTGGTCAAGTTGGTCGTCATCAACGCTTGGAGCAATAAGAAGTAAATAAACTGAAGATAAACTTATCTTAACGACGCGAACTGACTGCTCAATGACTTCTCCCAGATCTCACGGAATTCTCGCCATAGACCAGATTTTGTCTCAAAACACAAAGAAACCAGTGCGAGCAACCACTTGTAGACTGGGTTCCGTATCTTGTCATTAATGATAAGGTGCAACTCGGAGCGATCGTGTGTCTATGCCTCAGCCACTATAGTGCTCCCTGGTATCTAAAGAAACACGTGGTGGTGGTTTTTTTTTGCTTCGTCAGATGGTTTCGATGTCCGCCCCAGTTAAACAGATGATTTCAAACGTATTCAAGTTCCCTATCCTGTACGCTTCAAAGGGCGTAACTTAAGAGCTTGTTGAAGCGTTAAGTATTTCGCTACGTTTTATTGTACAATCAGGTGGAACCCGATTTGCTGAGGGATTTAATGTTAGGGCTTCTCGAATGGTATCATAAATATATGTATCACATCTCAAGCGTCAGAGGGCAGATACCAGCGTCGACGGCTGCCTTCAAACACGTGTGTGTTCGATTCTGAAGCATCTGAAGATTCGGACAGGATCGTTAAGTCTTGTTGATATTTTACGTGTTTGTAGTATTTAACAGCGATATTCATATTGCGTATAATTGGATCTGATCAGAGACCATAAACTGGGTTCTAATTACATACAGGAATCCTAAACTGAGTGAGTGAGTGAGTTGGGTTTAACGCCGCATTTAACAGTATTCCAGTCATATCACGGCGTGTCAGCTTAATGTGGGAGGAAAGCCCGAAGTGATGCAGGTCTCAGACGGATATGTGCTGACAAACCTAGAAACATAATCGGGGTGAACCGGGATTCGAACCCACAATCATAGGTTTCTGGTGTGCCTAAAGAGCAACTCTGCACAGCGAATCGCGGCGCCTTAGACGACTGGGCCACCCGTGCCCCCTCCTAAACTGAGCTCCTGTCTATTACTGTACAGGGGCTGTAGATAAACATGTGGTTTAATACGGCTTTCGCTCGTCACGCAAAACACTGGTTCGTTTCCCATACGGGTACCATGCGTGAAGTTCATTTCTGGTTTCACATGCCATGACATCGCTTGAATACTGCAAAAAGAGACGTAAAACCCTTACTCACACTCACTCACTCACCCACTGTCAGCTTAGGTGCATCTTCCCGAGGCAAGGGCGTTAACTGACTATGTAAGTACGAAACTGGACTTTTATAGTCAGTTAACTCCCTTGCCTTGGGAATATGCTTAGTTGCGGAGTACTGGTAGAGTAGGTCCCTGGTACCTGTAAGTGTAACACAGATTTGATGGTTGCAATGTTCTGTCTTGCTGACTGTCGTTGTGCACCGATGGCATGGACCCCCCCCCCCCCCCCCCCCCATTAGGTGCAGGGTTCAGTGATATAACTTGAATATTGCTTACTGCGGCGTAAAACAATAGTAACTCACACAGTTGGAAAATTGTCAATTCACGGTATCTGAATCATTCAAATAATTATATATATATTTTTTATCGGAATCTTAGTCCGCAATGATTTAAAACCATTTTATCTTAATTATACTCATTTATTTTTAAATGTCTTTCAATTGCCTTTAACGTGTATTTCATGGTATCGCGACGTAGCAAGAGTCTGAAAGCTTTGTAAAGTAATTTAATCCACCCACCTACCCTCGTTATGATGCTGGGAATTGCACCGTCCATACGTTTATATCATTCAATATGAATATTTGTGCAAAGAAAACTTCGTGAAAGCCGACCTGTATCTATCAAAATGCTTTCGCAAACCGAAAAACTTTCGTTGTTTGCTTTACTGAACAATTCCAACAAACAATACCGCAACCAGCTAATCCTTGTCTTGTCCTACCCGATAAATCCACAACCCTAATTGTACCCCCAACGGTTAGTTACTGTTTTACCGGCGTCGAACACGGTGTTTGTTTTTTATTCTTTGACGTGGTCCGACGATCCTAGATCCCTTCCCCGAGGGAGGTTTGCTGGCATAGATTCCCATTCCCCAGACTGCATGCCTCAAATGCACTCCAGATGGTCGGGAGGGGGAACAAGGAGGGGTTAGGGAGGCATTTCAACTGTCGGGGTTATTTATTCCCCTCCCGATCCCCGGACGCTGAGTAGACACTGAGGGAATCAACCTGTTAGGAATTGGTCCGGAGTTGGAACAAGTGTTCGTAAAATGTGATCATATGGCTGCAGCTGTACGCTCCCGAGGTTCTTATCTTTACCGTGCCAGTCTACAGACGTCGATGAGAGCGAGAGAGCGAGAGAGAGACAGACAGAGACAGACAGAGAGACAGAGGGAGAAAGAAAGCGAGAGAGAGAGAGAGAAAGAAAGAGAGTGAGAGAGAAAGAATGAGGGAGAGAGAGAGGTTTTATTTAAATGAATGCGCCTAAATATTTATCTTTATAAAACACCTTCAGCACCAACGTGGCAGTTGTGTCTTTTCAACAGTTCTGATGCTTAAAATATTTTTTGAAACTATATTTTGGGACAATGTCTTATTTTCCATAATAGCTATGGAATCCTTTGTTTCACAATACCTTTCTCTCCTCTACAATTAAAACATATGAGACCCTGGTTCGATTTTCCACATAGGTACAATTTGTGCAATACTGTTAAATGCCATTGTCTGTCAAGGTTGCACAGTACACAAAGACGTTACTGCAATACTGCTAAATACCGTTGTCTGTTAAGGTTGATGAGTAGATAAGGACATTGCTGTAGTACTGCTAAATACCGTTGTCTGTTAAGGCTGCGGAGTACATAAGGACATTGCTGTAATACTGCTAAATACCGTTGTCTGTAAAGGTTGCACAATATACAAGGACGTTACTGCAAAACTGCTAAATGCCGTTGTCTGTTAAGGCTGCGGAGTACATAAGGACATTGCTGCAAAACTGCTAAATACCGTTGTCTGTAAAGGTTGCACAATACACAAGGACATTGCTGCAATTCTGCTAAATACCGTTGTCTGTAAAGGTTGCACAATACACAAGGACATTGCTGCAATTCTGCTAAATACCGTTGTCTGTAAAGGTTGCACAATACACAAGGACATTGCTGCAATACTGCTAAATACCGTTGTCTGTAAAGGTTGCACAATACACAAGGACATTGCTGCAATACTGCTAAATATCGTTGTCTGTAAAGGTTGCACAATACACAAGGACATTGCTGCAATACTGCTAAATATCGTTGTCTGTAAAGGTTGCACAATACACAAGGACATTGCTGCAATACTGCTAAATACCGTTGTCTGTAAAGGTTGCACAATACACAAAGACATTGCTGCAATACTGCTAAATACTGAGTCCATCGTTTCTCCTTGCAGATGCACACTGTGCACAAGATGTTGCTGGAGTTCATAACTCTGGTCGGCTGTATCATCTCTATCCTCTGTCTCTTCGCCAGCTGGATGACCTTCACTTGCTTCGGGTAATTACAGTAACAACAATTACATCAATGCTGAAAATAATAATACTTTTCAAAATACGATTATCAAGCAAGGTTACTGCTCAAAATCACTTTCCACAAGATGGAGAGGGGAGGTATGGTAACGTAGTGGTTAATGCCTTGCCTCGTCACGCCACAGATCCGGGTTCGATTCTCCACGGAGGTGCAGTGTGTCTTCCACTCTTGTATCCTTTTCATGATATGCCTCAGATGGTGTGAAAAACTGCCTAAATTAGACTCGAGGTGTATAAGTTACAAACGAATGGCCTGTCAAAAATATTTTCGAGAGGAATTATGCCTTTAAAAAACAAGAAAAACAACATTGTCTAGAACTCTTTATACCAGTTTGACGTGTTCTGTAACTTTCATTGTAGATCTCTTCAAGGAGAAAGGAACTCCATACACAAGAACCTGGTGGTGTGTTTGTGGGTGGCAGAGATTCTATTTATAACGGGTGTCAGCAGAACGGAAAATAAGGTGAGTGGTGGAGCAGAAGCATGTCAATAAAGATTCTGGAAAGATGCACAGAAGTTCAGATTTCTTCATCAATATGGTATCCTTACTTCAGGATGTGACGAAAATAAGTCCAAGCGTCACAGTCGTGTTCCTACTAATTGTTTTAACCAAAAGACATATTTCCAATGAAGGTTTACTCTTGCATTAACATATCTTTTCATCTTTCAAGAAACGCCCGAGACATTCATATATATTTTTTATTGCAATTATAGAGTGAATGAGTATGCTTTTACGCCGGTTTTAGCAATATTCCAGCAATATCACGGCGGGGGACACCAGAAATTGGCTTTACACATTGTACCCATGTCGGGAATCGAACCCGGGTCTTCGGCGTGACGAGCGAACGCTTTAACCACTAGGCTACCCGACCGTCCCTTTGCAATTATAGAAGAAAAAAACATAATTATTGAGCAAATAAAGATTTTTTTTTTAAGTATAAAAAATATTCTTATATATCATCACGTTGAAGTTAAATGGTTAAAGTAACAGTGCATGAAACGAGATATATATATATTGTAAATAAAGGCGGTAAAATCCTTTCCATATTCAAAAGAAATCTCTGTCAAAAGCAGAGCCGATTGTACGATTCCGACTATATCATGAATAGCATGTGTTCATGAATCACTATCAAATAGTCATGATACCGGGTATTCACAAAAAAGGTGGGCCTATCCTTCCCCACCGGTCACAAAAACATGCAAAGGCAAGTCAATTGTTCACCTGAAAAAACACGGAAACATAAATCAAAATAGGGAATTGCAGGACATCATTCTTTTCACTATAACATGGCGGTTTGTTTATTTGTTTGTTCTTTAACGCCGCACTCAGCAATATTTCAGCTATATGACGATGGTCTGTAAATAATCGAGCCTCAATCAGACAAACCAGTGATTGAGATTAAGAGCATCGCCCTACGTCATCGAGGTACGACGACAATGACCCGATCCTCACCACCCGTACCACTAAGTCGCCTCCTACGACCAGCATAGGTTGCTGGGGACCAATTCTAAGGGGATCACGGTGGTCTGAGCGTGATACCTTCCGTTACACTAATACACAAACATCGGCAACGTAAGACTAACGGTTAAGTTATGTTAAGTGCTACTGGGTTTCGTCATACACCTAAAACCCTTCGCTTGCACAACAGCAGATATTGCATCGTTCTCACTTTCACAGCCTGTCGACAAATCTGTCAGCTCCCATGCACACATTTCAACTACCAGACATCTGTCAGGATGTGTTTTTGTTTGTTATCTTTATTTCCTGACACTGGATCAACGAGAAGAAATGAAAAAAACACTGTTAAATAAATACGTATTTCCTCCCGTGTGTTCACTGGAGATGCAGAAACTTCGTGATCATTATGTACCGATTCTATCGTGGCGTTTGTGCAGTAGTAAACAAACCCATTCTCCTTTCAATATATCTAACGTGCATTAGCGCTGTGTGCACTGAGACAGCCTCGTGATAAGGTCATGATACAAACCTGCGTATTTTCTACCGACGTAAACAACGTCATTCAACGCCATGTGTATGTTTCTATGTTCAAGTTATCGACGTTCTAAATCTTAAAACAAACGCCCTTCCCATTCACTCCACACAGAGTCCCTTATGTAATTTGAGAAATAACCTCGTATCATTTTTAAGTCGTTCATAAACATTGATAATTTGTTTGGAACAATTAATGTCGTTCTTCTTACCACATAAAATAGAAATGAACAACTTAATTCGTTTATCTTTTGTTCGGCTGTATCGTTTCGGGGAGGTGGGGTAGCCTAGTGGTTATAGCTCGTCACGCATAAGATCCGGGTTCGATTCCCAAATTGGGTACAATGTGTAAAGCGAGAGTTACCGAATGTAACCTCCACCATGGCCTCTCGAAAATTCTGCAATTTCGAAAAAACAATTAACACACTCTACCATACTTTGGTACATGGATGAATATTACCATCCCCTGCGATGTCCCTTTCCCTTGTGGGCGGTGGGTGGCCTGGTGGATACAGCTCGCTTATGACGCCGCAGGTCCGGGCTCGAATCCTCACATGGGTATTATGTGTAGAGCTCATTGCCTGGTGTACAGCAGGAATATTGCTAAAAGCGGCGTAAAACCATACTCACTCCCTATGCCCCGTTACTTGTATACTTATCGGTATCCGTCCCAGTTTTCTACTCGACTGTAGACCCGTGAAGATCCGGGGTAGAATAGGTCTTTAGCAACCCATGCTTGCCGTAAAAGGCGACTATGCTTGTCGTAAAAGGCGATTAACGGGATCGGGTGGTCAGGCTCGCTGACTTGGTTGATGCATGTCATCGTATCCCAATTCCATGGATCGATGCTTATGATGTCAATCACTGGATTGTCTGGTCCACACTCGATTATTTAGAGACCGCCGTCATATAGCTGGAATATTGCTGAGTGCGGCGTTAAACAACAAACCAACCAAATAATAATACAAACAAACCAACTTGACTGTATATGGTTGTTGTTTTCAGCTGGCCTGCACCCTGATCGCCGGCTTCCTGCACTACTTCTTCCTCTGCGTGTTCATGTGGATGTTCATAGAGGGAATCCACATGGTCATCATGCTGGTGCAGGTGTTTGATGCCGCCAAGTCACGCCTGCCTTACTACTACATGACTGGATATGGTGAGTTTCTTTGTGATGTTTATTTGTTTGTTATTTAAAGCCGCACTCCAATCTCATTAAAATCAGACCTTAGTTCTCGCTACCGCTAAACAAAGATCTGAAGACATCCCATTAGGGGTCACGTCAGAACGACCTTTCGTCCGACCAATCAGTGCGTCGCTTACCAGATTATGAAAGTGACAGTCGGAATGTGATTTCTAATCATGCAATCTCGAAAACTTTAACATGGGGTATTCCGAACGATAGTTGTGGGTTTAACGACTGAATCATTACAATCTAGACCATCTATTAGCCATTCCAGAATGTTTTTTTGTTCAGGTTTCAAATTTGTAATCGAGAATTTGTCAAAATATGTCTCGAAGCGTAGTCCCCAATTTGAAATTTGTGCTGTAAAGCACGAGAAAGCTGCCTTCTGATTGGTCATTCTATTGGTCGGTCTGACGTGACCCGTAATGGGAAGTCCTCAGATCTTTGTTTAGCGGTAGCGAGAACTAAGATCTGATTTTAAGGAGATTGAGCCGCACTCAGTACTGTTCCAGCTTTATGACAACGGCCTTTAAATAATCAAGCCTTGACGATACAATCCAGTGATTGATATTGTATGTATTCTGAAATACATAAGTATCGTTTTATGCCGTCGTTAATTTCAAAGAAACAAAAAAGGCATCAAATTCCATACAATTATTTGATTTCAATATTTTAGTGATTGTGTTTAATATTTTACTACCATTGTTCTGTTTTCTACCAATGTCATGTTACAACGGTTGAGCATTGAAATGCAAGGAATTTGATTTTATCTATCTTCTACCAAAAACTTAAAGATAATCCTGGTATGGTTGTATTTTGCAGGTATTCCCCTTATAATTGTCTCCATAGCTGCGGGCTTCTACTACCAAGGCTATGGAACAGACCAATAGTAAGTGAAGTCACTTATATAGGGTGAATGGCGGGTGCTTAACCTTTTGTTTAAACCTTTCGCGAACACTGAGTGTCATCACTGTTTCTCAGTGATTCATACATATCAGCGCTATTTCACCTTTAACGTCCACTGGAATCTGTTTCGGGGATCTGGTTCTTCTCTGGCGTTGACGTTTTGTATTTCACTACCTGCTCGACGAAACGCTGAAATGATATTTAAATGGGTTTGCATTTGGCCATTATATAAAAAAGAGATTTCTCGTGTGAAGCTGATTCTTAAAATGTCACCTTTTTACTCACTAAGCAGGAAACTCGTTTATAGCAGCACTGACGGCATAAACAGTTTTGGAAAGAAAAGATAACTCTTCTGTTAAAATCCGGCAACCTTGACGTTCGTGAAACTAATATTAAAACCAGACTTGTGCTGTTTTTGTTTCCAGCTGTTGGCTGACAACAGAACGCTACTTCATTTGGAGCTTCGCTGGTCCAGTTGCCTTGATACTTCTGGTGAGTTATGAAACTTATCTTCTTTCCATCAAACTGCAAAGATGGCTGGAGAATATATTACCTAACAATCTGAAAATTTAATTTAAACGTGGTGATGGTAGTAGTAATAGTAATAGTAGAAGTAGTAGTAGTAGTAGTAGTAGTTATAGTAGTAGTCGTAGGAGTAGTAGTAGTAGTAGTAGTAGTAGTAGTAGTAGTAGTAGTAGTAGTAGTAGTAGTAGGATGATGATGATGATGAGGCAAATCAATTGTTCACCTGAAAAACACACGGGAACATAATATGGTACAAGTCATAATAGGGAATTGCATCGGACATCATTTTTGTCAGTGATGCGTCAAATTTGGAAATGTCCTACACATTAAACTTTTTGAAAGTTTACTGGGGTACTGAATGTTGTAACCTTGATCAAACAACTTCTGAGCAGGAGTTGTAGGACCTAATGTAACCTAATGTTTCAAATGTGTTCCTGTCCTAGGTAAACGCCATAATCCTCACGTATGCCATGGTGATGGTGTGTCGCCACTCCGAGTTCGTCCTCAACAGCAAGGAGAAGAACTCTGGCGGCATGAGGTACGTGACGGGATCAACACACCACACTGATGCCCTCAAATATCAACGTCGCTACCACACAGCGGGGCAACACAATCGTGTTCTCAGTCTGCACCAATGCACGGCATCGTGTGTGTGTGTGTGTGTGTGTGTGTGTGTGTGTGTGTGTGTGTGTGTGTATTTGTGTGTGTGTGTGTGTGTGTGTGTGTGTGTGTGTGTGTGTGTGTGTGTGTGTGTACCAAATGGCGCTAACCATAGAAGCAATTCGGAAATAGAAACAAAATCATTTTTGTCCTTTTACGTTTTGTTTACTAATCATGGTAATAACTAACAAAGTTATAACTGCTGTGGTTTGAAAAGGACAGACAGCAACAAGGAAAATTGTTAATTTACAGGAGAGAACATAAGGCCAAATTTACAGTCTGAAACGAGCCATAAGTATATGAATATCAGATGATGGTAAGATCAAACCAAATCTAACATATACTTGAAATATTATCAAACGAGACATTAATCCAAATACAAATTAATAAAGTAGTTTTGTGCTAATAAAATGATTATAGCCAGCGGCGACAGAAGTAAGAAAACTGTTATTATAATATATACTGCTATATTGTTTTTCTCTAAATAATTGGTGAGGGACAAGAATAAATTTGTTTCTATTTTCAACAGTACTTTGTTTACCACCAACCACCCATATCCCCTCAGAGGGCCAGGTAAAGGATATTATGGTGCTTCCTTCCCTTCAGGGCGCGGTAAAGGATATTACGAACCGTTTTATGCCTATGATGGTGTTTGCTGATTACAGTCCAAAGGATGCAGGCTGAAATGTTTACAACTTCAGTGAAATCCTCGAGCTGATCATATTCGAGGCAAATTTGCTTCGAATCAGATCATGGCATGATAAAGGGAGACAACTCTGCAAAGAGAGTTTCAACGCCTCCGAACACCGGCCCATGCGCTCTGGGCATTTGTAGCGATTTATGATATAATGATGGTAGGTTAGTCAGTCTTAGTTCAAGAGATTCAGAATCCTGTATTTATTGTTCTGTCATTTTCTCCAGAACTTGGCTACAGGGTGCCTTGTCGATGGAAGTTCTGCTTGGTCTCACCTGGACATTTGGCTACTTCTATATCAGCCAGGAGACCATCGCCCTGGCCTATATCTTCACCATCCTCAACAGTCTCCAGGGACTCTTCATATTCTGTTTCCATTGTCTCCTCAACAAGAAGGTGAGATAACCAACAAACAACAATACAATTAAAAAATATGGCCATGTCGAAGCTGGATCTAACCGATCTAACCCGCCATCTTCGGGAAAAAGGAGTGTTTCGTGTTTGGAACTTGAAATGGATCTAGTACTTGGGTTTAAAGTTTTAGGGTTTTAGGTTTACCCATATGTTGGGTTGAACGCCGAGGTACAATATTTCAGTTATATTAGGTATCGAACTTACAGGCGTGGACGCTTACCACTTTTGTAAAACCTATGAGCACAGATGTGGTGCTGACAAGCCAAAGATCATAATGAGAGCGAATCTGGCATTCGAACCCAGCGGATCCAGGCACGACCATAAAATGTAGTGAAATCAAGAAACAAAATAATATAGATTACGTATTCTAACGCTGAGTAATCTTCTGTTGCTGCAGGTGCTCAAGGAATACAAAAGAATACTCCACATCAGCAAGAAGCGCCCCAGTGCCTCTACACAGTCCGCATCACTGATGCGCAAACAGAGCCAGTCGTGCGAGATGTCAAGCAAGTCTCGCAAGGACTCCAGCTGCTGATCCAAACCATCGCTAGGACAAAGACGCGTGAAAGACAGTAGCCACAAGACACCACTTCTGTCAGGGTCGTAGACCAGGATGCAATCTACGAATTGATAACTTTACATAAGATGTCAGCTGAGTTGACCTCGTTGGCTATCATCTTCTTTAGTTTTTATTTGGGATGGATATAGGGATCTGGATAATATTAGAACACGCGTTTCAGCTACAAAATCAAAATCAATCATATTTTAATCTTTGTTTTGCTTTGTGGGCCGCCTTCTTCAAAGTGTACAGTCGGTCGACACTCAAGGAATTGTATTCAGACATTTTCACGGGTTGAGTTTTCGAGCAGGATACATTGACTTTCTGATTATATTACCCGACAGTGTTGACCTTTCCCAATGATACACAATTGATGTAGGTCAGAAACTTATTGAGCTGTTGAAGTACTAATGCTTCAAGGATGTTGTCTTTCACACTTGCTGAAACTAACAGTTGACACGTGTGACATGTACTAATGCACTAAGAGATCACTGCCATGTATATATAACTGTCTATGCACTTACGCATTGTATTTGTCTGTCTGTGTTCGCCTAGGAACTGGCCAAAGCGACCATAAGTCGATAGACGGAGGTCTTTGAGAACGCAGACTTAGTTGGAGTCTAGATCATCATTATCGGTGCCACTGAACAATGTAAAGATCCTTTCGCTGCTCATGTGATCATATTTAAATCATGAAGATTGACATGAGCATATAGAAGTAAACAAGCCCTCCAAGAGGATACAGTGGATCTGGGCCATGTTTTACAAAGCGATTTTAGTGTGGGAATAACGGTCATCTTAGCGGCAAGGTCGCTATGTAAAAAGGATGACCTGAGGTCCTTTTCATGGGCGATCTTAGTGGTATGACTGCCGTTAGTCAATATTAAAGTATAGGAGTTACGATTGTCTTAGCGCTAAGATTGTTCCGTGGAACGATGCCCTGAACTCATTCTGGGATGCATTTCGTGATAGTGAATATATCAACTAACAAAGCATGTTGACAAAGTATTGCCATGCAGTATTCCATAGCAAATACTCGTTGTAGAGTCTGTTGTAGTGTTTAGCAAATGTTCCGTCACCATCAATGGTGTGTTTTAATCATATAGTAATATGTACAGGGTATGAATCTGTTTGTAGTCGCATTGTTTCATGTGTATATAAATGACAATCAATGTCAGTAAGTTATACTGATAGTTGACAGTGGAACCTTCTTCTGCAGCACTATTACATTCAAACCCGCGATGTTTGCTTTTCACAACTACACGTTGTTCTTAAGACTTATTTGAAAATATGGGACTCAATAAATTCCAACATGTTTACGTCAATATTAACAGATACATGAATCATATGTCTTTACAACCTCTCATGGGGAACACATCTGAACTAACAATCTACAAAGACGTTAACGGGATTTGGGAACATACGATGACAAACAAAACCAGATGACCAACTCTCATATCATAGGTTACCGTTCCATGGTACTGTTATTTCCAACACAATTTGCATAACAGTAGTCGTGACGAGGTCGTACTTATAAGATAAAAGGTACACAATATTGGATGCAAATATCAATTCCACATCATTGTATTTGTTCCAAATGGACCAACGATAAATATTTCCATGACGCATTACTATGACATTCTTTCCTCTGATCATCATTTATAGAAATGTCTGTATTTGTAAACGTCAACAATGTGCACCATGACTATTGGGCGTCTGTGTTGTAGAGGAAATGTTCATTCACATCACACGAGGGACCCATTTAATATTCTGGGAGGGAGTTAGGGAAGGGGCTGACATTTTTGTTAGAGAAACGATATCTTTTCGGTCACTGCTTCAGAACACGTAATCCTTTTCTGCCGAAGGAGTCGAACATTTTATTTTTCAACGAACATTTTTCTTGTGTATAAAAGCCGAGGACAACTTATTTTTATGTGAATCATTAAAGGTTTTCCAAAATATTCCACCCCCCTCCAGAATATTAAGTGGTCGGCACCTAGGCATGTATGTGTTCGTAGGTAAAATGTATATAAATGTTGCATCCATAGACATATTATACACATGTAAGTTTACACCATTTAAAGTACTAAGCATTATCTCCATGCGCTTTTGAAAATATTCAGGTTTACAAACTCCATCCTTATCACGGTACACGATACTTTTATCACACTTCGTACATAACTAGTATATTGACAACTGATATAGTCATTTCAATCCACTCACACAGTCCCTTCTGTTAAAGGAAGTCATCTTTGACGAACCCTCTAGCCAGTGATTGTAGAAAGCGCTCGTAAAATATATAATTTGTTTGCCCAGAATGGGAGAATATTATACGATACTAACTATACCAAGCATGACTTCGACTGTTGTTGTCTCATATTTTTTGTGTTAATGAGTGTATATTGTGTACATTGTTTGGTGTAAAACTTTACTCCACTTTTTGAATGCATTATAGAATTTCGTTTTACATACTCAAGATTTATTGCTGCATTTTGCCTCATCGTTGTTTCAAACTTTTTGGCTGTTAAAAATGCCAATCATAATGAAAGGTATCACTTCGTCTTCGTTTAATAGGCTCATACATGTACACCGGGATATCTTCTTTGGTATTTCAAGGCTTCTACGCGAAACGATTTTAGTCGTATGTCAACACAACTCGTTAACCTTTTGGGGAATTAAGAATAAGTGGATTCCTTCATTATGAGAAAAGTTGTGGGTTGGGGTGGGGCTTTTTCGCTTGATCTGAAGCTTTATTTCAGATGATACAAAATATTGTATATTAACAGTGTATGACCCTTGGTGGTTCAAACCTTATTGTTTGGTGCTATTTGGTGGCTGTAAATGTACATTTTGTCACATCTTGGTTTATTATGACTGTTTACACCTGCTGAGTACTGACATAATTAAACTGTTAAATAAAGTGCTAACTTTCTTCACACATTAGCCTCCACGTTTTCTTTTTGTGTTTAAGGCTTAACTCAACACTATTCATGCTATGTGACGGCGGCTGTAAACAATATAATCTAGACAGCATAAACCAGTGGTTGATATTATGAGCAACGTCCTACGCCTTTGGGGTACGATGACAATCATCCAAGTCTGACCACTCGATCCATTCAGTGTCATCTTACCCCAAGCACAAATACATCAACATCGGTAATTTGAGACTGGTGAGTGCATGAGTTTGGATTAACCACGTTTTCTAACATGATTGCTAGATCACGTGGTGGCAGCTTATTGTGGTAGGAAAGCCCTAAGTGACGCAATTCTCTGAAGTTTACCACTTTGGTGAAACACACGAGCACGGGCATGGTGCTGACAAACCTAGAAACATAAACGGGGCTAACTTGGATTCGAACTCAAAGTCATGGGTATTTGGCGTGAATATAGGCCTGACGTTCAGTGCTACTGCCTACAGCCGTGCATACACAAAAATCCTTGCATAACAGCAGATATTGCATGATATCAACAAGATACACATCGCTTGGTTAGGAGGACACCCTATCTTATTTTCCAAGTTACTGAGCCTGGCAACCGATGTATTGTCACATCCTACCACCTCTGGAATCTATGCCAGACAATCCTGAAGGTCAAGTGAAGAAAGGTCATTATACTCCGAGTAACTAAACAAGGCTAATACTATACACATTTACAAAATGAGTGGGTTCGGTTGTACACCCTTTTGAAAAGTATTTTTGTATTAAAAAATCCAAAAAAAAGAAGTAGATCGTTGGTGTTTATAACACCAAGGGTATGATGATGAACAAAGTGTCCAAATCCGTTTGGATCTGGAATTCGAACCAACAATCAGCAGATCATGATGTGGGTCTCTTAGGACAAAGACTTAGCATGATAATTATGTAATGTGTATTGTGGCCCAGCATCCTTTTATACACGGTCTAAGTTGGGTTATTTTTTCAGCGCTACAACTGTCGTAAGTCTCTGTTAATACATAGATCGATGCTTATGTCAATCACTAGATTGTCTGGTCCAGACATGATCATTTATAAACCACCATCACATAGCTCGAATATTGCTGAGTGCGGTGTTAAACAACAAATAAACAAACAAACAAAACGGGAGTAACGATAGTCTTAAGGCTTTATGAAATGGGCCCTGTACTCCCTTAGGCAGTAGGAATTCTAAAATAATCTCAGTTTTAATGCATCACATGGCTTGGCAACTTCACAACAGTATCAACATACAGTTTAATCAAAGTTATTTCATATTAAAGGTGCATTATCCCCTAGAAAGCTACATTGCAGCAATATCAGGTCAGAGAACACAAGGAATGGGCTTCACACATTGTACTCAAGTATCAGAAATATATATACAACCGACACCGTTGGATAGTGGATGAGCGTCTGCCTGGAGACCGGACGATCGTTGGTTCGATCCCCTGACCGTCAAACCAAAAGACATTGAAAGGTGGTGCTTGTTGTTGTTGCCCTGCCTGGTCTATAATGTCTCTGGGTTAAACATGGTATCTCATAAGCTCAGTGGGCTTGCACTATATAACCGTAATAAGTCTGGAATAGTACAAACCGACACACACATGCATGCACCTTGAATGTGACCTTAAACTGATGATATGTAACAGGATCCAGGTTAACTGAATTTCACATTTCACAGTACACATGACAGATTAACTATACTAATATGAAAGAATCAGGTGTGCCCTAACATTTTCGGTAGTATATTTACACATGGTGGATATACTTAATGCTACAGGAATACTCAAGATCAAGTTAAAACATATATAGATAAAATTGTAGGATACAGGGGCATAAAAAGAATATAGCCGGGTAAAAGAAATTATACACCCATGTTTGATGGTGGCCAAAAACGAAACAAATGAGAAATGGTTATTGGATGGTGATCAAATTGAAACGCTTATCACAGTTGTGTTTCGGACATTAACTTTGCAGTGTTAGGTGACTGTTTTGATAAAGTTTTTTTGTCAAATCCAATTTTCAAGTATATACTTTCTTTTGCCTGACAGTTTATATTAATTCTGTATTTGTGCTACAAATTCCTGTACATGTAGTCAGAAGGTTATTTTAAGAATAAAATAGAGATTTGACAATGATCCTCAGTCAATATTTTTTATCATGATATATGCTTTTATACATTGTGTACATCTATATATGATTAAGTACAATGCCATGTAAGCAAACCTACTGTACAAAGTTGTGACCTTATCCTGACATCTCATTGTCAGGATGAACAAAATTTAATCACAAATGTAAAACATATTCAAACATACCCCTGCATACAATATACATAGCACTTTTCTAAGAAGTATTATATCAATAAACTGTCACAAAATATCAAAGTATTAATACTGACTGAACACAAGAAGTAAACTAGATAACGATTGCGCTTTTGAATGAGAATATACAATATGTACACCTATATGCACTTAACTTTTTTTGTAAAGTACTACTTTATTTTTCAAATAATCTGAATTTCCATGTATCACTTGAAAATATCCACATATCACATTGACCTAATCATGATATACATTTGATATACCATTGACTTACTGTATGTTCCTCCTGAGTGAGTGAGTGAGTGAGTTGGGTTTATTGCCACTTTGAACAGTATTCAAATGATATCATAGCGTGTCAGCTTAATGTGGGAGGAAAGCCCAAAGTGATGCAGGTCTACAACTTTCGTTAAACCCACAAGCACGGATATGGTGCTAACAAACATAAAAACTTTAACATAATTGGGGCGAACCAGGATTCGAACCAACAATCATAGCTTTCTGGGACAGAGCAAATTGAGGTGCCTTAGACCACTGGGCCACCCATGTTTCCGTTTTATATGATACAACAAAGCATAGGGAGCTATTGAAATGGTAGTCACATAACTACTGCCATGAAATATTTTGATTTCAATGTCTGTATTTCAAAATGAGTATGTCACTTTGTAAAGGTTGGGCAGTTAATGGCAGACTTTGGGCTTCTGGAGATGATAATGCCAGGAACAAATAACATTACCCTTATACTAAGCATACTATTGTATAATATTTTACTTTCCGAATATATAATAAACAAACATATAATACCAGAAATGTGACACAGATGCCAATAACATCAAAAGATGCATTTCTTGTCATCAACTGGTTCGACAGTACACAGAGCATAAATTTGAATTTTAGGTAACAAAATGTTAAGTCTATTTACCACGGAGTCTCATACTATAAAACCATTATTCAGAAATACCATACAGTGTGCGAGTGAGTATGGTTTTACGCCGCTTTTAGCAATATTCCAGCAATATCACGGCGGGGGCCACCAGAAATGGGCTTCACACATTGTACCCATGTCAGGAATTGAACCCGGGTCTTCGGCGTGATGAGCCCACGCTTTAACCACTAGGCTACCCGACCGCCCCGATATACCATACAGAAGGATATAGTTCACTATCTGCATACATATACCAAAACAGTCGGAATAGAATTATCATTCCCATATTGTTTTATCAATGAATGAGGTGTTATGCAAGAATGTATGTCGTCCACTGTAATGATGTTTTCCCAAGGAAAGTGGGTACCTATCTGTATCCCTGCTAAGTTAATGTGTTAAAGGATAGCAAAACATGGCTAATTGGTCATAACAAATAAATGTATTCCCTGAGCAAATATATCCACAAGTAAAATGAGTTGACATAATAAATAATACTGGTAATTCAATAATGAGTACTTAGAAGAATCTTATGATAAAAAACAAATATGGGATATTTCATATACAATCAACATTTTCTTCATAATTATCATCTTATTGTCAACTAAACAAATATCACAATGTAAGTTTTGGACACAAAGTAAATATGAAAATTACATTATCTGATTAATTTCTTTTCTATAATTACATATTAACACATATAATGAACTTCCCATGCTATCTGAGTTTGATGTCCACTCTTCTATTTCAGCATATACCATAGGCAAAACTTTGTTATTTTATGTTTTACGGATTCAACCAACCTTATAGATTGATAAGAAAACAAAAATAGTTTAACTTATTTTTGTCTGCATTATCATCCATTTTTGATGGATTAAAAAACCCACAAAAAATACTATTATCTTTTTAGATAATAATTGAACAGATGCTTTGAATGTAATCTCGACCACTGTAACCTTTTATAAAGAGAACAAAGCTTTTTTCAAGGTACATATGGTAAACACATATATAAATGTTGCAGTAAAAATACTAAACATCCAGCTCATACCAAATAAAAAAATATAAAAAAATAATTATTTTAATTCATTTTAATTATATTGTGACTGACCCAAACTTATTTGTTTGCAGAAATATATAAACTATAAAAACAAAATGGGGCCTTAAGCTCACCTGGATTCTTAAAATCAAACAATAATGTAATGTTAGAAATATGGCAAATAACATAATGTCTTCAAAGATTGTTTTAGGCACATATCTACTTGACATAAAATCCTCCATGGAACCTTTCTAGAAGCTTTTCCCATTGTGTCCTATCTTACTTGTGACCTAACAAAGATCCTGCTCCTGTAGGATTCAGCAGTAAGTTTAATAGAGCTTCTTTTTGCTGATCCTCCTGTAATAAATGACCAGTACCATCAGTGTCAGGTTGAGGAGACAGCTGGTGGCAAAGTTGGCCAACACTGTGATGTCTCCTGTCTGGACAAGCGTTGTCACACTTCTTGCTGAAATATGCAATGAATAAGCACATATTTGTTTTCTGAACAGTCTATCATTTTCAACAATACAGATTAAAAGATCAATTTTATCAGAACATTTTATTTAAATGCTACAGTAAACAACTCTGTTTCATATGGGTTTTTTTAAAAAAGAGAATGTATAACTTTTGAAAATTGGGTTTCATTCAGGATCTCAAAACTCTCTATTGCGTTATCATGTTTATCAACAGGTTGAAAAGATCAAGTATACTACTGGTCTTAAAATATTTTGGGGGTGGAAATTGTAAGTGTCTATTCCAGTAAGTAATGGTGATCTGCCATGTATCTGGTGTGGACAAACAAATGGCTGATAGTGTGAGCACATATTTCCATAATAATACTCAAAGAATATGAATTCTACTGGAGATTAATAATAATAATAATAATTGATTTTTAAAGCGCCGCCTAAAATCCATCGACAGTTGCTCACTGGCGCTGGGACAAAGTTAAAAAGTAATGTCTATGTACATTTGCCAACAATCACATTGTATGTTTGGTTTAATGCCACACTCAGCAATATCCCATGGCATCGGGGTACAATGACACACAATCCCCCAGCCTGACCTCTTAATCCATTCATTCTCCGGGTACAACAAGCATAGGTTGCTGATGACCAATTCAAACCCACAATAAAAATGGGATCATTAAATTATGAGTGATCGTGAAATATGAACAACACAACTACCTACCCATGGTTGTGTAGAAAGCCATCCCCCATGTGACAGCACTTACTTGTCCAGGGTCCTGTTTACTCACTATCGAGTATATCTGCATCAGTTTGCTACCTACTGACAGTGGCAGACCAGAACCCTTAAAGAATACAAAACATTTTCAATACATTTATTCTGAATAACACTTTCTTGATTCTCAAACATCTTTGAAAACAAAAACACTCCACATGACACAATTCTATAGATTTTCAAAAGACAGAAAAATATTCTGATTCCTATGTAAAATACCTTTTCATAAATAGATTTATAAATGTTTTATCTATATAAAGCTTGAAAAACATTTATTTTTTCTTAGCTTAAGATATTTTCTTGTTTCTGTGAATATTTCAAAATAAAAACAGTCAAATTTACTTTCTTTTCCAAAGTCAAGTTATTCAATCTAATAACGTAACACAAATTGGTGTAGGAGAGTTTATTGGAGCAGGGCGCTTAGTGCAGCTAATATGGTAAGCATAATCACTCAAATCATCTAATATCTCTTTTGTATCAATAATTTGGAAAGGTATAAGTTGAAACCTAGCTGGAAATTGTATTGTTCACTTTCAGAATAGAGAGTGAGTTGAATTAAATGCTGTTTTGAACAGTATTTCAGTTGTGTAAGCCCAGCGTGTCAGTTTAAGTGGGAAGAAGTACAAAGTGATATAGTTTGTGGCTGTTTAACACTGTGATGGAACCCCCACCATGGGTATGAAGCTGACATCAATATGCTAATAATAAAGGCGAATGGAAGCAAAGCAACACAACTTGGTAACTAGGGGTCACCCATGATCCTACTGTCACCAAACATGATTGGAAGAGTTATCTCCCATGAATGCAACTCACAATGGCCAACTGCAAAATAACATCAGGCACAAATCTGAAAGCAAAAGAACTGCTCACGACAAAATAGCTGAGAAAACATAAGGAAAACAAAGATGCATCTTGCATTAAATACTGAAGAGAAACAATCTTAAGAAGAAGAAGAAGAAGAAGAAGAAGAAGAATTCCTATCTCCTGATCTCTCTGGGTAGTATACACACCTCTAAACTGCTTTGCATTTACATTACACCTTATCATAACCATTCCCGTATTGGTGAACAGGAGCATATTATGAACAAAGAACATGGAGGCATTAAATATAATATAACCTGTGTTTCAGTGGACAGCCTTACTGTGCTAAAACAAGAACTAGTCAACTCAGAGTCAGTAAACTGTGTCTGAGTGGGGTATTCATCTTAAACTGTGGTATGGTATCTCAGTGGTCTAGCACTATAAATTAGCCATTAGTCCGGACTAGTACAAGCAGCCACACACACATTTTGAAATGGTGATAAATCTTTTTCGTTTGTTGTTTAATAACGCACAATATTCCAGCTATATGACAGCGGTCTGTAATAATCGAGTCATAACAATCCATCCATTGACATCATAAGCATCGATCCACGCAATTGGGATACGATGACATGCAGTCAACCAAGTCACCAAATCTAACCACCCAATCCATTTGTTAAACTGCTATATATGAATAAATCTGTTAATATTGCTAATGGAATAACACTAACATTAATTCATTTAATTCTATCATGAGTTCCTAGTGTCGAGAGATATTCTGAATTCTACTGTTAAAACGGAAATATTACCAGGTTATAAAACTGATCATTCATTCGTTTTTTAATTCTTTTAGTCCGGAAAAAGGGTAGAGGCTACCGGAAGTTTAATCCTTCTCTGTTGCAATATACCAATTATGCAAACATGGTTATTTCAACATTAAAGGAGACTGTAAGATAATATGCTGATCCAAAATACAATGAAAATGATTAACAAGTTACAGAAATATTCATTGATCTTTCTGTGAATTATAAACTATTTCTTGAAGGTCCTTAATGAAAATTAGGGGGAAAACAATATCCTTTGCAACTGATAATATAAAAGAAAAAGAAAAAGAAAAAAGCTTGAGATGATTTTCAAAACATAATGAATCATTGTTATCCAAACTCTCCAAACATAAAATTCAATTCTCAAATCTAAAGGAAGAAAAAGTTAAATTTTTGTTAGAAATCAATATAAATGGTACAATGAAGGAGAAAAACCAACAAAATATTTTTGTCATTTGGAAAACAAGAACATTATGAATAAACTCATAAACAAAATCATTTTTACTGATGATGGAAAGGAAAAAATAGAAGGACAATTGATCTTGGACAAACAAAGACAAGATTATGCCCCCATTATATACATCCAACAAAGACCATAATGGAATGGGTCGAAATATCATGATTTGTGTCTATTGCCATACATCTTCCAGAGGCAAGAGAGTTAACTGACTTTAAAAGTCCAGTTTCCACCCTTGCCGAACTAGTCTGGAATTCCTGGGCTCGATCGTAGCGCCACCAGGGGTTAATCATTATGAGTTATGTCCCTTCGGAGCCTCTCCTACTGACCAATCCGATTCCACCACTCGCATTTGTTTCAAACAAAATGGCGGCTTACAGTCAAGACGATCTGATCGATAATCAAGATCTATATTGTGATAAAACTTGTCTTACATCGCAAAGTGCATCAATTCAAGTGAGCACCTTCATTAAAAACATGAAAAGGTTTGGAAAATATCTGTTGACAATGAGTTGGCGGTGCACATGTTTTGCAATTCCTGTAATCGACCGAAATCTGCGCGACAGTTTACGAACCGAATTTCGATTTCGTTGCGAGATTTTGATTGGACAATGCATAGACCAGTCGTTAGTCCAGCCAAAATGTAACTCCATAATACTAGCCTAGTTCGGCAAGGGTGGAAACAGGACTTTTATAGTCAGTTAACTCTCTTGCCTCGGGTAGATGATTGCCATATAGCCTAATCTAATGTCTATTGTCCATTTCAAGCTGTTTTATTTGTTAAAAAGATGGATATGTATCATCCCATATATATTAAATGTAACATATCAGTCTTGGGAAATAAAAAAAATATTATTTTTTTTAAATATAAAAAAGGTCTAATCATGTGTATGATGAGACAGGAAGTTATACCAGGCCATGTCTTCAATAAAGAGCAATATTATCGACATAGTTTGAATGTCATGTTCAAACCAAATGAATATATACTGAAATCCATTCATTTCAGACAACACCAAAACACTGACAACCACAGAAATCAAGGATACACTGCAAACCATGGAAGAATTTTAACTTTCAATTTACCACTGTAGTGTAGCAGCAAGGTAACTAATGTTAAATCTGAAACAGAAGTTGAGAAAATGAGCTGCAAGTGGTTCACAGCTAGACATATACATATTGTCAGTAATGAAAAACATACCGGATGAAAATATAATAAAATGTTGTGTCAACAATATGGTCAATCCTCACATTCAGGTCACTGATAACATAGAATTTGACTTCGTTTTGGCAAACAACATTTAATCCAATTTCGATTTTTTACTCTCTTCTATTCAGAAAAATATATTTGCATATCCAAAATGAACATTGTTATTGGAAACAAAAGCATTTGTAAGATAAGTTGAATACCTTGCAGCACCAAGAATGTGTACTCAAAGTATGTTGACAGTGGATACTGCATCGCAAAGTGGTATGTCAGCATTATGGAATATCTGAAATACAGAGAAAATATTAGACTGAGTGTCTAAAAAGTGAAATAATATGAGGTCTTGGGCATTGTACCATATGCTACGATGTTTTGACCTTTGAAATGGCAGTCTGTAACAATCCACTGTTCCAGTGTCCAGTGGCATGCTTTACAAACACAACATTTCAAAAGACATGTTCAAGACATGCAAAGGAAAGGTTTACCATGTTTACTTTCTAAGACCAGGTGAACTATTTCATTTTATAGCAAAAATGGATAGAATTATCATAAAAAAAACCTGCATGCTATCAGAAATCTATGGGCCAATATAACTTGATAATAGCCCTCATTTCCCTCACGACAGGCTGTATTTTGTTATTTGACGTCATTAGAGTAACTTTCCTTGTTAGTGATGTCATCCTATAGTATGTTCTACATGTTCTATGACGTTGCTGATTTGTATATAAGTTAACTCGATTTTAAGGTTTTTAACAGAGCCACTAAACCGTTTGTTGTTTTGCTCATTTTGGGATAAGCTACAAATTCTATCCTTTTTATCTAAAATAATGTTACCATTATCATTTGCAGTCATTATCATGGCCCTTATCTCTCTTTCCTACAATCAGCTTTAACAAAAGTAATTCATGTGATTTAAACTAAATCAATATAAGTCTAAACTATTGGCGTATGGATGTTTTTGTGGACCGTTTTTGTAAAGCATCTGTTTCATTAAATGAATTCATGTGAAATAGTATAGTAAATATGACAAAATAGCCATACAAAATTCCAAGTGTAACTGGCAGAAGCAATGTGTGAAGAAAGCGAGATAACACCAACAGACAGACAGCTTGACTGAGATATGTAACCAGCTGTAACTGACATGCCAAGTTCCACCCACAATCACTGAGTGACAGCTGCTATTGTCACATGCACAATGGATAAAGGTTATAACTGGCATGGATACCATCCGGCAAATTGTACTAGACTGTGTAAATAAATATGTTGAATAGAAATTTAATCTCACTCGTATGTTATTCACACACATCCTAGGCTACCACTCCCAGGTTATATATATCCTCAAACTTATATGTGCTCCAAATCCGAATTCGTCACACAACTTGATTTGTGGTTGGATGTCTTACCCACATGTTTCCAACATGACACTGCCAAAGCTTATCCCTCTACCGCTCTTAGAGCTGAAAATAGATACAATCTGGGGCACTTTGAGAATAACACATGTTACAATGACTGTTAAACTTAAAATATTGCACATGAGCTGCAGCGTAGCAGACGCTTCCGTCGCCATCTTGAATTATTTACTGCGGGTTGGATGCAACCCCTTCAACAAAATCAAAAGAATAGTGCAATATTATATTGGCTATATTAGTGACATTTAAATAAACCATTCATGGATATAATGTAACAACTACATTTATTCATTCTTCTTATTTCGTAACTACTCTAATCTATTCAGTGCGGTTCTGCATTTGTTGACAGCTTCATTGGATTCAACATGGCAACTAAAGCGGCGAAAGGTGCAAAGCAAACCAAAGAAACTGATAAGAAAGGAAATAAGAAAAACGATGAATTGCCTTTAGTGGAAGAAAAGAAAGAGGATAGTCCAGTTGAAGGAGAATTTAATGACACACCAGAAACAGTTGAAACAGAAACTGTCGAGGATCTACCTCCACCAAAGGAGCCGACGCCTGAACCAGTTTACGATGAACCAACATTATCAGAGCTCATCATTGAATGGTGTGTAACGTTTATATTGGGCCTACATTGTAAACAAGATGTGCATCTAGACAACTTTCGTTCTGTTTCATGGGGAAACATGTATTAACATATGCAGTGTTTGAATAAATGCCAAGCTACCATCAGGACTTCAGAAGCTGAGGGCCCTGACTAAACTCTTCAGGACCTCATTTAGAAACTGCAACTTATATCTGTATATCGACATGTGAATTTAGGGCTGGCCATAAAGACCTTTAGAAGTTTGAAACAACGGGTCCAACACAAGATCTAACTGCCATATGGCTACTGGCAGTCACTTAATTATTTCCAACACTGAACATATGTTTTTGTATTGTATATCTTTATAAGTATGTGATAATCAAGTTCCATTAGTGTTCACCACAATAGATCTAACTGTTAAGATGAATTTTTACAGTACAATATAACCTGCACATGCATGTAACATGTTTCTTCATGACACCTGAAATATATATTTCAATCTGTTACTGTGGTTTCAAATTTTAAACCGTTAGTTGGGATACTTGATTTCATATATTCATATGGATAACCAGCTCTCTGGAGTAAAATCTGGTTAAAAGGTGCTTGATGAAACTGTCTGTAAATGGGAAAGAGTATGCACAGCAATAAAAGCTAGTGATGGCTAACCATTCCAACTGATCAGATTCAAAACATGTGGAAATCCGTATGATAGGATATATTTTCTTTAAGTTAGCAAAAATATGTTTCATTTGCTAGATTGATGTGTGAAAACCAGTATTACCTAACTGAACTTGAAATGTTGATTCATTTTCAGAACTCATAAGTTTATACCATGATAACTTCTGTTTCAGTTTTGAGGGTGAGAAAGCCAGAGGACTCTATGAAGGCGAGGGCAAGGCTTCCTTTGCAGGTGGACACTGCTATATTGTAAGTGCCACATAGCTATATCCAATTATTTATTTCTAGTTTCATTGTTGGACTGACTATCATTTGCTTATTTACTGTTAAAACTCGCTGAACATAGTATAGGGGATTTATCTAGTATTTGTACATTTTTACCCTTGGCAGGCAAGTTGGGATAAAAATTATTACTGGGTTGTTCTTTTCAAGTTCTAATTTTCATAAATTAATTTATATTTGAACATTGCATTCAATACAATACAGTAAAACTAAGCATTAAAAATTCCTACTCTTTATCGTTTATAAGTCAAAAACAAACAAGTCTCCTAAATCACTGCAAATTTACAAAAGTAGTTATGATTATATTATTAGTAACATAATGAACTGGTAATTGTTTAATTTACCGCCATTTGGTGCAGAAATGGGGCCTAAATAAGCAGGTCTAGATGAATCTATAGTATCTACCCTGGTTAATAATCTTCATTTATTATAATTTCAGGGCCAGTTTTCCGAAGGTTTGATGCATGGCAAGGGGATGTATGTCTGGGCTGATGGTGTTGTTTATGAGGTAAGTGCTCATAGGAGATGTCTGCTCACTACGTCTAAACTGTGTTAAATGTGTCAAAAAGGAAATACAGTAGTCATGCTCCTCAAGATCACTGCATGCATATTATAAAACACCACCAGACCACCAATTATATTGTTCCCATTTAAGATATATAAAGAGAAATATTGATAAATGTTTCTACAATAGTGAAAAAGACTTCTGGCTAGCCTGGACCAATTTTTCAATATTTGACATCCATTTATTTTGCCTATGCTAATTCATTAATGGAAATAACAACAGCCGTTAATACAGTATGACCACAAATACATTTCAGGGAGATTTTTGCAAGAATCAGGTGACAGGAAAAGGGTCATACAAGTGGCCAGATGAAAGGTAAGGTAAAACAAACATTGAAACTAGGGCTGGGACGAGTACGAATTTACTACCCGGGTACCCACCCACTATTACCTCACCCTACCCGGCTACCCACTGTAGGTCTCAAGAGATAGGTACAAAATGTCCGATTGTGCATTTTATTACCATAGCACTGGCAAAATGTATTTAGATACATGTATTAAACAATCTGGTCATGCATACACTGAAGTATGTATTTAGATACATGTATTAAACAATCTGGTCATGCATACACTGAAGTTGACTCAAGTTATATTTTCATTCAAAGATATGAAAGGTCAGAAGGAATGCGAACATTTGTGACTTGTAGTGTAACCATAGAGTTCTAGATACTTTTGTCATTAAACAATATATCACGTGACTAACCACAGGTCCGGGTAGTCCTGTGGGTACCCGGGTCCTACTCAGTACCCATCCAACCCGGGTACCTAAGCTACACGTCCCAGCCCTAAATGAAACCTCTGGGCTCATTGATAAATTTGATATGTCCAAACTCAAGAGAGAGAAAATCTATTCTAAAATTTAAATATTTTTTTCATTATGGAAAATTTTTGTTCATCAGATCCATAAAGGAGGTCATTAATAATAAGCACATTGGGCAAAAAGATCGTTGTATACAGTCTGTCGCTTCCACATTTGCAAAACTTATTCTTTAGGTTGTCATTTTTTTTTAAACAGATTTGCAAGAACCTGTGTCCTTAAACTTAATCAATTTAATTATTCAACACCTTTAGCACTTACGAGGGTGAAGTGTTGAATGGCAAGAGACATGGCGCTGGAACATTCCGGTGCCCGGACAATGCCATGTCTTACAGTGGAGACTGGTGTGGGGGAAAACGTCATGGCAAGGTAGGTTGATTGCTGCTACCTGGGGTCATATCTCAACCCAAAAGCTGAAATGTTGATTTCCCTATACCAGGGATGACTATACAATGCGTTCAGTAAGTTTTGCAACTTCAATATAAGACCAAGTCGCAGAATATCTTTTGCACTTTTATTTTTCAATATAATCTCCATTCACCTCAATACACTTATTCCATTTGTCCATCAAGCTTAAATACTACTTTTATAGAAATCCGCAGATTGGCCCTCTAACCACGCCTCTGTGGCAGCCTTTATGTCCTCGTCATCCTGGAAGTGTCTTCCACGTAGGGCAGATTTCATTTGCCAGAACAGGAAATAGTCACTGGGGGCTAAGTCTGGGTTCGAACAGTTAAATCACCCACCCAACAGCCCAGACTTAGCCCCCATTGTCAATATTTAGCTTCCTCAGAATCATTGAGGAAAGTTATGAAAGCACTCATAAAATCACATATTTACTGATTTAACTTCGAAATTTTACTGCATCTGCCATCTTGTTTATTTGACTTTTGCCATTGACTTATTACATTTCTTGGTGTGTATGTTGTCCAAACTGCACGAAATTGCTTAAAATGCAATCAAATGTTTAAATAATTTCTGGGGGGGCATGCCCCCAGACCCCCCTAGACTTCTCCTCTTTTTTTGGGAAAACCTGCTCACATCCCTGTATTTTGTCGCATCACATCTAGAGACCCTTAAACAGTACAGGTTATAAGTGCAGAATGCAATTTGTAAATGTGATGATGCAGAATGTAGGATCTTTGATGAATATACAGAATTGAAGATTTATTTTTTTGTTCATTGTGAATGTATGATTATTTGATAACATATATGATATCTCCATGTCAACTTTTTTTTTAATCTACTCTCTTGAAGGAATACATTTAAAATGCAGATTGTGGACAAGTACTAAATATGATCTGTGTATACTGCTTTGGTAAGAATCAAGGAAACATTTATCTGGATAATCTTTTCATAAGTATAGTTATTGTAACCTCCCTTAGTTGTCTCCCCTTCTAATTTGACTTACCTCACCCCCAGGGCCGGATGGATTATGACCCCAATGGCCGTTCATACTTCGAGGGTGACTGGGTGTACAACATCCGCCATGGTTGGGGGACACGTCAGTACCCGTCGGGGAACGTTTACCAGGGCATGTGGTTCAACAATGTCCGCCACGGTGAAGGTACGATGAAGTGGTTGGACAGGAACCAGATCTACACTGGTCAGTGGGAGAACGGTATACAGGTGAGTGTCAGACAATGAGAGTAATTCATTCATAATGATAATGATGCTGATGCATGTCTGGATTTTGCAGTATCCACACGGTACCCTGGTTGACATGTCAGTGTGCCTTCTAACTGCTTTCAACCCCATGGGGTTTCCGGGTTGATATTGGAGACTTTAATGGATTGCGTGGTCAGTGATTTGTTGATGGTGTGTCGTTGTATCATGATGATGTGGATTGTTGCTCATAATATCAGTCACTGGATTGTCTGGTCAACTCAATTATTTACTGGCCGCCATCTTCTGGATGTAATAGTGTGTGTTCACCAACAAACAATTGCATTGGAGTATACAAGCAATGTTACTTGTTAGTGTTCATCTTCCAGAGGCAAGGGAGTTAACTGACTTTAAAAGTCCAGTTTCCACCCTTGCTGAACTAGGTTGGAATTCCTGGGCTCGACCGTAGCGCCACCAGTGGTTATTATGGGTTAGGTCCCTTCTAAGCCTCTCATATGGACCAATCAGATTCCACCTCTAGTATCACTTGCATTTGCTTCAAACCAAATGGCGGCGCCCAGTCAAAACGATCTGATCGACAATCAAGATCTATGTTGTGATAAAACGGGTCTCACAAAGCGAAGTGCATGAAATCACGTGAGCACCTTGATTAAAAACATGAAAAGACTTGAAAAGAATCTGTTGACAATGAGTTGGCGGTGCACATGCTTTGCAAATCCTGCAATCGACAGAAATCTGCACGACATTTTACGAACCGGATTTCGATTTCTGTGTGCGATTTTGATTGGACTATGCATAGACTCGTTAGTCCAGCCAAAATGTAACTCCATAATACCAGCCAAGTTCGGCAAGGGTGGAAACTGGACTTTTATAGTCAGTTAACTCTCTTGCCTCGGGAAGATGGTTAGTGTTAGGCACTAGAAGGTTTTGCAGTCACATGACCATTTCTTTCAACCAGGATGAATTTGAAAAGACAGTCAATGGATGATTTGTACCTTCATGATAATGAAATCTTTTGCTTGATGATGTCATCTCTTGGGCAGGGCTTTCACAAGTTCTATTTACCAGTATTCATATCAGCTGAGGGGCGGTTGGTTAGCCTAGTGGTTAAAGCGTGCACTCGTCACGCTGAAGACCTAGGTTTGATTCCCGACATGGGTACAATGTGTGAAGCTCATTTCTGGTGTCCCCCGCCGTGATATTGCTGGAATATTCTTGAAAGCGGCGTTAAATCAAACTCACTCACTAATTCACTCATATCAGCCAAGGACTACCTCTGTGGCCGAGTCGATAGAGTTGAGTGTCTGCCTGGGAGAGAGGGAGGTCGACCCCTGGCCATGTCATACCCAAAGACATTAAAAAATGGTACTTTTTGTTGTGCAGCAATCTTTCCGTGATGTTAAACCCGATTTCATCCCATCTCAAATTATCAGCTGGTCATCATGTTACAAGTCACTTTCACTGAATCGTTTCTCCTCACAGCATGGTATGGGTCAACACAACTGGCTGCTGCAACGTGTGCAGGGATCTCAGTACCCGCTGCGCAACATGTACGACGGAGAGTTTGTCAATGGGCTGAGGCATGGTTTTGGTACCTTCTATTATGCTAACGGCGCCAGGTACGAAGGCTACTGGAAGAACAACATGAAACACGGCAAGGTGAGTGTGGAAAGGAGGGAGTGAATGTTGTTTTGTGACCCAGTCGTATCATGGTCAGATTAGATTGTTTGAAGTTACATTTAAGTCAGGTTAGGATTATGCATAGTCAGGCAGATCAGGATATACTACTCAACTTTTGATAGGGATAATCAGATATATCTTTTTAGTTGAAATATTAGGGCTGGGACGGGTAACTCTGGTACTCGGGTCGGATGGGTACTTAGCAGGACCTGGGTACCCACAGAACTACCAGGACCCGTGGTTAGTGACGTTATATATTGTTTAATGACAAAGATTATCTAGAACTCTATGTTTAAACTACAATTCAGTAATGTTCGCAGTTCTTTCTGACTGCTACGTCCGTTCCTTCTGACTTTTTTCATGTTTGAATACAAATAAAACTTCAGTCAATTTCAGTGTATGCATCAGATCGTTTTATACGTGTATCTAAACACATTTTGCCAGGGCTACCGTCAAACTTTTCCCAATTGGGCATTTTGTATCTACCTCTTGAGACTTACAGCGGGTACCCGGGTAGGGTCGGGTAATAGGGGGTTGGGTACTCGGGTAGTAAATTTGGACTTGGCCCAGCTCTATGACATATACACTTTACTTAAAGTTTATCATGGAAAGATAAACAGATTTCCCTTTCGAAAGTGGAGTTGTATACTATGACTACTGTATCATGGCCAATTATTGGAGCTGACCAATGTCATCATAGACAGCTCTTATGACAAGCATCGGGCAATTAATTATTCTGGAACATGTAGCAGGGAATGGGGCGTGTGGTGATGTTTATCTGAAACAAAAACGAGTTTCAGAAAATATTGCACAATAATGGACAGGAATGTCCTCACTGAAAATGAGTTGCTTGTCCCCCCCAATATTATTTATCTATTTTTCTTTCAAAACTGGAAAATGTAGGCGTCAGAACAATATTGAAGTAAAAATAATCTGTTTCTGATGAAAGTCCCAGAATATTTTGTTTAAATGGTCCGTCCTAAGGGATTAGTGTTGAAAGGGTCCTACTGCTTTTTGTTTTTGAAAGAATCAATTACCATGATTAGAAGCTTGTTCCGATATTGGGTTACACAATATTCTTGGTCCTAAGGAACAAGTCCTAGACATGTGTTTCCTGCTCTATCACAAGAATTCTTAATTCAAGACCAAAGTCCACACACTAAAGTAGAATTCTGTTTGCACTAGATTATAATCAGCTGCCAGCTTGTCATGTTGGATGCACATATGAATGTTGAGTCCATGTTTGGGCATGAACACACAGTTCCCCAAATAGATTCAGTGTTTTGGTGTTGCAGGGCAAGTTCACATTCAAGAATGGTCGTATCTATGAGGGCATGTTTGAGAAGGATCACATCGTGGAGTACCCAGACTTCAATGTAGATGGCGCCACTACTCCAGACATCACCAGCATTCGGACAAGAACACCATTACCATCAGGTGAATATGTAATCCTAAAAGTACAACTTATTCCTGAACATGAAGTTACACAAAGCAGCAGTGCATATGACTTCCCAGTGGAAAAAGTTTAAGAATGGTAGGTACTACCTGTTTTGAAGTCCTACTGCGCCAGCCATATGTTTCATTCCCCAAACCAAAAGTGACATCATCAGACCGGGAGAGCTGATAACTGTCATATCATGGAACTTTCAGGTTTAATGTACTGTGTAAAGCATGTTTTCCTTTATATCGGGGGGCATGGGTGGCCCAGTCGTCTAAGGCGCCGCGATTCGCTGTGCAGAATACCTGTTCGCCCCGATTATGTTTCTAGGTTTGTCAGCACCATACCCCTGCTCGTGGGTTTCACCGAAGTGGTAAATGTCTGAGACCTGCATCACTTTGGGCTTTCCTCCCACATTAAGCTGACACGCTGCGATATAACTGGAATACTGTTAAAAGCAGCATTAATCCCAACTCACTCACTCCTTTATACCATAAGTAATCTCTTTCTATCGAAGGTTTTTGTCTTTCCGTATTAGGCTATTAGGGACCAGTCATTTATTATAGTGGGTGGCGGGGTCAGAGGAAATCAGGGGAGGGTCACTGAAATATATGAGTCTCTAGGGGAGGGTGAAAAAAATAATACCCATATTTGGGTCAGGTCATGATAAAGGTGTATAGGGAACTGGGGAGGGTCATCCAAAAATATGACAAGCGTTTGGGGAGGTTTATTATTTTTAGTACATTAGTGCATCAAAAAACACTGACCCCTGTAATAAATGACTGGTCCCTAACTTGAGGCATGGTACTCTCTGGTTTGAATGTTTCTGTCTCCCCACACTGAAAGTGCATGGTGGTTTGTTATGTTTGTCTTTGAGGAGAAGATGGTGAAGCGGCTGCCTCTGTTTTTGCAAGTATTTTAGACATGTGTTAGTTTTGATCAAACCTGGGTCGTGTTCCATGTAATAGAGTAATCAGCAGTACCTGTGTTGCAGACAATGTGAGCATGCACAGCAACGAGAGCCGCAACACCATCAGCCCCAGCTTCCAGCTTGAGATCAACCACCTCCTGGCAGAGTTCACCGACATAGACCGGGAGGAGGAGCTCAGTCAGGTAACTCAGGCTTATCAGGGACACTGGCTTGTCAGGGACACAGACTTATCAGGGACACTGGCTTGTCAGGGACACAGACTTATCAGGGACACTGGCTTGTGATGGACACTGGCTTATCAGGGACACTGGCTTAACAGGGACACAGACTTATCAGGGACACTGGCTTATCAGGGACAATGGCTTGTGATGGACACTAGCTTATCAGGGACACTGGCTTGTCAGGGACAATGACTTATCAGGGACACTGGCTTATCAGTGACACTGGCTTAACAGGGACATAGACTTATCAGGGACACTGGCTTATCAGGGACAATGGCTTGTGATGGACAATGGCTAATGAGACAGGCTTATCAGGGACACTGGCTTGTCAGGGACAATGACTTATCAGGGACACTGGCTTATCAGGGACACTGGCTTAACAGGGACACAGACTTATCAGGGACATTGGCTTGTGATGGACACTGGCTTATCAGGGGCAATGGCTTGTGATGGACACTGGCTTATCAGGGACAATGGCTAATGAGACACAAGCTTATCAGGGACAATGGCATATCAGGGACACTGGCTTATCAGGGACAATGGCTTGTGATGGACACTGGCTTATCAGGGACAATGGCTAATGAGACAGGCTTATCAGGGACACTGGCTTGTCAGGGACAATGACTTATCAGGGACACTGGCTTATCAGGGACACTGGCTTAACAGGGACACAGACTTATCAGGAACATTGGCTTGTGATGGACACTGGCTTAACAGGGACACAGTCTTATCAGGGACACTGGCTTATCAGGGACACTGGCTTAACAGGGACACTGGCATAACAGGGACACTGACTTATCAGGGACACTGGCTTATCAGTGACACTGGCTTATCAGTGACACTGGCTTAACAGGGACATAGACTTATCAGGGACACTGGCTTATCAGGGACAATGGCTTGTGATGGACACTGGCTTATCAGGGACAATGGCTAATGAGACAGGCTTATCAGGGACACTGGCTTGTCAGGGACAATGACTTATCAGGGACACTGGCTTATCAGGGACACTGGCTTAACAGGGACACTGACTTATCAGGGACATTGGCTTGTGATGGACACTGGCTTATCAGGGGCAATGGCTTGTGATAGACACTGGCTTATCAGGGACAATGGCTAATGAGACACAAGCTTATCAGGGACAATGGCATATCAGGGACATTGGCTTATCAGGGACACCGACTTATCAGAGATACAGGCCTATCAAGGACGCTGGCTTAACAGGGACACTGACTTATCAGGGGCACTGGCTTATCAGGGACACAGACTTATCAGGGACAATGGCTTGTGATGGACACTAGCTTATCAGGTACACAGACCTTTTAGGGACACTGGCTTATCAGGGACAACGGTTTATCAGGGACACTGGCTTATCAGGGACACTGGCTTAACAGGGACACAGACTTATCAGGAACAATGGCTTGTGATGGACATTAGCTTATCAGGTACACTGGCTTATCAGGGACACTGACTTATCAGGGACACTGGCTTATCAGTGACACTGGCTTATCAGGGACATCGACTTATCAGGGACACTGGCTTATCAGGGACAATGGCTAATGAGACAGGCTTATCAGGGACAATGGCATATCAGGAACATTGGCTTATCAGGGACACTGACTTATCAGGGATACAGGCTTATCAGGGACACTAGCTTAACAGGGACACTGGCTTATCAGGGACACTGGCTAATCAGACAGGCTTATCAGGGACACTGGCTTATCAGAGATACAGGCTTATCAGGGACACTGGCTTAACAGGGACACTGGCTTAACAGGGACACTGGCTTATCAGGGACATTGGCTTATCAGGGACACTGGCTTATCAGGGATACAAGCTTTTGGGGGATACAGGCATATCATTAAACCTTGTGTACCTGTGTCAGTTATTGCACACACACACACACACAAGTACACATACACATCTGTAATGGACTTATCTTTTTTATTATATTTCTTACAAACACACCTTTTTTTCATATTCGGTATCCCCATCTGCAGTGGACTTATCTTGTTTTATATTATTGTACATGTAGGTGATGTATGTAACAATGAGACACGTGACCAGTCTGAGGAAGGTCTACAACTACTACAGTTGCCTCGGTTACGAGGAGAGCCCTGATAACACATTCATCATGAACAAGATGCAGTTCTGGCGCTTCCTCAAAGACTGTCAGCTGGACCACGAGGATGCCACTCTCATGGACATGGACAGAGTGATTGGCCTGGGTAGGCAGTATACCTGTATGACCAGAACATGAGGCACTTGCTTACCAGCCTAGTGTCCCCTTTATCATAATGTTCCAGAAACACCATTATGTTTTATTTTCTGAAAGCAAAGATTTTGTTTCTGATGATTTTGTTTTAATTCAAGTTGTCAAAACTCTTTTGTATCTAAATTTAGAGTTAAATTCCTGGACAGTCATATTTCTGAATGTTAAATCTACGAACATCTGTAGAATTGAATTTTGGCACAGAAAGGGATGATCATGATAATGATGTTTGTTGAGTGGACATGATTTGTTTCATTTGTGAGATTTTTGTGTGACTAGTTCAAGACAGCAACCATCTTGTTGTCAATTCTTTTATAATGATAAATGAATAAGTCAACATAATAACTGCTGCTTATTAAATCATTAGCACAAAAAAAACTGAAGACAGCAATACAATATCAGTGACATTGTTCAAGGCAATAACAAAACACAAGCCCCACCCTCTCTATAATCAGCCAATTAGGAAACAGTGGTATGCTAGTGGGCATGGCCTGTTTGGTTTTATGTTTATGGACACATGAATGCAACAAAAAAAACTTGCTTTGTTAGGAATACCATGGCATTGGATTGTCTAACAGTTACACGTCATGATGTGTTTTTGCCATGATTGTTATAAATGTGATATGTTACCTTTCAGGCTACAACAAACCCAGCTACTCCCTCCACAATCCCTATGAACGCATCCTGCAGAGAGAGTTTATCAACTACCTGATCATCCTGGCGTTCCATCTCTTCCATGAACAGCATGAGTTAGTAGATCTATAGTAGAAAGAATGTCTTTTCAGCTAAATGGTCATTCTTGTCCGCCACCTTGATTTTAGTCAAGGAATTGTAATAAAACTATGAAAAGTTGCCATGTGAACAAGAATGAGTCATCGGCTCAGTTTGTGTAAAGAGAAAGTTCCTTAATCTACAGCCTTGTTTTTAACATATTTTGACCGGACAAATTTATTTCATTGACTTGTTTTAGATTATACAAAAATAAACCAAAACAAAAATTATGTATTCTGGGTTAAATAAAACTTTTAATTATTTTAGTTATTGTCATAACTTTTGTTTGAAGAGGCAATTAACATCAGATCAACCCTCAAACATATTTCTTTTATTTGCCTTCAACATTATGACTTATTGGCCAATAAATTCTGAACAAAAGACAAATACATTGACTTGTTCTTTATGTGAAATACGAAGTATGTGCCTTTAAAATGGTAATAAAAAATAACTGCCTTAATCCTAATGATAACATGTGTTTTGTGTGTATGTTACAGTGGTTCTTCTCCAGTGCTGGCCTGGTGTATGTCTAAACTCATTCAGGAAAAGGTTCTTCGTAATTCCTGCAATGTGAAAGGTGGGTTGTGTCATGTTGTACATATCTTGCCTTTTCCCTGTACCATTTTGGAATTCTTTTGGGGATTGTACATATGTTAGCCATGAGAGACTTTAAGAATACAAGTCTCGGTGTATACATATCTCAGTGTTTGTCATTGTTTTATGAGCCTGCTCAATCACTTGTCCTTAGTTTCCCAACATAAGCCTCGAACAACTTGCTTGTGCCTATGTTCCCAACCGTCCTCAAATGTTAGTCCATACTTTCCTGATGGTGACCCTCCTTTAGTGTTTGTCCTTACTTACTTGATGGTGGCCCTCCTGTAGTGTCTGTCCTTACTTTCCTGATGGCGACCTTCCTCTAGTGTTTGTCCTCACTTACTTGATGGTGACCTTCCTCTAGTGTTTGTCCTCACTTACTTGATGGCGACCTTCCTCTAGTGTTTGTCCTTACTTTCCTGATGGCCACCTTCCTCTAGTGTTTGTCCTCACTTACTTGATGGTGACCTCCCTCTAGTGTTTGTCCTTGCTTTACTGATGGTGACCTTCCTCTAGTGTTTGTTCTTACTCTACTGATGGCGACCTTCCACTAGTGTTTGTCCTCACTTACTTGATGGTGACCTTCCTCTAGTCTTTGTCCTTACTTTCCTGATGGCGACCTTCCTCTAGTCTTTGTCCTTACTTTACTGATGGCGACCTTCCACTAGTGTTAGTCCTTACTGTCCTGATGGTGTCCTTCCTCTAGTGTTTGTCCTTACTTTACTGATGGCGACCTTCCTCTAGTGTTTGTCCTTACTTTCCTGATGGTGACCTTCCTCTAGTGTTTGTCCTTACTTTCCTGATGGTGACCTTCCTCTAGTGTTTGTCCTTACTTTACTGATGGCAACCTTCCTCTAGTGTTTGTCCTTACTTTACTGATGGCGACCTTCCTCTAGTGTTTGTCCTTACTCTCCTGATGGTGACCTTCCTCTAGTGTTTGTCCTTACTTTCCTGATGGTGACCCTTTCTAGTGTTAGTCCTTACTTTCCCAATGGTGACCTTCCTCTAGTGTTTGTCCTTACTTTACTGATGGCGACCTTCCTCTAGTGTTTGTCCTTTCTTTCCTGATGGTGACCTTCCTCTAGTGTTTGTCCTTACTTTACTGATGGCGACCTTCTTCTAGTGTTTGTCCTTACTTTACTGATGGCGACCTTCCTCTAGTGTTTGTCCTTACTTTACTGATGGTGACCTTCCTCTAGTGTTTGTCCTTACTTTACTGATAGTGACGGGGCGGTCAGGTAGCCTAGTGGTTAAAGTAATCGCTCCTCAAGCTGAAGACCTGCGTTCGATTCCCAACATGGGAACCATGACAGCAACCATCCTATTTTTCCCCATTGACCTTCCTCGTGTTTTCTTTTGTACTTCTGTTAGCCCAAGCTGTTTCATCATCAGACATGCACGTGTTCTCTTCATAGAATGTTATTAAAGGGAAGCAACTCTAGTCATCTTAAAAGTTTATTTCCATACAGAATTCCTCTTTGATTCTGATTTTAAGTCAATTATATGTGAATGAAATTGACCAATGAACTTTAACACTATTTTACTTATATCACAGCATGTCATTTTAATGTGATAGGAAAGACCTACATGTTGTAGGTCGTAGATGTATACTATTTGGTGAAATCCATGATAATAATGCATAATGATAATGAATATAGGATTCAAAGCCACAATCTTCTTGTCCTGGCAACCGGAATGGAGCTTTTCCTCATGATCATGCAATCCAACCTCAGAAATATAAAATTACATGTCTCTGAATCAAAACTGTCAATAATCATTTGCCCTTGACGTACTTTGGATATCCTGGGATTTGATCCTTTGTACCCCATACTTAACTAAATGTGTGACCAGCAGCGCAGAGACGTTTGTATCTCTACTACTGAGTAAGACGGTCATAGCTCTAAGATCCAGGTGTGAAACTGATTGGGTAAACCTGGATTGATTGTGTGTCATCTTACCCCGATTTCATGGATTGGTGCTCATACTGTCAACCACTGGTTTGTCTAGTTCATCTTCGATTACTTCCAGGCCACACCGATACAGGTGTTATGCTACTTTGCAGAATACTGATTAGGGGGAAAACGACACAGCAAGGTCACTATACGATATGTAGCGGCTACATGTAGTAGTGAACTAAACCATTTTACGATATTTGACTGACAAAAAACACTTGGGGTCATTAAACGATTGGTAAATAATTTATTTTAGCCAGTGTATCATCTTGTATCGACACAGAAAAAAAGTATTGCGTATCATATTGTCACATTAATGCATCGGTGTATCATTTCACCCATACATAATATTGATAAAATTATAGTTTGCTGATGACTTTGTGGCTATTATATTCCTTCACCATGAGTGTGACACGATCTGTGACGTGTTCCAGGGAACATCTACTATGAGACCCGGAGATCTGTGAATGCCCTCGTACACATGGACCAGGCTTATGAGGTTTACCAGTCGGTCTGCAAACACAGGGTGGTGAGTCAAACAGTCTTTCTTCTGCTGTGAAGACACTGTTTGGTCCTGAACAGGGTTGAAACCCAAGTTTATGATAACTGCTCACTTGATATTATTTTCTTAGAACTGAAACATTTATGAAGCAAGGATGACAATGGTAACAAGTCAGAGTCAAGTTATGTCATATTTTCTTATTTTCAAAATGTTAACTGACATATATTCTAACTTACATTAAACAAAGAAATTTCTGTCTTATGAATTATTTTTAAACAGAGAAAGTGTATGATTTTGTTGAAAATCATCTTGTTTTTTCTTACCGTCTTTCAGGCCAAGCCTAAAGAGCCTGCTCTGAAGATGAGACAGTTCCTCTTCATGACACAGGTAAATATTTCTGGGGAATCATAGCTCATACTACTGTCTTAAAATTTCTTTGTCTTACGTACAAATGTCAACAAAGCTTAACAAAGCAAAGTCTGTCTGTCTGTCTGTCTGTCTGTCTGTCTGTCTGTATTTTCCTCCTTGACATTTGAGAAAATTAAGAAAAAACATTTGAAATGTCAACCCTAGAGAGAAACATTATTGAAGACAGCCTAATTTTCAAATGACGTAATGTAATCTATTTGTGATGTCATGAGCAATGGATGACGTCATTATCATATTTTTCTCAACAATGAAGCACTGTGACATCATATGGCTTCAACTGGCCAATCAGCATTAAGAATCTCTAATGTACACATGTGCAAATATCAAAGTTATTACACACAATCTTTCTAGCCTTATTGGTACTGTACAATAATTACTTCATGGTGGCTTTATCAATTACTGCACTTTCTCAAGGACCTGAAGCTTATCAACTCCGACCTGACACCCCAGGCTATCCTGGAGGTCCTGGCCTCGGATGACCCTAAAGTTGCTGATGGAGAAGGCTGCTACAACCTGGAGCTAGAGGTGGGTACCCGGTAGTTTCAGAATCCTGCAAACATTCTTACACTTGTCTTTACTATAATAGATCAGATACATGGATCCTTACCATTAACATGTACAAACACTGAAATCTATCTAGCATTCAGAATTTGGAAATGGCATAGCATGAGGTGTAAACTGTTAAATATTGTTAAATATTTTCCAGTCATGGTAGAATCTTAAGTAATATCATCCATTCTCATCCCCTCTTTGGTCATATCACACAATCAAATTCATTTAGTAATACATGTAGTAATACCCCGCCAACCCGTGCTGGTCGTAAGAGGACCTAATGGATCGGGTGGTCATGCTCGGCAACTTGATTGATGGCATGTCCTTGTTTCTCACAATATCGATGGCCCACAATATCCGATCACTGGATTGTCTGATCCAGACTGGATTATTTACAACCTGTTGTCACATTGCTGGAATATTGCTCAGCGATAGAAATTGGCACTAGTCCTATAGTCCTTGCCAAACTGCCCAATAGTTAAGGTTTCACAGGGATAGTTGAAATTTTGCCATTTTTAAGAGTTTGTACTATATGTTATCCTTATAAGGACTAATGGACTAAAAATGTTAGTTTCTATTGCTGTTGCTTAGTGCGGTATTACACAACAAACAAGCAGCATACCATGATACAGGATACATTGGTATTTAACATATAAGTAGTAGCCTTCATCTGTGCATCCGCTTACAGCTGTAAGAACAAAGATTACATTTTTTTGTCAATATCTTAACACCAGTAGGGTTCCATTATGACTTGAAGCAGTTTCTTTTAATCATTCTTCATGAAAGATGCTTTGTTGTCACTACAGTATCATGCCTGGTAATGAGTTGGTTTCAAGAATGCTCATTTATTGCCAGGAAGATTGTCTGATGTCTGTAAACTTTATACCTCAACTGTTGTTCACCAGATGACATTCCTGGAGTTTTTCGAGGCATTGGTTGGTTGTGCCCAGGTGTATGTGACAGAGCAAGTGGTCAAGGATCCGTCTACCCCACGCCCCAGCACCGTCATGACACATGACCAGAGCATGTACTCCGTTCCTGCCTCACCATCTCGACTCACCAGTCAGGTAGTGTACTCACCCTCTAGACTCACCAGATACGTAGTGTTCTCACCCCCTAGACTCACCAGACAGGTAGTGTACTCTCCCTTCAGACTCACCAGACAGGTAGTGTACTCACCCTCTAGACTCACCAGTCAGGTAGTGTACTCACCCCCTAGACTCACCAGTCAGGAAGTGTACTCACCCCCTAGACTCACCAGACAGGTAGTGTACTCACCCCCTAGATTCACCAGTCAGGAAGTGTACTCACCCATTAGACTCGCCAGTCAGGTAGGGTAGTCACCCCCTAGACTCACCAGTCAGGTAGTGTACTCACTCCCTAAACTCACCAGTCAGGTAGTGTACTCATCCCCTAGACTCACCAGTCAGGTAGTGTACTCACCCTCTAGAGTCACCAGTCAGGTAGTGTACTCACCCCCTAGACTCACCAGTCAGGAAGTGTACTCACCCCCTAGACTCACCAGACAGGTAGTGTACTCACCCCCTAGATTCACCAGTCAGGAAGTGTACTCACCCATTAGACTCGCCAGTCAGGTAGGGTAGTCACCCCCTAGACTCACCAGTCAGGTAGTGTACTCACTCCCTAAACTCACCAGTCAGGTAGTGTACTCATCCCCTAGACTCACCAGTCAGGTAGTGTACTCACCCTCTAGAGTCACCAGTCAGGTAGTGTACTCGCCCTCTAGAGTCACCAGTCAGGTAGTGTACTCACCCTCTAGACTCACCAGTCAGGTAGTGTACTCACCCCCTAGACACACCAGTCAGGTAGTGTACTCACCCCCTAGACTCACCAGTCAGGTAGTGTACTCACCCTCTAGAGTCACCAGTCAGGTAGTGTACTCACCCCCTAGACTCACCAGTCAGGTAGTGTACTCACCCCCTAGACTCACCAGTCAGGTAGTGTACTCACCCCCTAGACTCACCAGTCAGGTAGTGTACTCACCCCCTAGACTCACCAGTCAGGTAGTGTACTCACCCCCTAGACTCACCAGTCAGGTAGTGTACTCATCCCCTAGACACACCAGTCAGGTAGTGTACTCACCCCCTTGACTCACCAGTCAGGTAGTGTACTCATCCCCTAGACTCACCAGACAGGAAGTGTACTCACCCCCTAGACACACCAGTCAGGTAGTGTACTCACCCCCTTGACTCACCAGTCAGGTAGTGTACTCACCCTCTAGACTCACCAGTCAGGTAGTGTACTCATCCCCTAGACTCACCAGTCAGGAAGTGTACTCATCCCTTAGACTCACCAGTCAGGTAGTGTACTCACCCCCTAGACTCACCAGTCAGGTAGTGTACTCATCCCCTAGACTCACCAGTCAGGTAGTGTACTCACCCTCTAGAGTCACCAGTCAGGTAGTGTACTCACTCCCTTGACTCACCAGTCAGGTAGTGTACTCACCCCCTAGACACACAAGTCAGGTAGTGTACTCACCCCCTAGACTCACCAGTCAGGTAGTGTACTCACCCCCTAGACTCACCAGTCAGGTAGTGTACTCACCCCCTAGACTCACCAGTCAGGCAGTGTACTAACCCCCTAGACTCACCAGTCAGGTAGTGTACTCATCCCCTAGACTCACCAGTCAGGTAGTGTACTCACCCTCTAGACTCACCAGTCAGGTAGTGTACTCACCCTCTAGAGTCACCAGTCAGGTAGTGTACTCGCCCTCTAGAGTCACCAGTCAGGTAGTGTACTCACCCTCTAGACTCACCAGTCAGGTAGTGTACTCACACCCTAGAATCACCAGTCAGGTAGTGTACTCACCCTCTAGACTCACCAGTCAGGTAGTGTACTCACCCCCTAGACTCCCCAGTCAGGAAGTGTACTCATCCCTTAGACTCACCAGTCAGGTAGTGTACTCACCCCCTAGACTCACCAGTCAGGTAGTGTACTCACCCCCTAGACTCACCAGTCAGGTAGTGTACTCATCCCCTAGACTCACCAGTCAGGTAATGTACTCACCCTCTAGAGTCACCAGTCAGGTAATGTACTCACCCTCAAGAGTCACCAGTCAGGTAGTGTACTCACCCTCTAGACTCACCAGTCAGGTAGTGTACTCACCCTCTACACTCACCAGTCAGGTAGTGTACTCACCCTCTACACTCACCAGTCAGGTAGTGTACTTATCCCCTAGACTCACCAGTCAGGTACTTTACTCACACGCCAGACTCACCTTTTAGACTCAGTCAGCATCAGGTACTTGCTCACTATCTGTTATGATTGATATGATTGATGTTATGATTGATGTTATGATTGTTATGATTGTTATGATTTTCTTTGTTCTCATTGTATCTTCTTCCTGCAGGCCGGTATGGATGATTCTGGTGACACAGTGGCCCAGGCTACCCCCCACCACACCCCTCATGGAGGATCCAACACCCCTGCCGCCTCCCCATCCCGGGCACAGTCCTCAGGGGCAGGGACAGCCAAGACAGGGGGAGAGGGATCTTCAAAAGTCATAGATGTAATTAGCTTTCAGTATACTCTCAATACAGCAGCAAGGCCTTTATGTTTCAGACAAATACATGTATATGTAGAACTCAAATACAATGTGATACTCTGAAAAAAACAATTCAATTTTTTTTTTAATTCGCAAGTGTTAATCTTAAAGGAGTACTGGTATATAATAAAGTCTGATTCAAACTATGTATGGTTTGTCGCACCATATGTTTTTATGAGAACCAGACTTACACGTGATGAGCCTCGATATCCCTGTAAGATTGCTTCACTCACTTGTCCTCCATGTTCTGTCCTAGCCCCAGCAGTCCAGCAGTGTTAACCTGGGATTGACCTCGGACCGAGGTCATCAGGGCACCAGTCAGAGTCACCATGACAGCGCCAAAGGAGGTAGGATAGTGTCACACACAGGAGTTACTGTTACCCCAGTTAGTAACGACTGTCCATTATGCAGAATCTGAAAGTATTTGATGTAGTTTGGTTTGGTTGGATATTATGTGCATATTATCTTTTGTCATAGGTATTTACTTACAGTGTTTGGATGCTCTGCTTGACACATGGGCGGTGGGCTAACGGATATTGCTGACAGTTGCTTTAAAGAACATTCACTCACTCGTTTTGCTCTCATCAACTGGTTGACCTGGGTCAGATTACCAGCAGACTCTGGCATAAAAGAACATTCCCTCACCATGTTGGTTGCAGCAATAAAATTCTTAGTAGTATTTTATTCCGATTCCGACTTTTTGCCCTAGACAGCCTATTGTTGATATTTAAAGATTTCTAACTAGCCGGTTGTTGTCCACGGACAGATGTGACCCCTCTCGCTGACCAACAGAAGAGTGCATCTTTCATCAGTAACCATACCAACGGCACAGAGGAGAACGCAGCCCTTGTCCAGAGTTCTGTTTCCATGGCAGCACACACAGAACCATCAGCAGAGCATCCTGAAGGTCAGCTTCAAGAACTGTATTGTGTAGCATCCTGATTGAGGTCTGCAGTCCCTAGGTCAGTGCGGGAGGTGTCACGTCACATGACGCCAGACAGTGTGAAATGTACAGTTATTGTTGACACATGTGCATACACACAAGAGAATGTCTGAGCGATGCAGCCTGTCAAATGATGCAAAAATTATACATGACATGCACTGACCTAGGTTGCTGTGTCAAGTCGCGTTTTAACCTTCTTAACAGTGTTGGCTTACAGAAAAATACAATGGCCTATGTATAGACAACTCTCCCTTGTTACTAACAATTCTGAAATTACAGTGACTTATACAAGGTACTTAAACAAGGTACTTATACAAGGTACTTATACAAGGTACTTATACAAGGTGTAGCCCTGTGGGGATCCCGAGTTGGAATAGGTCCTCATCAACCTATGCCGCATAAGATGTCACAAAATTGATTGGGTGGTCACACTTGGTGACTTGGTTGACTCCGACGACATGGGTAGTTGCTCACAATAGCGATCACTGGACTATATGGAGGCAGATGACATATAGCTGTAATATTGCTGAGTGTGGTGTAAAACAGGTGCGGTGAGTTGAAATGGGGTTCAACGTCGCGTCCAAGATTATTGCTCTTATATAGCGACGTGCATGTACGTGTGTGTTTGTGTGACTGCTTGTACTAGTCCGGACTGATGCCGATTTATAGTGCTAGCTCAATGAGATACCATGCCGCAGTTTAACATGAATACCCCACTCAGACACAGTATACTGACTCCGAGCCGACCAGTCCTTGTTTTAGCCCCTTAATAATGCCGAGCGCCAGGGTAACAACAAGTACCATCTTTTAACGTCTTTTGGTATGACGCGGCCAGGGATCGAACCCCGGACCTTCTGCTCTCCGGGCGGACACTCTACCACTAGATCACGGAGTTGGTCGGTGTAAAATAGAACCACAGACACATAGACATAATTATGGTGGTCAAATTTTATTGATTCTATTTACAGACTTGGCTTTTTGTTTTCTTAATATATTCATCATCCAAGGAAATTTGAAGAGGGGAGAGGGCTCCAAATCAATATATATTTACTTTATAATATTTTGGGTGAAAAATAAAGTACAGATGTTTTTGTACCAAAGACCTGAAAATGAATCATTCAGTGCCACCCCCCATTATCAGGCTGTTTAGCAGGTATGCAAGTATCTACATTCTTAATACTAAAAGCCAATATGTGGTGTAGTAATGATGCAGTCGGTTTTAAGGCAAGTAATGAAACGATGCTGTGGGTAACTCATTAAAGCCATGTTAGCCCCATATAGTGTGAACCCTAATTGCCTGACATTGTAGAGTAGATGTAGCAATATTGCCATTTATTCTCTGTAACCTGAGCTCTCATTGATCAGATCACTTGCTGGTTTCTCTCTTGCTGGAACCGTGGCTTGATTCATTGGTTAAAAAAAAGCAAAGTGGATGTTTGTATGCGAGGTGATGGAGGAACGTAGCGAATGCAAACCTGTGAAGTATTGACAATGGACACCTTATCCTTGCTTATAATAACCATGTCTCCCCTGGTGTTGCAGGTGTGGGTGAGGACCATGCCGATGGTGCCGCTGAGGACCACGAGGTGGAGGTGGAGGTGGAACTAGATGAGGCAACAAGGCTTTTCAACTTCTGGACACACCAGATACACATCTTCTTTGTTCGCAAGTTCTTCCCTGCAGCCGAAAAATTAGCCGACCTTAAGCGTCTGGTCGAGAAGCGTCAGTTGGATGAATCTAAAATGAGGCTGATGACAATTAATGCATCCCGGATCCAACAGTGCGACCCAGAGAAATCCCAGGCCTAGAGCCCAGGAGCTGGTGTCAACAATAGAGGGACTTATCATGTTGAATATGTTTACTTTTAATCAATATGGCTCTCCAGCACAAATGCATTGTGGGATCATTGATGAGATTTATCTGATCAATTTTTACCTGAATTTATTCTGAATAAATAAATAATGTATGATTAATGAATTGATGAAGTATTGTTCCATGAGAACCTGTATACAAACGAAATGAAACCGTCCATTTGATATTTACTTTATGTTACGAAGAAACTGTGATATTTATGTTTATTTGTTTGTTGTATAAACATACTGGAATATTTATTTCTTGGATTACACATTTTGGACTCAATGTTATGATTTTGCAGTCGTTCTGCTGATGAGGAACTGATTTAGATTTTCCATGCAGATCAAGCACAGACTTGGTTTTGAGATTCAGGGGTCGTAAGCCTTGAGTAAAGTTCCAATTCTTGTCACAATGGCTGACGAAGTAGGACAGGGGTTACATTGTGTGACCTGGCTGATTGTGTGTCATCCTGCCCCAATGGTGTGGATCACTGACATGCAACAACTGGCTCTCACATAGGCTGAATTACTTACAGCTTCGGTGTTACGCTGCAAAAAAACATTCACTTACTCAAATGACTTTTGATGGTACTAAATATATTTTAATTTGTTACAGGCCTATATAAAAAATGTCAAAACAGAAAATATTGACAGCTGACCTGCATACATGAAGAGTAAAATAAGTTGTTATCCAATGAATAAATCAGTTTGTGATGTCATGGTGTGTACTTGATCTTGTTCTTGGGGGCGGGGGTTGGCTTGAGATCAACATTTGTTTCAGAACATGTACAAAATCTAACTGAAATCTTTAGAATGTTGTGCATGTTGTAAATAATCGAGTCTGGACCAGACAATCCAGTGATTTATAACATGAACATCGATCCACGCAATTGGGATCGATGACATGCATCAAACCAAGTCAGCGAGCATGACCACCCGATCCCATTAGTAGCCTCTTATGACAAGCATAGTCACCTTTAACGACAAGCATGGGTTGCTGGAGACCTGTTCTACCCCGGATCTTCATGGGTCTCCAGTAACCTGAAGTCCTGCTGGCAGACAGCAACCAGCCAAGGCTGACGAGCATCTGATTTTGACGAACCAGATTGCCGCTTGTCACCAATGCCATCCCAGCTTTAACAGTCTTGGTCAGGCCACAGTTTAATAAAAGAAGTTGTGAATAAAAATTTGACTGCTCTGTTTAATCAATGCTTATAATATTGTATAGTTTTGGAATTTGGGTGACATCTCAGATGTTTTCTAAGTTGACTGTAGCTGTCCTATTTTCGTTCAGCTGTGAAAATGGAAAACAAACATTTGATATTACATCCAGGTAAATATTGTAGGAATGTATTGTACCCAAGATATTGAAATGAGATCAGCTGAAGCTGAAGGGAGAATATTTTGTATTTCTTTGTTGTAAAATTTAAACTTTACCAGATCTGGTCCACCTGTCATGCTAATAGAATGAATAAAACAATTAAGAAACTGTCTAGAGACATTTATATAAAAGTCGTTGAGAGAGTGAGTGAGTGAGTATGGTTTTACGCCGCTTTTAGCAATTATTCCAGCAATATCACGGCGGGGGACACCAGAAATGGGCTTCACACATTGTACCCGGAATCAAACCGTCTTCGGCGTGACGAGCGAACGCTTTAACCACTAGGCTACCCGACCGCCCCTCGTTGAAAGATGACCCGCCAGCGCAGTGTGTTGTGAAGGCAGCAATCCATGCCGTGCTATCAATACAGTTAATGGTCTAAGGGAGATAATCGTGTCGTGATCTTCTAATAATAAATAAGAGTAAGTTCCCTTCTATGAGCGATAGCCAAGCTCCTTCCCAGCGCGTGACACCTTCGTCTACACTCTCGGTAACATCGCTGCCACCAGTGTGGGCGCGGCCATTACAAGAATCTTGAAATTTGCCCTCTAACCCCAAATGTAGTAACGTTTATACTTTTGTTTATGTCTTTGGGAATGCCATCATATTTCAAGTTGAAAAGGTTTCCGACTGACCATGTTTTCCAGATGAATTTACTTTGTTGTTTTGATAATAAGATTGGTTCGAGGTTGCAGACTAACGGAAAATCAACCAACTTCTCCCTTACATTCTTACTATATCAATAACACGATAGTTTTAATGAAACAGAAATTCAAATTGACAAACGAAGAAAGTAATTTAGCATCGATAAGTGTATTCGGCGTCACGACAGTCGTCACTTGTTTGTAAACATAACGGTCATTCGGTTGCGAGTTCAACTCCAGCGATAGTATAGAGAGCTCCGGGAACGTACTATCGCTGTGAGGAGCTTGAGCGATAGCCCGTTCGCGGAGATCTACCGAGAGTGTAACGAAGGTGTCACGCGCTGGGAAGGAGCTTGAGCTCCATACAGAGTTAACTTAAACTCCCCACATCGTGTGGAATTTTCCGAGTTCTATAGGGAATCAAGCTCCTCACAGCGATAGTCCATTCACGCACTGACAATGAGTTTTAAAACTTCTGGTTATCTCCCCTGCTACAAGATCGAATGACGTCATAGCTTAGGTCGGACATGCGCATTGCACATATATTATTTGATAAGAGTATCGCGCAGTGTTTTAAGACCCTGCATGGAGCCTGTACAAGGGACGTAACTCCGTTTGAAATTACCAAGTAAACTACTCACCTACCCAGAGTTCAATACGACCAAGTCACCACTTTTATCGCTTTCAGTCAGAAAGGGGCCCAGTCTAATTACCAAGCTGAATTACTCCCCTTTGACAACAACACTTTGCCGAATGGAATAAAATTGATTGAATTGTCTCCCTTTGACTATGACGCAACAAGCCTTCGTCACACACCCGGTAACATCGATGCCATCAGTGTGGAAGCGGCTATTACAGGAATCTTGAAATTTGCCTCTAACCATAAATGTAGTGACATTTATATTTTTGCGTGTCTCCTTGGGAATGCTATCATAGTGTATTTTGAAAGGTGCGACTTACTATTTCCCAGATGAAAGTTGCCTTTTTGTTTGATCAGATTGGTTCGAGATTGCAGACGAACGGAAAATCAACCAACTTCCCCCTAATATTCTTACTGTATGAATTACATGATAGTTGAAATGAAATAGAAATTCAAATTGACTAAAGAAAATAATTTAGGTGTTGATAGAGTATTCGGTGTCACAACAGTCATCGCTTGTTTGTAAACAACGTTCTGTCGGTTGTGAGTTCAACTCCAAGCATGGTTGTGGCTCCCTTTCACAGTAGGGATCTGTGACTGGTTTCAGCGATAGAACAGAGAGTTCAGTGAACGGGCTATCGCGGTGAGGAGCTTGATGACAAAACCTGTGTAAGGTCGCAGATTAAAGACCTCGATGAGGTCTATCTGCCTTTCAAATTTAATGAATAAAAACATATCTAAGAAACTATCTAGATGCAAAGTTAACATACTTAAGTATGTCGTATAAAAGACCGTCTCCGTGGTCTAGTGGATAGAGTGTCTGCCCGAAGAGCGAAAGGTCGGTGACGGTGGTTGTATCCCGTGGTCGCATCATACCAAAAGACGTTAAAAGAAGGTACTTAAGTGTTGTTACCCTGTCTGGCGCTTGGCAGTAAAGGGCTAAAACAAGGATTGGTCGGCTCGGAGCCAGTATGCAGTATACAGTCACTCTCTCTCTCTCTCTCTCTCTCTCTCTCTCTCTCTCTCTCTCTCTCTCTCTCTCTCTCACATACACACACACACACACACGAAGAAGAATCTTAAACACGAGGAACATAATATTTAACAATGCGAACTGAATCTCAACTGAGATAGGACAGCCAGAACCGTAATGAATAAGTACAAGATATAGCCCCATCTCAACGCCCTCCCATTTTGATCCAGACACGCCCACCCCCTGTAAATAGGAGGGAGAAATAAGACTGATGGCTTATGTTTGTTTGACAATATTTATTTCCTTTACACCAATGGCAGGCAGAAAGCTAGTTACACGTGAGCCACATTACTACAATACAACATACTTGCACTGTTGACATACATTCAAACGGTTGTAAATCAGACTGGGTTCCGTCTGTAAGTGTTTCATCCACATGAACACTTGACACTGTCAGTGATTTGTAAACATTTACATATATATATACACCTTATACAAATAGCATGAGCGTTAGCATGTGACAAAGTCTAATTGCATTCGTGCCAGTGCGTCTTCGAATTCCTAACAAAAAATAAACAAGGTTATCAATAAACAACTTTTACAATAAAATAAACCGATTTTGAAAGTTATTTGACACAAGCATTCGTGGAAAATAGATGTATTTTTATAGTATTGTCTTGGTGGCGATCTTGATGTTCACAAATAAGCATATATGTTTGAATGAAAATGAATGAACCTGTCAAAGTCATATTATTCCCATAATTGGTTTGATCCTCGGACCTAAAATTGATTAATTTTCTTTTTATAAAACCTCAAATAAACTAGCATAAGCGGCGAGAAAAGAAAAAAAATCATATTATTTCGCATATCATTTTCATTCTTACATGTACAGTGCTTGGTTGGCTGTCAGCCATTTTCTTTATGATAACGTCCAGTATACATAATTTTGTGTTTTGTGAAGTATGTGTTTGTGCGTAGACACTATTGTAGGAAATACATACCGACACTAAGCAACGATATCAATGCCTACTCGTATTACAAAAGAAAAATATACAATGAAGATAAATGACGTTCCTGAAATATTAACAATTGGAACAATAAAATAAATATGGACACGATTCTTAGATTTCCACTTGAATATGAACCATGCACATCGCTCAAAAGAAGGGATGTTACACATTACCTGACAAGAATTGTTTATGCGATGAAAATAAAAATGTACACCGAAATATGTACAAAACTTATAAATTTACAAAACTCTGTGCTTGTGCAAGACGATGTATGTCTCGTGCGTCCATGAAACATGGGATTTTGTTTCGAGATTAGATATTTCTTCCAGCTACAGCTACAAAAACCATATATTTTGTATTTAAGCTTGAATTTTGTTTAAGAATAACACCTTGCAACAATGTAATTTTTGTATTAGGCAATTTCTTTTTTTTCAACAGTCTGAAAAGCATAAAAAGATTTTTAAGAACTTTCGGGAACAATTTATTATTTTCGGCTGCGATCGCTATCCACTTGCACAAAGCGATTGTAGGCTAAGACCATAGTTACTAAGGTTGCTCTGTGTATCATAGCGTGCTTACTGTGTGGTTGCGAGGCCTGGCCCCGTGCGGTACTATCCTTTTGCAGGTTATGGGGTTTTAAGTGAAAGACAAACGTTGGTTAGTCATGATACGCTATTGTTTTTTTACTGATTGTGCCCCAACAGATGCGTCTATGTACGATGCAATGAAGATTAGTAAAGGGGAATATAGAGTCTGTGTCCGTTTTCTAGTGCTCGACGTTGTACTTAATACCATGTGTGAAACTTAGACATTGTTTTGTGTTATAAGGTTTAAATGGTTACTGCTAAATTGACATACCTCAAGATTGAGGTAGCAGACAAAGAAACCCGAGTAGGCTAGGACTGCTAAATAGTCCGACTCTCCCTTTAACACACGTGCTGTTAAGAGGCGACGGGATCTCTTAGATCCCCAAGTTTAAACGCTGGAGTGGTGATGAGATGTTGCGATTTTTCATACTCCTAAGACTAGAAGCTGCAATGATGATGATTAACAGACCATAAGTTCTGATGAGGTGACGGGTCTCTGATCTTCCTAAGACTAAACGCTGCTATGGTGATGATTAACAGACCATAAGCTCTGATGAGGTGACGGGGTCTCTGATCTTCCTAAGACTAAACGCTGCTATGGTGATGATTAACAGACCATAAGCTCTGATGAGGTGACGGGGTCTCTGATACTCCTAAGACTAAACGCTGCGACGGTGATGATTAACAGACACTAAGCTCTGATGAGGTGACGGGGTCTCTGATACTCCTAAGACTAGACGCTGCGACGGTGATGATTAACAGACTATAAGCTCTGATGGGGTGACGGGGTCTCGGATACTCCTAAGACTAGACGCTGCGACGGTGATGATTAACAGACTATAAGCTCTGATGAGGTGACGGGGTCTCTGATACTCCTAAGACTAGACGCTGCGACGGTGATGATTAACAGACACTAAGCTCTGATGAAGTGACGGGGTCTTGGATACTCCTAAGACTAGATGCTGCAATGGTGAGGATTAACATACACTAAGCTTTGATGAGGTGACGGGTCTCTGATACTCCTAAGACTAGATGCTGCTATGGTGATGATTAACAGACCATAAGCTCTGATGAGGTGACGGGGTCTCTGATACTCCTAAGCCTAGACGCTGCTATGGTGATGGTTAACAGACTATAAGCTCTGATGAGGTGACGGGGTCTCTGATACTCCTAAGCCTAGACGCTGCTATGGTGATGATTAACTGACCATAAGCTCTGATGAGCTGACGGGGTCTCTGATACTCCTAAGACTAGATGCTGCAGCGAGGGTGACAAAGGTATCATGGGTTCTGGTGAGGTGACGGGGTCCCTATACTTCTAAGACTATGTCAAAAAAAGTTCGTTGATTAAAGTATGTTGGTGTATGATGATCTCATGCATTTACAGGCCTTAACAAATAAGGCATCTTGTGCATTGATATTGCTCGTATAACCGATGACAGATAAGACAAAGGCTTTACATATTCTTAAACAGTTGCATTGGCCTCAGTCAAGTGTAAAAGGACCTTTCACTTGCCAATAATTATACTTTACATGTATAAAATTTCATGAATTCAAAATCTCTTTGGGGTCTACATCCAAAAAACTATGAGTTCAGAAAAGCGTCTTCTGTCGTTTGAGCAATGTTGTCTACTTACATTAAACGTATTAACAAAACATAACACGTAAATGCCAAAGGATAACCCGCTTCGATTAGCCTCCGAAACAGATTACATTGGGCGTAAAGGCAAAGTGGAGGTGAAAACAATATGAATGGAACACTGAAAATCAGTGATGACACCAGGTGTTCGCGAAAAGGGCAAGCATGTCCTGCTCTACCGATAGCACCACCACACATACAATTTGCACAAAAATAGGTGTTTGTATCCCAAACAGTTCGATCACATGTACAAGGATCTCATTAATGGAACATGCTGATATCACTATTAAATTAATTACCCGACACACTTTACACAAACGTTGGACTATGAGATTATGATGTCCTGAAATAGCATCAACACTGGTGACAGAATGAACACAATTGGTACTGGTGATGCTCTTGTGCTCACACAAATAAACAGAGGGGGGGGGGGGGGGGGGGGGGGAACTTGTCTCTCAGTTGATGTTATCATTTGTTTGATTTTTCAAGTGAAATTATCTTAAGCTAGCGATATTATAAAAAAAAAGATGAACTGTAATGGCGCTTAGTCAGCACTCAAAGAATACTTCTAGATGGATTTATTTTTGAAAATATAATTTGATTTAAAACTTTAAATTTTTTTTTAAAAATTTGCAGACAAACCTCAGACATCTTATCTTTGAAAATCAATAATAATAAAAATCCGCAGAAATTTACATTTCAAACATGGTAGTGGTCATGTGGTTGCAAATTCATTTCTTACCCTAGTCTTCATCGAACCAATATATTTTTACTTAAAATTACCAACGCACAGGTTTCTTTTTATAAACTGTTGCAGGAATGAGTGATGCTTAAATCGACATAATCTAACTTAACAACAGTTCTTTTATGTTTTAATTACATGAAAATCAAACTCGATACACTTTCTTATACCCCTCTGTTTACATGGCGATGTGTCTTGTGTTGTCTAGGGAATGGCTCTCTATCATCCCTTCAGACCTCACTAGACGCCGGGTACTCAGTCTACTGTATAAGCGTCTAGTCCAGCGATCGCTCGGCATCTTTCACGTGTTCTATCTCTGCATACAGGGATTCGTCATCAGCAGTCAGGTTCATGTACACCTATAAAATATACAGGTACTAGTATGTGATTCTATAGCCATATGTATAAATACATGTATGTTTTATCTAATACTCCACCACATATTAACTAAATCTTCATAATACGTGGTGGCATGGGTTGCCCAGTCGTCTAAGGCGCCGAAATTCGCTGTGCGGAGTTGCGTCCCTTGACAAGCCAGAAACATATGAACGTGGTTCGAATCCAGGTCCACCCCGATTATGTTTCAAGGTTTGTCAACACCATACCCATTTCACCGAAGTGGTAACAGTCTAAGACCTGCATCACTTGGAACTTTCCTCCCACATCAAGCTGGCACGCCGTAATATAACTGGACTACAGTTCAAAGCGGCGTTAAACCAAACCCACTGAGTCCTCATTCCAACTGGTACTCAATATGAAAACGAGGCTTACAAAATGGTGTTATTTTTAGCGTAAGGGAGTTCTTTACCCATACATCTTTGACATGCGAGATTCACCACGATGTTGTAATAACATTTGTGTTGGGTGCAACAAAGGGAAATTCCGTTGTGATGTATCTGGGTCAGGTGATACTTTCAATCTTCCAGTCTTTCAGTATCGGTCATTGGCTTCCTTTAAGAACTTTATAAAGTTTGATATCGGTTAAAAATCTAACTTCCTTGAGTCTTGGTGGTTGGAGGTCAACATATCTGCATGTTTTCAATCCGACAAATTCAACTCAGGGTGTTTACATTTCAATAAATAACAGCTCTAATCATCTTATTTGTACAAATATGCAGCCTCCCAGGCATAGAAACGATTTGAGTTAAAAAGCTGTCAACCCGACATTCGAAAGCTATGCCGCACAAACAGCTTAATAAATCACTGCGAAGTAGGTCTCGTTTGATAAAAGAATCAGTATGGGGATATCATTTTCGTAATGCAGTTTTAGGGGCTGGCTCAGACTAACGGTTAGTCTCTGAAACTATATAAGTTTGATAGGAACATGCAACTACATTTGAAATGAAAAGGTGCACCAGTGAGACTGGAGATTCTATAGGCTTGCTTTATTTAGGAATATAGCTTTACAGTAAGGGCTGGGCGGAAGGGTAAATAATACATATGTTTCAGGGACTGTGAGACAGTCTAGGGCTGGTTGTACCCCGAAACATGGCCATATAGGGCCCGTATGTACCTCGATAATAAGCGATCCTATATGCTGTTAACTGACCTGTGAGTCTTCTAATATTCTATGGAGCCTTCCGATGATTTCATGAAACGTGGGTCTCCTTTCCGGCCTCTCATTCCAACATTGAAGCATCATGGCGTACCTGACAACAGAAGGCAGTTCAGCCTTAGCTGTATGCTTAGTAACATAAAGACCATACTTGCGTCTACAGTTGGTCTCGCGCTATAACGCCAAGGGAACCTCATAAACAAAACAGTAAGACGAGGCAATAACGTTGATCATCACCCTTTCTTGGGGGTTAAAGTGGGTGAGTGAGTGAGTTGGATTTTACGCCGCTTTTAGCAATATTCCAGCAATATCACGGCGGGGGGACACCAGAAATGGGCTTCACACATTGTACCCATGTCGGGAATCGAACCCGGGTCTTCGGCGTGACGAGCAAACGCTTTAACCACTGGGCTACCCGACCGCCCCCTTGGGGGTTAAAGAAGCAATTGGTTCAATATAGATTAACAACACAGATTAACATTTGTATTTGGACTGTTACGTACAGTTTTTATTTGTTAGTTGTTTAAGCCACACTCGGCAATATTCCAGCTATACGGCGGCTGCCTGCACCAGACAAACCAGTGATTAATATCATGAGCAACTCCTAAATCCGTCGAGGTACGATGACACGCAATCGACCAATTCCCGAGCCTGACGACAAGCATAGATTGTTCTATCCAGGGCGACAGCTCCAGTAAGGTCGCGACACGATACACGGAACCTCGACATGTCTTATAGTGAAGGAACAATGGCTTGTAAACATCGTCAGTAAATAAAAATTACCATTCATTTTAGAACCATATATGTCCCTCAATATATACTACTATATAACAAATAAGTCATCGTAATATGGAACAATCGGGTGTTGAATCTTTTGAGTGGTACATGTACGTTTCATTACAACGATGCTTGACCTACTTTGATACTCGTATCGCGGCAAAAGTGTCACCTTGCTCCGATATATCGTTGTAAGTTATCGATGTTTAGCCCTAAGTGTGCACCAAAGTCCATAGAGTTTAAATACACAATTATTTCCTGTGTCCGTTAGGAGACGACCAAGCGCTCGGAAAACGTCAAAAGAATGTTTGTTTTTTCATTGGTAGGCCTGTAATCAGTGCGACGTGACTCACATGTTGTCATCGCAGAGCTTCGGCCTCTTGAGTCTGTAGCCCTCTTTCAGCAGCGTAAACAGCTGTTGTGTGTCGATGCTGGAGTAGGGTGTGCCCCCGAGTGTGAAGATCTCCCACAGCAGGATGCCGAATGACCAGCTGAAACACACATCATCATCATCATCATCATCATCATTATCATCGTGCATCGTCGTTCATCATCATCATCATCATCATCACAATTATCATCAACATTATCGTCATCATCCTTTTCATCATCATCACCATTAATATGTATCTACTCTACAACACTGAATATTGATGTTAATTGGGCGTACGATTAAATCAAAAGTATTGCAGAGTAAAGTTAGGAACTAGAGTTCCAGTCAGTGACACTAAATGACGTGTTACGTAATAACCCTACATGTACACTGAAACGCAAAAGAAACGTCACTTCATGAAAATACGTATACATCATGAAAGTTTACATTTTTGGGAGGTATCTCGTTTTTGTTATTAGTCTGTACCCAAATGTATTGTTAACGGCCAAAAAGGGACATAAATATGGACATAATTGGTCACAAAAGTGTCCCCTTGCTCCGATATATCGTTGACAGATGTCGATGTTCAGCCCTAATTGCGCACCTAATACCAAACAGTTTAAATATATGTTCGCGCATTAAAATCATTCCCTGAGTCCGTTATGAGACGAAACAGTATCGATGCAAGAATGGTGGATCCACGTATTTGGGTGACGTTCATCAGTAAAAGCCACAAGTGAATTTTGAATTTACGCAAGTGAAATTTGATTTTTATGGAAAGCATTCCGGACTTTGTACTATGGACGTTTGCTAAGCTGCGTTGAGTTGGTACGTGTTAAAGCAGATTACTTGGCTATGATTTATTTATGATGAAGTCATAGTCGTTATAGTAGCCCTTTGGTTTGTATTTTGAAGTTTTAGCATGTTACCTGTTTCATACAGAACCGCAAAAGAAAAACGTCACTTCATGAAAATAATTCTCGAAAGTTTTCCATTGAAATATCAATGCAGTTTTTGGAAGTATATCGACATAACTCTGTATCCAAATTTAATGTTAACAGACGAAAGGTGACACGACTTATGGATATAATAAACATTAAATGAATGAAATATATAACATTGGACTTTCCCACTCTTTCGCCAACCCTGCAGAATGTCAATAAAATCTGCCACAAAAAGTGATAATGTATACATACACACGTAGGTATGTGTCTTTTTCAAAAGACAACGAGAAAAAACACTCAGATATTCAATGAACGAAATATTAAATGGAAATGCCAACTGTTTAACTAAATTATACCCTTGTGGGACTACAGGCAACAGTCCACAGCCTGGAGCAGTCCACTGAATATAATGTATCTGTATATTCCATTATTCAGAAGCAAGAACATAACTTGTCATTATTTAACGACTTTGTCAACATGTTCCTCCCACTCACAACAAGATGTTGTATCTACACAGCCCACATTTGTGAAACTGTAAAAAGGCAGTGTGTAAATTATACCTCACGGTGTTAGGAAGCCGACATATTCATGAATTGTAAGAACTGGGACTCAGTGAGCGACATTCCCTGGGTTCCTGATGCCAGAACACACAACGTGATCTGTTGTAAACCGACACTGTGCTGTTGATAATGGGCCACCAACTGTGACCCTCATACGTTGCCGCATGGTGTATCGTTTGAAGGATGGAATTGTTCCCACATACAGGTTTTTATTTGGCAAATGTTCAAAGCTAAGACAGCTATATTTTTAGGAAGAACGAAATTGAAGTTAATCTTACCAAGGAGTCCTAGTAAGGGGTTTTATCATAAGAATAAGAATTCCCTGCTTTCGTTTATGTATGAGTGAATGTTGTATTGCACCGCAACTGGCATTTCAAATATATATAAAACGACTGCCTGAGTCAGACACACAATTGGTTGATGTTATGAACACACGCGATGGGGTAGGTAGGATGGCACGTAGGCAACCAAACCAAGTCTGACTACCCCATCCAGTTTAATCACTATTTGCGGCATGAATATGTTTGTGAGTACTTATGATCTATTCAAATCTGGATCATAACGGTCTCTTTGTTATTTACAACTTATTATTTAAGGTTTATTTCCTTCAAGAAACGCATCACGTCGAGTGACGAAGGATTCCGAACTGAGCGTACTTGGGGGAACATTGTGATATTGTTTAAAATTTGAATTTTTTACAGTTCTTATTTTCGCAAGTTTCTTTTTAATTAGAACATTTTTCATTTAAATCAGGATTCTTTCCTGACATTTGTTGCAGATTTGGGGCCGAATATCGGCATCTGCGCCCATCTAGATGAATCCCTGTATCTTTAAAGGAGAACTAGACTAAGAGCAGTTGGCAGTCCAGCCCAGGCAGATAGTATTCAAGTAAGTGAAACTGCGCTTTGTCTGCTTCATTGTGAATGATGTACAACAACATCCCGTTAATACGAACGGTACCGTTGCCGTTAAAATTGTCCTGATTAAGAAATGTCCGCATCAATAAATACGTAGTAATGCCCGTTTATTTGTATTAAGACGTCGCCATCAGTATCAGTCCGGAGGGAGGGGTTTCCGGATAAACGAGATCTTGCCAACTGTGTCATGAGTCCAACAGTTACCCTAACTGCACTATTGTATTGTCGGCTCCCTGGGGGTAGAGTGTGCATCTGTCAACATAATCTGTACTTACACATCGCTCTGTGTGGTATAAGTGTTGCTGAACAAGGATTCCACTGCCATCCACCTGATTGGAACACGGGTCTACAACAAGATACACAGTCACAATCAGTGAGTGAGTTTAACGCTGCTTTGAACAGTAATCCGGCCCTATCACGGCCAGTCAGTTTAATGTAGAAGGAAAGCCCGAAGTGATGCAGGTCTCAGACGTTTACCACTTTGGTGACACCCACAAGGAAGGGTATGGTGCTGACAAACCTAGAAACATAATCACGGCGAACCGGCATTTGAACCCACGACCAAAGGTGTTTGTTGTTCGCAGTTAATTTGTCGTGGTGGGTGGATACTGCAACACATTGTATTCAAATGGTGGCTGTCTTTTAACTTGTTTTGAGTAGTATTAGTACTATAGTTTCAAAGTGGAGCTATTTCATGTAGATTTGACGCCACCTAATTGAGTGAGTAAGTGAGTATGGTTTAACGCCGCTTTTAGCAATATTCTAGCAATCTCACGTCGGGGGACACCAGAAATGGGCTTCACACATTTTACCCATGTCGGGAATCGAACCCGGGTCTTCGGCGTGATGAGCGAACGCTTTAACCACTAGGCTACCCGACCGTCCCCGCCTGAATTTGGAACAGGAAGCACAGCAATATACCGCTGTTACCTTATCTGCACCAGGATCCGCTGATCGCGGGATCGAATCTAACACTCTTTCAGTTTTGTGACTATGGTCTGTCAGCGCCATACACGTATTTGTGGGGTTCCTCAAAGTGGTAACGAGACAAGAATCTACGTCACTTTGGGCTGTGTTTATTTATCTACCTACAGTCATAGATTTACCACAGTCATTAGTTCTAATATGAAAAATCTCTTAAGCACCAACTATCATTATCTACATGTCTACGATAACGATATGTGAGCATTTCTTTGTATTATCAGTATTAATTAAAATATATGGTTATTAGTTATTGATCAATACGTACACTAGATGTTTTGACGTAAGTTTCATCATTCTTGGAAAGTCCAAAATCTGCTATTTTGGCCACCAGATGGTCGCCAAGCAACACATTACGAGCAGCAACGTCACGGTGTATGATCTGAAACAATGAAGCAATGTTACTCAACAACAACAAAAACAAACAGCAACAACAATAACAACAGCAGTAGCAGTGACACGCAACAATCCCACAACACCATGACCTACATTAAGATACGGTAGCTACATCTACATGATAAATACATTTGAGATGGAACATTATTGAAAAATGATACATTTGCCATGGAACATTATTGAAATACATTTGCCATGGAACATTCTTGAAATACGTTTGCCATGGAACATTCTTGAAATACGTTTGCCATGGAACATTCTTGAAATACGTTTGCCATGGAACAATATTGAAAAACATTTGACAGGGAACATAATTGGAAATGAGAACGAATTCTTTTTTAAACTGTTTGTAACCAACTATTGTAGAGTACATCTCGTTTAATCATTTGACACAAAACATACAGATGGTTAAAGAAAGATTTCAGCAGACATCAATGCCTACACCCTCGATTATCCATTCATAGTTATTTGACCATCCACGGTACTATTTCCCGCTTCTATTATGATAAAGAAAACTACGTTTATAACGAACTGACGGATATAACGAATTGTGTTTTGTTTTTTGGTCACGGCCATTTTCTGTATATATGGCATATATATGCTTATAACGAACTGCGGCTATTACGAACTAAACTTAGTGGTCCCTTTGAGTTCGTTATAACCGTAGTTTACTGTACATTACTTATGACAGTACCACCGACCTGTTTCTCAGCCAGGTGACACAGCCCCTCTGCTGTGTCCAGGGCGAACTTGATGAGTGTGGTCAGCCGGAGGGTACTGCAGTGGTCAGTGTTGGAGTAGGTGTGGTTCTTCATCTTGCGACTCCGGCGGAGGAAGGTCCGCATGTCACCGTGTTTGCAGTACTCCATCGCTACGTACATCACCCCTGCAATTAAGATGAATTATGCATGAATTGATGTATTATCATTATTATTATTATTATCATTATTATTATTATTATTATTATTATTATTATTATTATTGTGGCGTTTCCAGCGACGATCGGTAAATAATCGGCTCCGGACCACACAATCCAGTGATTGACGTCATCAACATCGATCTACGCAACTGGGACACGACATGCATGAACAAGGTCCGCGAGTTTGACCACCCGATCCCGTTAGTCGCCTTTTAAAGGACAAACATGGGTTGCGGAGACCAATTTCTAGCCCGGATCTTCAGGGGTCGAGTCACGTGAACGTCATCTGTTGTTTGATGCTCATTGATATGATGAATGTGAAATCACCATGTAATAACCAATTCTTGTTTGTTTTATTCCTAGCCACCATCAAACACGGGTGTTTGCCTACTTTACCCCGGCAGTTTACGTACGGGTGATAAATGTCCAACACATCTAAATTTATTATCTAGCTCATGATGAAATGACATTTACCGAATTCAAAGATGGATCAAAGTAGTTTCTATGATCGTGATGGTACACTTGAATCCCAAAGTCACACCTAAACCAAAAAATGAATGCCTTGTGGCATGCTTGATAAAAAATACATTTCTTACCATACAACTTGACAAAGAAAACGACCTATAATGTTTGTGAAATGAAAATACAACATACCAGTTCGAAATGTAAAATCAGTAAGAGTGTATGCTCTGAAATCTGACTGTTAAATTTGAATGGATCCCGGAAATCGGACTTTTCACTGCGTATGAATACTTTTCTTGACAAGTATCTTTTTTTTCTAAACCAAAAAATTTGAAAAAAACCGTGCCATTCAACAGGATGAAATGAATTAGGAGATGCAATACTTTATTTTCAAAGTAGAACTAGGTTACGTATAAATATTATTGTTTGTGCGTTTGTTGTTTAACGATGTGACGGCGGACTGTAAATAATCGAGTTTGAACCAGACAATCCATTGATTGACGTTGCGCGCAACAATCCACGCCGTCGGAGTACGACCCCAAGATTGAAAGTAACTTCACTTAGGATACGAAGCTATGGTACCGAATGTATCCTGGGTATATCATAATAGAATGGAGATATATTCCAGAACTAACAACTATCCAAGGTTGACTTACCGTATGTCATACCACCAAATTATTTAACACGATTAATGAAACAATGCGTGAATCTCGTTTCACTTCAACATGTTCATGTAAGCTTCTGTAACAGTAAGTTGTGGTCGTTGTGATACATTACGTGTCTGACTAGTGATGAATGCTACGAGATTACACGATTGAAGGGCAACTAGCACATCTGGGTAGTCCCACATCTGAGACATTTCAAACGTTCCTTATGACCCACAAGGATGGTGTTTCACGACGAACTAGATAACCCGACGGTTCTTGTACATCTCAACTAGGAAGGAGACGGAACATTTCTCTCTGCTAGTCAGAGATTACAAGTCAGTTTATAAGAGTATAGGTGAGGGCAGACGAGTGATAGCGATACCTGGGCTCAGAAGGTTGGGTGATTTGTAGGAGACCAATTTCGGTCTTTATTGTTCTTTGAGCTGTTTCCAAACCAACCTTTAAAGAGACAAAAAACGTATTCCAGGCACGTACACCCACCCCTCCCAAGTAAAGAAAATAAATACTCAAGAAAAGTAAGAGAAAACAATTGATCAGCCCCCTTCACAAAGGATGGACGAGCTGGACGCCATGACTCACCTCTGATATGGCATGCCCCGACGAGGCAGACGACATTTTCATGTTTTCCCACCGCCTTCAGTATCGCCAGTTCATTCAGGAAGTCTCGCTTATCTTTGTCTGAGGCGTTGTCTGTCGAAGAGCAAAATACATGAAATAAACAGATTTAACACAAGACACATTTGACGTCTGTAGGATACACACGTCACACAATCAAATAAAGATAAGTAACTCGGTATTCGTTTATGTGTAGACATCGTGGCGTTTACGTCGTTCAGGTCATCAAGATCCGGGTTCTGGAGAGAGAGGGAGACTGTTTTGGTGAACCGTGTTTCGGTTAGTGTATATCCAGCGACCATGTTGTCAGTCTCGATACTCACATAAAAAACAATGACAGATAACCCCCTCTTCTGGTCACTATGTTGTGGGGTGCTGGAGTCCGTTGTCTGTGCCTATAAGTCTAGTTGTAAACATTCTGATCAAACAGGACACTGGCAGACCCGCGCCATGAATGGAATTTTTTTTTTTAATTATCTTTGTTTCAAAGCCTCGGCAAATCTAGATCAAACTAAAGCAAGTCTAGAAAACAGCAGAGGAAAGGATCTATTGAAAAATTCAATTATTTTAAAACGATGTTTTCACAGACTAAGCGTTAGGATAGGGCAAGGAGTTGTGGCTCTTAGTCGGACCAGGATCCGATGGTCAAGGTTTTCAAATTCAGATTCGACAGCCGTCACTCGTTCTGATCATTGTTTAGTCAGCAAAATATCCGAGCTCTTTGGTTTCCCGAAGTTGTAAACGTCTACGATCTGAGTCAGTTCTTGAAAGGCTGTGGTGTAACTGAACGACTTTTCAAAGCGAAGAAACCCAACTCACCCACTCACACAATATGATTCGGACATACGTACTGAAATAAATGCCTTTTCCCTAAATCTTGTCACAATTTTGGATGACCCACCCCATGCCCTTGTACATTTTTTTCATGACCCTCCCTGAAAGGACTAAACGCAAAAACACTTCATATTTTATCATAAAATTTCAATGTTATCATTACCCAAAATATGTTATTTTTTATGACATCTCCCACCCCACCCCTAAATAGCAGGCCCATTAGGCAGCAGGAACTACACCCTTGATCCCCCTTTGGATACCCAAAAACTATTCTTGACAATTCTAGACAAACGACGGTCTCGCACATCCCACCCACCTTTAAGGGACTTGACCGCTACAGGGACCTTGACTCCTCTTTCCTTCTTGACGAAACCCTTCTTGACCTGTCCGAATTGGCCGTTGCCTAGCTGGTCATTGGTCAGTATTAGATTGGAGCGTTGGATCTCTAAGGGACTCCCCTGAATGATCTCGTATGTATTTGAGGACTGCTCGGAACCCGCTCCCTGGAAATAGAAGCAAACGTCAACGTCATAGAGACGTTTTACTGACTTTTGGAGGAAAGTCCGCGGCCTTCAGGAAATCAAGTCTGGACCAGGGCCCCGTTCCACAAAGCGATCTTAGCGCTACGATTGTCGTAAGTCCGTGTTAAAGAATGGGAGCTACGATCGACTTAGCGCTAAGATCACTTTGTGGAACGGGCCCCAGGCGAACAAGTCGTTGCAGCATTCGCAGAGATCCACGACGTCGTGCCCGACACACAATCGGCCAGAGCACGTTATGCAGCCACTGTTTAGTAAGGTCTCACGGTAAGCAGGGCTTAAAAGTAGGGCTGGGACGGGTAACTCGGGTACTCGGGTCGGGTGGGTCCTGAGTAGGACCCGGGTACCCACAGGTCTACCCTGACCCGTGGTTAGTCACGTGATATATTGTTTAATGCCAAAAGCTCACTATAGCTCAGTGGTTACACTACAAGTCGCTAATGTTCGCATTTCTTTCTGACGATGCACGCATTCCTTTTGACTTGTATATGTTTGAATAAAGATAAAGCTTCAGTCAACTTCAGTGACCACATGATCTGATTGTTTGATTCATGTATCTAAATAGTTTTAGCCAGGGCTGCGGTAAAACAATTACCAATCAGACATTTTGTTCCAAACTCTTTAGATTTGCAGTGGGTACCCGGGTAGGGTCGGGTGCCCGGGTAGTAAATTTGGACTCGTCTATACCCTTCTTTAAAGGATTTATATTCTGTCCAGGCATCCTAAATTCAAGTCTGAGCTTGTTTGTTTGTGTTTGAAGTTTTCCCTTTTTATGGGGAGTGGAGGGGGAATTGTTTTACACATGGGCTACTATTGTCTCACGTGTGTAAGCCTGTACAGTCTGCTAGGCAGCCCCAGCCTTCTGGGTCGGATGACCATGAAGTAGAGGATGGTGGACGACAGCACCAGCACGATAACCACCAGGGACACGATCAGCACCGGCAGCACGGGCTTCAGCGTGCTCGGCAGCGCCTTCTGCAGCATCACTGAAACAAGGTTTTGATTGAGTGTTGGTGAGGGTGGCACGATGATACTTTCAATAAGATTATTGTAACTTTGATATGACCACATTAGTTATAACGTGTTTTATCATACCTCCATGTCAGAATGATGAGATCTGATTGGTCTACGAGATCTTGATAAAATACTGCTTATCCCGCCTTGGAGGGGTTTACATTTCTCAGCGGGGGAATAAATATGTTATACCCCGCCACGAGCAATACAAGCTTCACGTGGATTCTGAGAAGCAGAATAAATCCCTTATACCTCGCTTTAAAGCAAAAAGCCGCACGCTTTTTTCCGAGAAATTGGAAGTCACGTGTCATAGCACAAGTTAATCTCAGCTCATTCGAACAGCTGTTTTCTATCAATTTTTAATTTGTGTTAATTCTTTTTTCAATGTCACATTAAAACATGTCGGTAAGATAAATTGTGAGGTGAGTGGTAGAAAACCTAACGGGGACGCATAAAGTCCTATGTACCCCGTGAGATGCTGCTACAACGTCTAGCGTATCTGTCAAATCCTGCAACTAATGAATATGCCACAACATGTGTCGTCGCTATAGGACTGAGATATCGCCGACGCTACGTTAAAGGTTAACTAACTGCACCTATATCACGGCGGTCTGTATACTTGTTATCGAGTCTTGGCCATGGCTAAGTCATAGAGCTAAGATCGCTTTGTGCATGTGGGCCCAGATTATAAGGGAGCACACGTTTAATTTTCAGAGGTGGGAGCGGGGGCGGGATTTTTCCTAAAAGAAATAATCAAGCCCCTATTCTGGGATTGTTTTTTCACATATGCCTTGGAAAAAATGAATGTGCCCTTTACTTAGAGACTATATTTAAGTGTCAAAAGAATACAGTTAGTTATTTTTAATTTTTTTGTTATTGGTATGATTGAGCTTTGTATATGATGGAGACAACATAATTGAACTCCTAAACATAAAAAATGAATTACTGTAACCAAAGTCCACCCAACCCCTACTCCCACCCCCACCCAACCCTCATCATATTAGGTATTGAAGATCTATCATCCATATTTCCGATGTGGCATTTACGCTATACGTATTGGCTACTCCTAGTGCTTTGTGACCGCCTCCGTGGTCTTGTGGTAGAGCGTCCGCCCGGAGAGCGGAAGGTCCAGGGTTCGATCCCGGGCCGCGTCATACAAAAAGACGTTAAAAGATTGTACTTGTTGTTACCCTGTCTGGCGCTCGGCATTAAGGGGCTAAAACAAGGACTGGTCGGCTCGGAGTCAGTATACTGTGTCTGAGTGGGGTATTCATGTTAAACTGCGGCATGGTATCTCAGTGAGCTAGCACTATAAATCGGCATCAGTCCGGACTAGTACAAGCAGCCGAACACACACATACACGTGCATGCACGTCGCTATATAAGTGCAATAATCTTGGACGCGACGTTAAACCCAATTTCACCTCACCTAGTGCTTTGTTTGGAAGGGAAGTCACTATCTTTCTTCGTAAGTTCGCAGTTGTATGATGTTAAACGATAACTGATTGAATCTTCATCAGACAAACAAGTGGTTGATATTATGAGCAACATCCCGCGACATCATAGCTGGTTTGATTAGTTCAATATACTCAACCTTGAGCGCATCTCCGTCCCGTCCATCCCAGCTCACAACCATGAGGACATGACCCCGTGTCCTTGTCACAATCTGGTCCCCCTGCACACTTCCCGCACCGAAACTTGCAGTCCTCGCCATAGAACCCGGGGTCACACTCTGAGGACACGAGGACAACCATGTGTTAATCATATAAAAATAAACCTGAGAAATACACTTAATAATACACCTCGATTTAAAACCCCTTCTTTACACACGTAGACAGGGTGTTTTTTCATTGTATTGTTTATTTTTGCTTGTTTAAGCCCGCACTGAGTACTATTCTAACTATACCATGACGGTCTGTAAATAATCGACCATGGACCAGACAAACCAGTGATTGATATTATGAGCAATGCTCCACGCCGTCGGGACTGTGGTCTTTTAGAGTAAAATCGTTCAGATCAGTATGATCATAATCAATACAAAAATACATAGACTTTGTCGTTTCTTGTGGAATAACATGTTTATCTCATTTCTTGACCCAACATTTGTTCGTCAATATACACTTAGTTATGGAGTTAAACACACGGTCCCAGTTATGGGAGCCTCTGAAATTACATATTTGAAGGCCATTACTGACCATCTTGGCAGAAGACACCCTTCCAGCCGGGCGCGCACCCCCGGGAACAGATGCCATTGATGGGGTCACAGAGGGAGCTGTTCTGACAGTGGCCACATTTCAGGGTACAGTTGGTGCCATACTGACCCTGTACGCATTCTGAAAATTGAAAGAATCAATAAAAATCATTACTAGACAATGGTTTTACCTGACGTGACAGGACGCAGTCTCATATCGGGCCAACAAAAGAATCTGTGAGAAGGGGCGGAGGGATAATAATTCCCATTATCGATGTACAGAAGGGGAGCAAAGATGTGATTTAGGTGTGATTTTCGTTTTGTCCCCCAATGCCTACAGAAATTGATAAATTTAAAAAAAAGGTCTTTTTCTAAGAGACTTTCAGGATATAAGAAAGCATTTTACCATGTTGGCAGCGTTCTCCACTCCATCCTCTAGCGCATCCGTCTGCGCATTCCCCGGTCACGTGGTCGCATGTTCCTTTCAGACATTGCCCACAAACACCACGGCAACTTTCTCCATATCTTCCATGTTGACAACCTGCAATGAACACATCGTGTAACTGGGGACAGTCCTGCAGTCTAACTAGCCAGATACGAGGGCTGGTCAAAAAGTTCTAAGTGTTTTTAATTTTAATTTTGTAACATTATCTCCCTGCTTTTCAATAGTGGATAGAGAAGCTTTTCAATTCCAGCCAGAAAGAAGTTCTCTTAAGACAACCTGTAAAACCCATTCACGACAGCTTTGAGGTCATCGTTATCGTCATAGCGCTTTCTACGAAGGTGTTCTTTCAGTTTAGGAAACGGGTGTCAGGTCTGACGATTATGGAGGGTGTGGACGCTCTTCGAACCCACATTGTCGCACACCAGCCTGTGCAAGTCGAGAGGTGTGAAAAGAGGCATTGTCATGAAAAAGTAGAACTCATCACTTAGCATTCCTCGTCGCTTTTCTTTGATAGAATCTCTCAGACGATGAAGCAAATCAGCATAGTAGGCACCGGTAATCGTCTTCTGACTTTCTAAGTAATCAACAAGGATCACACCCTTTGCACCCCAGAATACAGTGGCCACAGCTGTCTTCACTGATCTTGAAGACTTGAATTTCATTGGTGGAATGGTGCCATTCCATGGATTGACGTTTTGAACTGAGAACATAATGGTAGACCCATGTTTCATCATCCGTTACTGAACTCTTTTTGAATTTGACAAAATCCTCCTCAATATGTCAGGTCTTTTTTTGCTTAAGAACAGAAATTAGAAACTTTGGCATCCAACGAGCACACTTGTGACACACGGTCATGAATTTCTTGGGGAGCACTTTTCTCTAAAGTCAAAAACTTGATGACTGCTAGGTACTCGTCCTTTTCCATTTCTGTGTCCATTTGGTCCCCAATCACGTTCAACTAGCTGTTTCTGATTTACAAACGGCCCCAACAGACCAAATACACTTGCAATGTACACTTGCAACACAAACAATGAACCATATTGGCTAGTTCACTTTGTTATGGCCAATAGTTGAAAGTAGGTCAGGCTTAGAACTTTTTGACAAGGCCTCGTACCTGCAGTGAACACCCCGTCTAACTGTCGACAGACCTGCAGTGAACACCCCGTCTAACTGGTGACAGACCTGCAGTGAACACCCCGTCTAACTGTCGACAGACCTGCAGTAAACACCTCGTCTAACTGGTGACAGACCTGCAGAGAACACCTCGTCTAACTGGTGACAGACCTGCAGTGAACACCTCGTCTAACTGGTGACAGACCTGCAGTAAACACCCCGTCTAACTGCTGATAGACCTACAGTGAACACCCCGTCTAACTGTTGACAGACCCGCAGAGAACACCTCGTCTAACTGGCGACAGACCTGCAGGGAACACCCCGTCTAACTGGTGACAGACCTGCAGTGAACACCCCGTCTAACTGGCGACAAACGTGCAGTGAACACCCCGTCTAATTGGCGACAGACCTGCAGTGAACACCCCGTCTAACTGCTGATAGACCTACAGTGAACACCCCGTCTAACTGTTGACAGACCCGCAGAGAACACCTCGTCTAACTGGCGACAGACCTGCAGGGAACACCCCGTCTAACTGGTGACAGACCTGCAGTGAACACCCCGTCTAACTGGCGACAAACGTGCAGTGAACACCCCGTCTAATTGGCGACAGACCTGCAGTGAACACCCCGTCTAACTGGCGACAGACCTGCAGTGAACACCCTTTCTAACTGGTGACAGACCTGCAGTGAACACCCCGTCTAACTGGTGACAGACCTGCAGTGAACCCCCCGTCTGACTGGTGACAGACCTGCAGTGAACACCCCGTCTAACTGGTGACAGACCTGCAGTGAACACCCCGTCTAACTGGTGTCAGACCTGCAGTGAACACCCCGTCCAATTGGCGACAGACCTGCAGTGAACACCCCGTCTAACTAGTGACAGAGACGTTCAACTAGTGAGAGAGCTATTCACAAAAAATTAGGAGAGTTTTTTTGGTCCTTTTTAATATGTATTAAAAGGAAATTTAACAAAATTCATGTTAAAATATTATTTAATTTCAGAGAGTAAATGTTAGTCTAACACTGCTACTGGAATCCTATAAATTTATGTACATGTTCAATTCGTACACGACCATAATCTCCCCGTATTCCACTTACTATGCAGACATTTGAACCCTAATCTCCCCGGCTCGCACCCTTGAAGACAGTGCCCAGTCTCGTGGTCACAGGACGTCTGGCCGATACAGGCCCCGCAAAGCAGTGTGCAGTCTATACCGTACGTCCCTGGCGGGCACTCTGTTGGGGGGAGAAAAAACAGTGTATGGTGTGAGTGAGTGAGTGAGTGAGTGAGGCCTGTAAATCATATTGCCTGGCCACCCACACCTCTGGTTAATAGCATGAACAACAATCAACGAGGGATTTAATTTTGCAAGATTCGTTTTGGTGGGCTGTTCAGCTCTCAAGAACATTCAAAGGAGTGAAAGGCTATAGTTTTACGACGCATTTGGTAATATTCCAGCAATATCACGGAGGGGGACACCGGAAATAGACACACGTGGGGAATCGAACCCGGTTTTTGGGAGTAAAGAATGAACGCTTCAACCGCTAGGCTACCTCATCCCACGTTAGGAGAAACTCTATCCAGGGTTCACACGAGAGTAGAGATGGAGGGAGGGAACAGAAAGATGTAAAAAACAGACTAGTGCTTGAACTCAGGTGTTCTTGATGGGCCTGAGATAGAATCTAAGGAATACGTTCAATCTTAACTTCATATATTTGTATTGTAGTAGTAGTAGTAGTAGTAGTAGTAGTAGTAGTAGTAGTAGTAGTATACTCACTCTGCTCACATCTTTGTCCCTCCCATCCAGGTTCGCACCCTCCACTACACACACCCGTGACGGCGTTACAAGTCTGACGACGCCGACAGTAACCACACTTTCCCTTACACTCTCGGCCAAATGTGTACGGCTCGCATGCTGAAATGTACAACAAATAGTCAAACACAGCTGATACTGGCATCATTTTACACTGATCATAACCATTTACACCCTTGTTACCTTACAATAATGATGATAATTGCAACAGAATATTATTAGTGTATATGCTTGATGCTCCAAATCCACGCTCAAAAGCATGCCGAGAGCCCTTTCCCCCTATCAATGGTTCAGGTGAGGTGAGGTGAATTGGGTTTAACGTCGCGTCCAAGATTATTGCACTTATATAGCGACGTGCGTGCACGTGTATGTGTGTGTGTAGCTGCTTGTACTAGTCCGGACTGATGCCGATTTATAGTGCTAGCTCACTGAGATAACATGCCGCAGTTTAACATGAATACCCCACTCAGACACAGTATACTGACTCCGAGCCGACCAGTCCTTGTTTTAGCCCCTTAATGCCGAGCGCCAGACAGGGTAACAACAAGTACAATCTTTTTTCACGTCTTTTTGTATGACGCGGCCGGGGATCGAACCCCGGACCTTCCGCTCTCCGGGCGGACGCTCTACCACAAGACCAGTGTGCAATGGTTCAGTGTGCAGTCTAAACACAAACCTAAACACGTTCCGTGTCCCAAAAGTGTGACGCGTTTAATGCCTAAACGTGTTTAGGATTGTGTTAAACAGCAAAACCTGTTTAGGGTCTAAATGTTGGAAAAGACCCGTATACCCCCTTGAAAATCATTATGGGTAAGTTTAAAAAGGGGCGTTGTCACAAGTTTCAATTGTCCTATCCACCATCAACTTAGAATATATAATTTGAATAAATAATTATTGCCTCGAAGATTTTCTGCATTTCATCCTACCGGACGCATATTTCATAAACCTGTGTTTCAATGCGGAGCAGGACCGAAGTCCTAGAAATTCTCAAGCTTTTTGAACACATCCACACTCAATGACATAATTATTTGTACTCTCCTCGGCCAAAGTTGCTTAACTTCATCTGCTATGTGGCCTGTGTTCTGTGCACGTGACGCCGTGGCAACGCCCTACAGATCATATAATACATGTTACTTTGACAAGTTAAGCCAAATGTCCTATGCATTATGTAGTTTATCGCCGATCTCGGTCTCAAAAACCACAATACCATGGAATGAGACACACCGATTTTTTCAGATTGGTCTAGTTTGGTATCACATCATTATATACAAACGGTTACTGGTATTTAACTTGAAACGTGTTGAATATTTATGTAAACAACAAGATTCCAGCGAGGCCATGACATTCCTGTATCTTTGGTGATATATCGACTTACAGAAGTCCGACTATATTACGTTTTCACTGCATATAAACGTGGCCCATAAAAAATCTTCAGCCCGACACTAACATTTAGACATGACAAAACGTTCTATCTTTGAAAGGACAACTTTATTTAAAAACCTTTTCACATTGTGTAATCTGAACCACATTTTAATTCTAAGATATCAGTTACATTTTCAACTATTAATTAATTTAATTCCTCATTCTCGTCTAAGATTGTTCCTACCATGATAAACACACTCCCGTAACAAGTATCAAAAGGTAGCATTTCCAGTCTCGATTCAAAAGATATATACAGCATACTTTCGATTGCTTATTATTTTCACAAATCTTGCAGCCAGCTTCTTGGCCTCGTTTCACAACGCGCACTTACAGTAGTCAAAAGTTTATGCGTTCGATTATTAACAACGATAACTTAGGGGGGTACCTAGACTCTAGTCTCTGAAATGAAGCTACAGAAAAAAAACAGTTGTTAAATTATAGTAATAATATAATAATTAAAAGGAGCCTGATACTGCAATAATCTAGACTTGCCAAATATTATAGACTTGCATGGGCTGTAATGGATATACAGTAAACTACGGATATAACGAACTCAAAGGGACCCCTAATTTTAGTTCGATTATAACCGTAGTTCGTTATAATCATATATACAACATAACTACAGCAAATAGTCTGAAAAAAGTAAGTTCGCTATATCCGTCAGTTCGTTATAAGCGTGTTCGTTATAAACGTAGTTTACTGTATTTCTTTCAGGATCTGTATGACAGACTAGGCAGAACCCGAAGATATATACAATCTTAGGTATAATACAAAATGACAACTATGAGAGGTTACCAAGTGTATCATTGCTTGACAAAGCTGTCATTGTACCTTTTTCGGGTAGCATATTTCAATTGTAAATGTGCCATAGCAGCTTTGTCAAGCAATGAAACACTTGTTCACCTCTCCTAGTTGCGTGTTAAAACAATGCACACGGCTGTTATGGCTCTCCGTCTCCTGGCGGCCATTTTGTATTATGTCTAAGGTTGCATTTTATGCGTTCTATTTCGGGTACTGAGTTAAGTAGCTGTGCTTGGTTAACACTGTATAAATCAGGTTGAATGTTGTCAACCCTTGTTGCCAGAAATGTAATAACCTCGGTGGACTCAGGCTACTCGATATTTCATAATTGAACGCACGTACGGCCAACCGCCATAATTGTTGACAGGCAGATTTGATAAAAAGACACCACCAGAGTTTATACATCGATATCTCCAAGTGACAGCTGACAGTTTCAACGTGAAATATCTGTACAGAGCCAGGTGCGGCACAGCTGGTGTCTGTTTCATGATATACGTGCAGCAGTGTCTGATTCTTGAGGTATTTGTATCACGGAATATTAGAATGTGGTTCGTTGGATACGTATCTGGGTTGAAAATGATCCATACTCGACAACAGTAAGTAGATGTTTTTTTCTTGTGGCATTTCCGTTTACAGGGCCAGATACTATGTATGTAATGTGATGTATTTACTGATTACGTGCTATTTTGACAAGGTTTGATGAACGTACGTGTACGTTTGCTGTTGATATCGTTCGTATTTCAATAGCGCTGACGTAAGACTAACGCTTGAAAATACATAATTTGGATGGAAACAAGAAGCTACATTTAAATTGAAAAGGAGCTTTAGTGAAATGAACCTATGGGAAACCGAGACTTGCTCCATTTGCTATAACAGTATAGTAAGAGCAGTGGAAGTGGAAATAATGATTCAGGGACTTAAGACAGTCTACTTTGAAAGATGTCCGTATAACTACTCGTGTGTTTCAGGGGCATTATCGAAATTCCCATGGGTGACCTAAGACAGTGTAGAGTATGACTGCTAAAGACTAAGTAAGGACAGTGCTGATGTAGCGTGTCACCATACCTCATATGCCGATCGATGGCCAGGTAAGTTAACACTAACGTGCTCACCGCAAGCTTAGGCTCTGTCAGACAGGACGAATGCTTAACAGGGTTGCGGGATGGCTGACTCTGAGGAAATAGGTTGTCAATAATGGTAGGTGGGGGTTACGATATTCTGGAAGGCGGGTGTTACGATTTTTTCGTCGGTCTTTGAAAAAAGCAATGAGACAGAATACATCCCAATATACATACGCTGATCACACCCTTTCCCCCTGAAGCCGGGGACGCATCCGTTGTGGCATACCCCTGATGTCGGGTCGCAGGTGATGTCGCGTTGACAATGACCACAGCTTCTCAAGCAGTTCTTGCCATAGTAGTACTTCTTGCACCCTGGAATAATAATGTCAACGGTTTCTCTGTCAAATATTAAACTTAAATGTTAAACGCAGTCACTTGATAGCTTGATATAAACTAAATCATGTTAAATATTGCAAAACGGGTTTTATTAGTGTTTTTTTTCTTGGTGATACAGATACATAGAGAATACCACACTCATATACTATAGAAAGTTCATGAGATTCGTAACGAGAATGAGTGTGGTATTTAATTTAATTACCCACGTTAAGTATGTATTTAAGTTTAAAGACATAACAACTTTCTGAAAAAACTCAAACGTGGGTACCACGTGGGTAAGATACTACTAAGCGAGGTATTTATGTGTGTGATCCTCCCTCCCTCCCTCCCGCACCCTCTCTGTTTTGAATAAGGGGGGAGGAGGGAGGAAACGCACCGACTGACGCAAAAATCGACGGCCGCAGTGCACATTAACATCTCAATCAAAACAAAAGTTTATCAGTTTACGTTAACTTAAATAACCCCTTTCAATTATTAACTACGTACTTAACTTTAATTTTTCTGCCATAAGATGGATGTGGAGATTATATAAGTGCGCCCTTATTTCACTTAAATATTCGACATTTTTATCAAAATATCATTTTGTAAGACCATTAAGGAACAGGGTGAACGGCACACGAGATTAGACGACACAAACATACTATTATACTACACGGAACCAAAATGTATGGGAATATTCACACCAAGTTCCACGTCAAAAACAAGGCCCGGATGATGTATCACACAGACTGCACTTCACTAAGGAAGAGGGAGTGTTCCACGATGTCTTTCAGTGCAACAAGTGACAGCAAACGGCAGTGTCACTCGAAAAATTAACGATCCACGTACTCCTTAACACTGTGTTTCTGGTAGTAGAGGCGTATTGGTACTCTACGACCCTAAAGACTTTTTCTAATTATCGCAGTGTAAGCTATGGCCAATTGTGTGTATACGGTTCTGTGTATAACGGTAAAGTTAATCTATGTTTTTTGTGGCCGTATTGTGCTATATAAGTCTGATGGAGCCGAGCAGACTGAACTTTCAATAATGGCAGCACTTGAGCAAGCATGTGTATTTTTTTAAATTTTAGTTTGTTTGTTGTTTGACGCCGCAATCAGCAATATTCCAGCTGACGGCGGTCTGTAAATAATCGAGTCTGGACCAGACAATCCAGTGATAGACATCATGAGCATCGATCTACGCATTTGAGATACGATGACATGTATCAAACAAGTCAGCGAGCCTGACAACCCGATCCCGTTAGTCGCTTCTTACGACAAGCATAGTCGCCTTTTACGGCAAGCATGGGTTGCTGAAGACCTGTTCTACCCCGGATCTTCACGGGGTTTTTTCAAAAAAAGATCACGGTATCGAATTAGATTGAGGTTAATTCTTTAATTGCGGAATGTCTCATACATGATGTAGTAAACTAGTGGGCAAAAGAAAGTATACACCCATGTTTGATGGTCAATAAAATGAAAACAACCAAGAGTATGTCATTCAATGATGGTGATTTGGCTAATAGGGTCACATGCGATAGTCCATGCACACCTTAAACAGGTGACGCGTACATGACGTTTACACGAACATGGGGTAGGCAGATCACAGTTCACAGGAATGATCAGAGTCAACCAGGTACTGTCTTGATAAGTTTCATGCCTTTAACGGATACCTGGTTCGCTCAGTAACGAGTATGACCACCGTGAGCATCAATGCACGCCCAGACTCGCCGCCTCATTGCTGTTGTCAGCCGCCTTATGACGTAATCAGGAATACGATTCCATTCAATTCTTAAAGCGTCGCAATCTGTTGCTGGTTTGCTGGTGGGTGTGGACGTCTTCGGATCTGATGCTTCAGATGATGCCACAAGTATTCAATTGGGTCCAAGTCAGGTGATAGTGCTGGCCACGAAAGAACGTTGACGTTGTTCGTATTTAAGAAGTCCTGGACGAGCCTTGCAGTGTGTGGTCTAGCGTTGCCATGCTGCAGGAGTGTTCCCTGTTGCTATTGGCGAAGGAATGGAAACAACACGGGTTGAAGAACATCATCTCTGTATCGCTGGCTGTTGAGGTTGCCGAGGATGACGACAAGTCTCGTCCGTTGGTTGCAGCAAATTCCACCCCAAACCATCACACCACCTCCAACATAGGGATGGACTTCTTGAATGCAGCCTGGCACCAAACGTTCCCCCCTGCGATGGTATACTCGTACTCGACCATCATCGAGAAACAGCTGAAACCTGCTTTCGCCAGAGAAAGGCACTCTCTGCCAATCACGGACATGCCAAGGTCTTACTTTCCTGGCCCATTGCAGTCTTCGAAGTCGATGTTCCCGGGCCAATGCCATTCCACGGAAGGGACGGCGAGCTCTAATACGTAGACGTCGTGTCACCGTGCGTCGACTGATACGGTGTCCTAACGCCGTTGCTGTCGTTCCCGGGCCAATGCCATTCCACGGAAGGGACGGCGAGCTCTAATACGTCGTAGCACCGTGCGTCGACTGATACGGTGTCCTAACGCCGTTGCTGTCGTTCCCGGGCCAATGCCATTCCACGGAAGGGACGGCGAGCTCTAATACGTCGTAGCACCGTGCGTCGACTGATACGGTGTCCTAACGCCGTTGCTGTCGTTTCCGTTGCCGTGACGAACCTGTTGCGCAGATGGTACGTGCGCAAGTGCCGATCTTCCTGTTGCATTGTCACTCGTGGTCTGCCCGATCTTGGCCTGTCTTATGTCCTGCCAGTCTGTCTGAAGCGTCAACCAGTCTGACGACCGTTACCCGTGTACAGTTTAGGTTTCTTGTAATCTGGGTGTGGTTGGCTCCCATCGGCTCCATACCTATGGCTCTCTCTCTTTGTTCCGCAGTTATCCGTTTCATATCTTTGGTGGGTTTTTTTTATTACTCGTGATGTCTTAGCAACGGTTCATTGCCTTTTTATACAAATTCAGCACGGGCAATTTTAAGAATACCTGGTAAAGCTGTTGGGTGACTTTTGGCCACTGCACGTGCATTTTTACGGCCAACGGGTTGCGTTTAGGAGATTGTTTTTGCAGTTCTTGGGCAACTGTTTTAAGCCTAATACTATTTTGCTCACTTTGGTAGTTTTGGGGAAAAAATCAATTTAAAAGTGTATACTTTCTTTTGCCCATGACTATATGTCTATCTACCCCTTAGGAAACATCGTGAACTAATCATCAGGATTTTTCAACCGTATGTTTCAATTAAGAATGTGCTTGTTTGGTTTAACATCGTTTTGTTATTGATGAGTGAGTGAGTTGGGTTTTACGTCGCTTTTAACAATTGAATTTTCCGGCAATACCACAGCGGGGGACACAAGAAATGTGTTATTCATGAAGAGTGAGTGAGTGAGTTGGGTTTAACGCCACTTTTAACAGTATTCCAGTTATATCACAGCGTGTCAGCTTAATGTGGGAGAAAACCCCGAAGTGATGCAGGTCTCAGACGTTTACCACTTTGGTGAAACCCACGAGCACGGGTTCGGTGCTGACAAACCTAGAAACATAATCGGGGCGAACCGGGAATCGAACCCACAATCATAGGTTTCTGGCGTGCCCAAGGGACGCAACTCTTCACAGCGAGTCGCGGCGCCATAGACGACTGGACCACCCGTGCTCCCTGTTATTCATGAAGAACATATAGGGGTTTTCGTATGTCTAACAGGGGCACAGGTGGTTCAGTCACCTGTGGACCGCAATTCCCTGTGCATAGGTGCGTCCTTTAGGCGTGACAAACCTATGATCGTGTTTTCGAATCCAAGAATCCCGTGCGTGGGGATGTCACCATATTGATAAATGTCATAGACCAGAATCACTTCGGGCTTTCCCCCCACATTAAGCTGACCGGATGTAACTGGATTACTGTTGAAACTAACTCACAAACATATATCTAATTCTCATAGAATTGGGGATGCGTGAATGACAATGTTTTAACCAAATATCATGACAGGGTGCACCAGGTATAGCCTCACACATTGTAACCATTCTGGGAATCGAACCCAGGTCTTTGGCGTAACAGGCTACCCCACCGCCCCACCAAAATGGGATCGAAACGATGTATAATTCACGATGACGTTTTTCACCCAAAGAATTCGAAGGAAGCGTGTTGTAACTTGAAACGGTGTCTTGATCTTATTATAAAGAGTATTCTCGACTATCCGGTGTATAATATACCTATCAATTTTTTTAAGAAATACATTAGACCTTCAAACAATAAACGTGTACCAAAGAATGCATCTTCCCCGTGGGATTCCGGTTACTAACAGATGCTCGGCAACCAGCAACCGTGGATCTATTTTGTAGGAGGTGACCAAATAGATCTGGTGACTTAGTTGATCACCTGCCATCGTAACCCAACTGTGCGGACCGTTGCTCACAATAGAAATACGTACGTAACTCCAGGGTGCCGTTGTACAAACCGATCTTAGCGCTACGACTATTGTAAGCCTATGTTAAAGTATGGGAGTTACGATCATCTTAGCGCTAAGATCGCTTCGTGCAAGTGGGCCCAGGGTAACGTTGTACAAACCGATCTTAGCGCTAAGGTGATAGTAACTCCTGTTATATAGTCTCATAGTCTCACGACAGTCTTAGCGCTAACGTTGTTTTGTACCATCATGTGACTTAAAGGTCCTGGCGGCGGAGTAGCCTTGTGGTTAAAGCGTTCGCTCATCACGCCAAAGACCCAGGTTCGATTCCCCAAATGGGTACAGTGTGTGAAGCCCATTTATGGTGTTCCCCGCCGTGATATTTCTGGAATACAGCTAAAAGCGGCGTAAAACCATACTCACTCCAAGTTCGCCGTCATGTAGTTGGAATATTGCTTAGTGCGGTTTTAACTAACAGATTGAAACTATAGTTTACGACGAGAAATAGATATAACGACGCCACCTCTTAGACGAAGGTGTGCACGGAATAGCACACGGATACACGGTGTTATCACAATAGAATTGATATATGATACTCTGGATAATCGAAGGTGTAATGCGAACAGATGCTGTGGAACGATTGTACATTTTATGGGGCCATTTTCATTCTGCATGATTTCATTCACGCTACGGGCAATTTTCACAATGATCCTATAAAATGATAACACAACAATGCCCGCGACCTACACTTCCATTTATTCAAGAGAACATTTACTCTGATTACTTTAAATTTAGATATCACGACTACCAATTTGTCGGATTATTTTGAATTCAGGAAAAGAGTACAGAACACTTCTGCAAAAGTCATCACCATGGCAAAAGAAAGGTAAGTAATATTTTAGGACTTTGGATAAACGATGTTTTAATGTATACGTTTACTGCATTATTTTCCCCATCCGAATTAGAACTGAGTCCCGTTGCACAAAGCGATCTTAGCGCTACGACTATCATAAGCCTATGTTAAAGTATGGGAGTTACGATCATCTTAGCGCTAAGGTAGCTTTGTACAATGGGGCCCTCGTCATAGTCAGACCATGCTTGTCATAAGAGGATCAGGCGGTCAGGCTCGTTGACTTGGTTGATGCATGTCATCGTATCCTAACAGTGTTGATCGATACTCAATATACTGGCGTGTCTAGTACAGATTCGATTATTTACAGACCGTGTTCATATAAGCTAGAATATTGCTGAGCGTGGCGTTAAACAACAAGCACACAAACATTTCAATGATTTATATTTTTTCATCACACGGTTAAGTCGTTGCGTTATTTTGCTAAAATCCGGTGACTATAAAACAACGATTTGGTTATCAATCATGTTAGTATCAAGAATGTATTTGTGTAGTACCATTGGCATATAGTTTAACTATAGAACGGTAGGTCAACAAACCCGTGCTCGTGGATTTTACTTTGTAAAGGTTTACGACCAGATCAATTTGGACTTATCTCGAACATCAAACAGGCAAGCCCATATATAACTCAGTCACTCATTGGTGGATTACAACTATGCCAGAGGCGAAATGGTCCGACGTAAGGCAGAAGGATTACTGTCTGATGTTGAATACTTACTCGGCTTCCAATATATATCAGTAACGTAAACTACAATGATACTACATACAGTGGCATTGCGATATCATTGCGCATGTCAATAGGATTTCTACGTGCGTGTGTTTGACCGTCTGTTTTGTACGCTATGTCGTTATGGAATTACAACCAAACACACACACACCATATATAGGAATGAAGGTAATACATGCACCGTGTCAGGCTTGCTGACCTGGTTGATGCATGTCATCGGTCCCAATTGCGTGGATCGCCGCTCTATCCTGACAGACACCCTCACCCCACCGCCTCTAGCCGCCCTTCGACCACGTGTGTCGGTATACTCACTGACGTCACAGTACTCGCCGCTCTATCCTGACAGACACCCTTACCCCAGCGCCTCTAGCTGCCCTCTCAACTACGTGTGTGAGTATACTCACTGACGTCACAGTACTCGCCGCTCTATCCTGACAGACACCCTCACCCCAGCGCCTCTAGCCGCCCTTCAACCACGTGTGTCGATATACTCACTGACGTCACAGTACACGCCGCTCTATCCTGACAGACACACTCACCCCACCGCCTCTAGCCGCCCTTCAACCACGTTAACGGTATACTCACTGACGTCACAGTACTCGCCGCTCTATCCCGACAGACACCCTCACCCCACCGCCTCTAGCCGCCCTTCGACCACGTGTGTCGGTATACTCACTGACGTCACAGTACTCGCCGCTCTATCCCGACAGACACTCTCACCCCACCGCCTCTAGCCGCCCTTCGACCACGTGTGTCGGTATACTCACTGACGTCACAGTACTCGCCGCTCTATCCCGACAGACACCCTCACCCCACCACCTCTGGCCGCCCTCTCAACTACGTGTGTGAGTATACTCACTGACGTCACAGTACTCGCCGCTCCTTCCTGACAGACACCCTCCTATACACGCCCCCGAAGTCTTGTTGCAGTTGTTGCGACAGCCCATGCCGCAGTTCTTCTCGCAGGAGACGCCATACTGACCATCAGGACACGCTCCATCTGAAAGTTAAAAAACACACACTGTTTTTAGCTCTTTTCGACCAATTGTTCTACCGCCAAAGTTATTGCCAAGTAGGGATTAGTGTTACTAGGTCAAAACGTTACAAGCCTGAAAACAGTCACCAAAACACTGCAGACTTAAAGGGCAAGTTCACACGGAAATGAACCTAATTTTCTTGTACTTTTTCCACAACAAAAGTGTTAACCTAGAAGTGTCATAGACAAAAATATAAAAATATCACAATTAATCAACATATGTTTTGCATTAAAACGATTTATATTTTTCACATTTACCAAGTGTTCTATTTCCATAACAAAAACACCATGGCTTATGCCCCTTGCAATATGACGTCATTGGTGCCAATTGATAAACATTATGACGTCATCATGCTTTGTTAGAGCCGCTTCACGTGGTGTAGGTACAGGTGTGTCATTCTAGCGTCTCAGATGCCAGCCAGCATAGTGTTATGCTGAGTCACCACTGCGCCGGAGTGTGTCGTAGGCCATGTTGTTTTACCGAAAACTTGTACTTGATATCTTTTGCGTTCAGAATAGACAGGGACCCAGTTGAATTGGCACCAATTACGTCATAATCTAAGGGAGATAACTCAGGCCTGTTTAGCTCGAAAAACGAAGGCCTCATAACGGCATATCATTTTCACACTATTGTGAGCTTCCTACTTTCACTGTGAAAAAAATGAGTGTATATTTTCAAACACAGATACTAACTAATTCTAAAATTGCGTTTTGTTTAGAAAAAGAAAGAAAGTAATTTTTGCGTGTACACTTCCCCTTTAAGTTCCAAAATACAACTATGATACACATATACATCAAGATCGAAGTCACGTGAAGATTCCGGGTAAGAATTGGTCTTCAGCAACTCATGCTTGTCGCAAGATGGCGACTAACGGGATCGGGTGTCAGGCTCGCCGACTTGGTTGATGCATGTCATTGTATACCAATTGCGTAGATCAGTGCTCATGATATCAATTACTGGATTTTCTGGTCCAGACTCGATTATTTACAGACCGCCGTCATATAGCTGGAATATTGCCGAGTGTGGCGTTAAACAACAAACAATCAAAGAACTGTTTCATGTTTGCTTCATTTTAAGCCACCATCAAACATGGGTGTATACCTCTTTTACTCGGCAGTTTATTCAGTTGGAAGCTGAACGTATTCCCAGTTCAAATTGTCTCATCTCCAGATGTAACACGTCTTTTAATTCAATCTGTTCATTTGAGTAGGTGATGAATGTGGTTTTACGCCGTCTTTGGCAAAATTCCCAAACGACATAACCAATGGACCATTTCTACAAACCAAGGAAGTGGGGGAGGGGTCGTACGTGTTGGCCATGGTGAAAAAGATAAAAGTTTGTTTTCTGGAAAGTACGGAAACGTCATAAATAGCGAAAATGAATATATTGTTTGGTGGTACTCAGTAAATAAATAGTTTTTTTGATACAGCTGGGACAAATATATTGTTCTAACCCTTCTTCCCCCACCATACAAGTCAAATAGATCTTCTCTAAGAGAAGAGAAGAATTTCTTTCGTCCCGACAAACGAACGCTTTAACCACTGGGCTATCCGTACTCGCCTGAATGACAAATATTCTTGCGTAGCGATACAAGGGGAGAAAAACTAGTTTGGTCTATTTTCTACAGAAATAATAGTATTTACAAAATATGATAGCTCATGTTGGAATGGCCGGGAATAAACTTTGTTTTATTTTTTTAGAATATTTTCAAAGTACGCGTACCCTTATCACGTGCCAAAAACTGAAAATGATTACGTAAATGTTTTTTTATAGAAAACTGTGACCACCTCCTCACATTCTGTGTAATGTCACGATATCACGACGGGAGTTGCGATTTCAAAACTGATACACCTCATATATACACTTGGGGACAATTGCCTTGACATGTGTATGGCTAGTATTGAAGTTTAAGGAATACTGATTGTAAAAATGGGCATTGAAAAAGAATGGGACTCCGATAACACAATTCTTCAGAATGTAACTGTCGCGACACATAAGTTACTTTTTTTTAGCTATATCTCCATTTGGGTATTTTTTGACCTAGCGAAAGTCACCGGGTGTCATGATATAAAGAAGGAACATTTGTTTCAATTCATCAGGGAATTATTAAGACATTTATCGACACATGCCGTATGTTCCAAGTGAGTTAAATGCCAAGCTATTAAGAAACAGGTCCCCTGAAGGAATGCTTAAAATTAGATTTGGCTTAATGCACAGTTAAAATGTGTTTAAATTATAAACCTAATCCTAAACATGTTAAATGTCATCATCATCATCATCATCATCATCATCGTCATCGCTGCAGCAGCAACGTGTTATTATTATTATTAATATTAATAATATTAGTTTATGCCCTTATCAGTTGCCAGAGAGTTTGTCTCCTTCAGTGACACGCGCCATTAAACAGATAACCGATGAGCACGTCTTTTCTTAGAAATAAACCGTATAGCATCGACATGTGCCTTGACGTATCTCACGACGAGAGAAACGGAATGAAATACATAAAGACAAAATAAACAAACATTATCTCATCAGTTACACTCAATATACCCGTTATTCAACAAGACTAAACAAATACTTTTTTTGTAATCAGAGCACATCGTTCAAAAATACTGTTACGCTGGAATGATAGTGATTGGTTAGGTTACAGTGTATTTGACATGGGATATAGTGGCTTCGAAGTTACATAATTTATCCCACGGGATGTCAAACACAACGTTTCTATAAAGGGAAAATTCAAACGAATTTAGACATGATATTTACGTATTTCCTGGGCTCCAACCCACTTAAGCTTCTCACACATAAATATTCGTCGCCACTCGCCCTACTTCGTAACGTGCCATTCGGCTGGTCCCGGAATGAAACGAGTGGTCACGGAACCACATGTTCTCGACAGGCACGTGACGTTATATGGAATGTTGGAAATAAGATCTAAGACGCATTTGAAGAGAGTTATTTGAGAAGCCTCTTGAAATATCAGTGGTAATGAATTAACCAGACGTCGCCATGGTGATTAGAGGTGAAATAACATCATTTATATTATTAATATACTTGTTAAATGTCCCGATGTGAGGAAGCAATGTATTTTGGCAATAAACATAAAATGGGAACTTTATGTTGAAAATTAAAATGAACATAATTTCAAAACATTCAAGGGTCACTGTCTCGAATCATAATGAGACCTTATTCCGAAATTGAAATAGTTTCACTGACATAATTCTTTGTGAATTCTCTTTAATTTAACCATGGAATCAACGGGATGTAATCTATTCGACAACGTATGGGAATTGTTTATCATAGCTATGGAGTTGTTGTGTCTTTGCGACTCACTGGTTTCATGAAAAGTGATGGTGTTTCAGTATCGTGTGTCTGGAGGTTTGTTTACTAATATGGGTCGTATCGAAGGCATAATATTGAGATAAACAGTCAAAAACACTAACGTTTTCAGAGAAAAAGAAGATGATTTTTAATTATATAATTAATTAAAGCGGGTGGGTTTGGGTACAATGTCTGACCAACATGACCTATGAGACACTAACTTTTTAAAAAATCATTAAAAAAAAGTTTGAGCTTAAAAAAACAAGTAACAAACATCAATACTCATACACGAATACTGCCATCCTTCCCCATTCCAATACTCCAGCCTAAAAATCAGTGATGACACCACCGCGAAAAAGGACAATACTCCAAAACAATAGATTTTTTGCGTCTATGCGTCTTCAAATATAGAAGTCCATCTATGGTTCGACAACACTTTAATTGCGTGGTGTTAACACAAATACTACAGGAGGGTGGTACAGCATTGTCCAGGCGATGGTCAAGTCTCGACTCGTACAAAGTATTCTAACTTTAACTAGCAGTAAAACCACCTCCACGAACCGTGTTACGATACTTGCATGGTCAGCCTGTTGTATCGCACACCTCATCCACAAGATTCTGTGACAAACTTTCCATTCTCTTACTTTCCTGACTGCAACTGACCCGCACGTGACTCTGTGTTGCTGGCCATAGGGTGAGGTGAAATACGCCGCGTCCAAGATTGTTGCGCTCATGTAGCGAAGTGAGTGAGTGAGTGAGTATGATTTTACGCCGCTTTTAGCAATATTCCAGCAATATCACGACGGGGGACACCGGAAATGGGCTTCACACATTGTACCCATGTCGGGAATCGAACCCCGGTCTTCGGGGCGAACGAACGCTTTAACCACTAGGCTACCCGACCGACCCTGTAGCGAAGTGCATGCACGTGTGTGTGTTTGGCTGTTTGTACTATAGTCCGGACTAATGCTAAAGTGCTAGCCCACTGAAATACCATGCCGCAGTGTAACATGAATGCCCCACCAAGACACCGTATGCTGAACGACGGCTCCTTATTTTATTCCCTCGATGCCGAGCGCCAGACAAGGTAACAACAAGTACCATCTTTTAACGCCTTTTAGTATGACGTGACCGGGGATCGAACCCCGGACCTTCCTCTGTCCGGGCGGACGTTCCACCACTAGATCACCAAAAAAACCTGTATCTCTTGCTCTGGTAGTTGTAAACCTTCTAACAATTTGATAAACATGTTCTTCCCGGATTTAAGATTTTCTGTAAAGGAATGCGTCATTTCATTAGCATTACTTATTACTTAATAGTTGACTTAAGCACACTGGAGGGTTGCATATATAACTACCCCAATCACTGGTTTGTCATGTGCCCCAATGACAAAACAAGGCATTTGCGTTATCTCGTGATCGGCTAAATGAAAATAATGTCTCAGTAGCGAGTTATCAAACGTTTAGATTATAATCTCAAACAAAATGTACGAGAAAAATAATATACACACAAAAAAGCACATTTCATGGCCTGCCTCATTCAATTTCAAAAATGGAAACCCAACATATCTTATCACAGAGTCACAGCTGTCAATCTGAAACTGAAAATAAAAACATCTGGAAAAATTAACCTAGCCAGACAAAAT